ACTCGAGCCAAAATCTCGCAGCAGCTTTCTCATTTTTGAAGCAATTTGGCAGTGTTTTGGGGGTCAGCATCACAAAAACCTCAAGATAACTGGATGCAGTGTTGTGGACAGTTATGGAGGTATTTTCTTCATATAAAAGCCCATTCTTTTTACAAGAAATTTAGTCGGCCTACAAGATTAAACGATCTTTTGATTTAACATGTAACTGACTTTGAGTTACCAAGATTTTATTGTACATCCCCAACTGCATAACTTTTACTGGCTCCTGAAAAAAAGCAAAAGCTGATGCGCGGCCATCGACCACCATCCAGCCCGCAAAAAGTATCAAATTTGAGGACTTAACATTTACTTTGTTTGGTGACACTAGTTCGCATTTTGCCTGCCTTTATTAGGACTGCGCGTCTAGTGGAACCATTGATGTACTGTACAGACATGCTGTATTGGCACTTCAGCACACAGCACGATGACCTCCGTGGTTGGATCATCAGCACCGTGGTGCGGCTTATGCGCTGGTGCGGCTTGCATGTACATATGCCGACTTTAGATCTTAATTTGCCGATTTTTGCATGCTGCAGCTTGTACACCAGGCAGCTTACGTGTATATCCCAGAAACTACAGTACTGTTTCTTCAGAAACAAAACCAAACAAAAAGGATTTGACGCGTCGTAAACAATATTATGGCACCTACATGTACATGTCTATGTATCATGTTAAGAATGGAACTGGGCCCTTTCTTTTTGTCAAATATGTATGAGGGACTAGAGTGATCACCCCAGTGTGTGGCAGTTATCTTTGGAGTTTCACAAACATGACAAAGGTTTCAGAAATCTTGACTTGGGAGTGGTTAGCAGCAGTTGGCAGCAGATGCCCAATGTGTAAACATGCAAACCTGATCTTCAATGATCCTCTTTGTGGCCTTTTATACATTACATGGGGGAGGGGGAACATGTGGCGATATGCCAAAATGTCATTTCATGAGGTGACTGATCCTTGAGGGTGCTCAACGTCGGACATTGTGTTCACCTGTGACTGCTGCACTAATGAGTACAATACATTGTATGTTCGTTGCAAACTTCATATTTGACAGAATTTTGATGACGTTCGAAAATTTTGACAAAAAATGCCTGAAGTTCAATAATGCCGAAAACGCTGTCACATGTAGTGCTTGAAAATTCCACATGTGATTTTCATTTTGCTGTTTATTTTGGAGATATCCCTGCTGAAAATTACATTGAAATTGTTAACTCTGCGCATTAGATTTTCGTCATGAATTGAATTTTATGTCTCGGATGTCATTTTTTTCGAATGTCATTGAGTATGACCGATTTTCTTTTGAGAAACCTGGGTCCAAAGAGAAAAATCCTGGAGCGTCTTATTCCATGGAGAGGTTCATGAATATCGAATGAAAAAGAGGGCGCACTATCCGGGTTGATGTCAAAGGGCAAACAGGCCACGATGCAGTGAAACGTTTCTCTAACTGCACCGCGATATAATGACTGAAGCTACAAAATTGCCACGATTGGTATTTTGGACTGCGGTTTTCAGAAACGTACTTGAAGAAAATGTGATCTGTCCAGTCATAAAATGATGATGGTTAAGGGGTGCTTTTTTGCACTTTTTTAAAGCTTGTGTTGTACATCGATTTTGACTTTACTCGCTATTTTTTGCAGTTGATTTTCTTACACTAATGACAGAACCGAATGACATTCAAGACTGCCAACTTCAGTACCCGATTAATTGTGAGAGGTGTTTTTAATTTCGTGATTATGGTTTTAATATGCGTAAATATTATCACCTTTCACCACATGTAAATCTGTGTAAAATGACCGCAGGGATTATCACTCCTTGGTAAATTTTATTGGCTAGGATTTCAACAGGTTGTTCACATCCATCAAAAATGCAGTTGTTCAAGACTTTAATTAACTCCAATTAAGTTGAAAGATTGAGAAAGTCATCATTATTCCAGGTATCAGCCATGACATCCCTCATTACATTAGACACTGGGAGTTGATTCATTGCCGTTCTCTTCAAGAAAATTAACCCACAAAGTTGAATATTATCTAATGGTCCATATTTTGAGGAACGTGCCAATGGGAAAAGAAGAACTATGACTGAAAAGACAAATGTTCAGACTCACATTGAGTTCCTACAGTTTTTGTGCTTGAATTTTGAATACTTCGGGACAATTCTACAAATTGCAAACTCAAGAAAATGCAAATTTAAAAAATATATCCTTTGAAAATGCTAAATGTATATATGAGCACACGGATAATACTTGATTACTCACTTAAAATCTGATGCCCTAGAATTCTATCAAAGTTGTGCATTGCCAAATTAATTATGGAGACCACAGTGGAACCAAATACATGTACATACATGTACTGGTATGCACATGCCAGTAGAATCCCATTCTAACGGACACCACTATACTGAACGTTCAAGGTAGACAGAACATTCCTCTCAGCTCCTGACTCTTCTCTGCAATTTTTCCAACAATTACAAATTTGCTTGAAATAAAAGAAACATAATTAAAACTAAAGATAATAACAGGAAAGGTGCAGAAAATTGTACTCACGACTGAACAACTGCCAACACCTGGCGTGGTCAGTATCAATCATTCATGGATAGCCTACATTTCACATTGTACAAGAACAGTGTACAACGTATGTGTCCACAGCCGGCCATGTAGACTGGCTGCCAAGCACATAATTATTTGCAACTCTAGCAACTCTGGTGTGGAAAACATTGCATGATAATCCCTACAAAGCCAGGGATTTTACCTCGATTACAAGAACAGGAAATACACGTAAACACAAAAGATAGACCCTAGCATTGGTTACTTACATGTACATGTAACACTAAGAAATCTGCAATAAATATCTTGCTAGTTTCAATTGTTTTCAAAAATGCCAACATTCAAACATTTCAATCCGGCGTGCTGGGAGGTGTTACTGTACTGCATGTTGCATGCAATATTTAAGAAAAAGTCACTGAAAAGTTTATTTCATTACACCATTCTACTTCCAGTGAGGATGACCCAAACATGAAACATGGAAGGATACATTCAATAAAATGGCAGAAGTTCACATTGTTTTTTGTTTTTTTGTTTTATTTTTACTTCTTCTTTTTTTGTGTACAAGTGTGAGGCCAAAATCCTCAAATAGAAGCAGTTAGTGGGACAGGCTGCCACATGTTTGAATGGGTCGGGATTGGTAACTGGTTGTGTTTGTGACTGAAAATAGCTGTAACGAACAACTGCTAAATCCAAACATTTTTGTGTGGACCCCATCGTGTTCATTACATATGTACAGTGTACCCGTGTGCAGGTAAGCTTCGGATGTGAGTGGCAATGGATAATTTTTTGCCTGAATTTCAACACAGGATAGATCAGGTAAGTTTGCTCCTACGTCTGTGGGTTCACCAAAAGCAGCTCCATCTTGTACACCGGTACTCTGTATGGAGACAGGAGCTGAACAGTTATTTTGGAGATAAATTTATCTACATACATGATTTCTGTTATAAGCACATGCAATGCATCTTTCTCTTTGGTTTGCATTCATGGGTAGAATTGCCAATTAATTACCTTTAGAGACATTTTTTCCCGGGTTTTTGTTCACCAAAATGTAAAGTTCCTCAACTTCCCGGAGAAACTACAAGAAACTTTATCCCACGAACACGCTGCCAAGTTTGTGCTGATTGGTTCACACTTGCATATTGCTTTGTGTACCGTGTGTACATGTACATCCCCCAAACACTGTGAAGTATACTCGATACATGTACTCCACATGTGCATGAACAAGCATGATACATGCACATGTTATGCCCCAACTTTAGCATCAGTCCCAACTTTAGTTGGGCCCGTCCCAACTAGAGTGCTACAGTTGGGCCAGCCCAACTACAGCAGAGAGGTCCTGTGTGCATGATGTGTCCAGCATGTGCCAAAGTCATATTGTTTACAAATGTCATGTCATTGGTCATGGGGCTACATGAACAGATGAAGTACCACATTTTAGATGAATTGTGTCAAGTGTGAGACACATTGACTTGGATAATGTTGAGACATTTTCCACAGACATTGGTCAACAATAGTGGGGCCAGCCCAACTGCAGCACTACAGTTGGGACTGTCCCAACTATAGTTGGGACTTATGCTATAGTTGGGGCGTAAGACACATAGCCATGTTCAACTTGGAAAGAGTTCCATACACGGACAATGCTTGACACCTTGTGCACAAATCCTATGAGACTGGTCTGCAAAATTCCAAGTGTTTTGTATTCTTCCTGCTTTTCATTCAACTTCTTAACAATTGACAATTTGTTTTGTACAGTAATATGTGCCATCTTGCTCAAAGGGCAAAAAGAACATGCACGTCAATTGAAACTTTGCACTTTCCACTGAGTGATTATCAACGAGGGTTTACTAAATAATAACAGTACTAATGGTAACGAAAAGAGTTCCATGTACATGTATGATCTAAGGACGCTACTTGACACCCTGTGCACAAACCCTATGGGACTTGTCTGAAAAAAAGTGTTTCCTAAGTAAACGCCTTGACTTTTTCCCTCCTAAATTAAACTTTTCTGGAGATGGTTTTGATTTCTGGTGGCTAATAAGTCACTGTGCGGAAGAATTACTGGCGTTTGTATGTAAAACTCTTCCCAGCAAGTTTTCCAGTTAGGCCTAGGCCTACACCATTTACTTGTAAGTTGTAGGCATAACTCCTGTTAACCAAAAGAATACTCTAGCTAGGCTTACATGTGGATAAAGTTCCTATCATGCCTATAACAGAAACTGTCGTGGTTGTGCTCATACTTTCGCCGCATAAACCTAAGCCCAGCCCCGTTTATATCACTTTGTCAGTGGCGTTTGCGAACTGTTTGCCAACCACAGCTGTAGTGACTGTGTGTGTAGGCGCCTGCGCCATATCAATGGACCACATCCCCTTGATAAACAAGTGACAAACAACACAAGCATGACATGGTAGGCCTAGGCCTACTCACCAAGATTTGCTGTCTGCTGCCGGGGCCCTCTGCTCCTCCAGTCCCTGTGGCATTACCCTCGGTCTTGGTCTTATTCTGTCCCCCGTCTTGCTTTGGACCCTTTGGTTGTCGTCTGCTTCGGTTGTCCTGGTAGCGCTGGTGGAGTATTTCTTTCTCCTGGCGCTCCTGCGACCATCGCTCGTCCTTCGTCGAGTCATAACGCGACAGGGACAACTCCTGATGTTTCCTGCACCGCTCAAGTCTCTCCTTGATCCGATTGACGACTTGCTGCTTCTTGGGGGGCATAAAATCCCCCATAGTGTCTGCTACAACCACAATGGTGCCGGTTGGTTCGCAACAACTACCCCGGAAAATGGGGTTTGGAAGGAGTATCTCTGCCGGGCCCAGCTTACTTCGTTAAATACGTACATGTAGTGTACAGATTCTGTGCGTGTGCGAAGTGTATGCCATAGACGCACTCGCTGTATTAGGCCTAGATGTACTGTAAGTTTCCGGCCGGCTTGATTGCGTGCAGCTGACCCTATCACTACCACTGGATGTAAATGAACAACATAAAAAAGCGCACTGAGTACCGCACCGTATGTATCGTACGCGCCCGGCCCCAGCACTACATATAGTGCTTGCACTCTCGCACGTCGACGAAGAACAGGCGATGACATTAGCATACATGAATATGCATAAAGTTCTTCCTGCACTGTCCACATGGGTACGTGTACATGTACATGTACATGTACATACTGAACATGTACACTGTACATGTACTGCTACACGTATACAAGTACAGTGTACATGCACATGTAAATGTACAAGTACATTGTACATGTACTGTACATATAGATGTACATGTACATGTATACTGTACATGTACATTTACATGTACTGTACGTTAGTTTCGTAGCAGACACCAAAGCTCCGCCCTGCGCCTTGTAAGATACATGTAGGTTTTTTTTCGAAATCAAAGTTTGGAGGCCGGATCTTTTCCTCCTGAATGACATCATACTCTACCCGAACTCACAAACAATTTGTCCAGTTGGCACATAGCATTGCAGTAAAAAAAGTTCTAAGGGAAATTCAAATGTTCACATCGAAATCTTGATTCATACTTTTGAAATAAGGCTACCATTTTAGTTTTGTTGGGATTTTTCCAACTAAACGAAAGATCAAACCGAAACACTGGTCATTATTGCAAAACAATTCAAACTATTCAACTACTCAAATGCCATTTTACATGATTGCCACTTCTGAATTCCTGAGTGTTTCAAAATTGACCATGGCCGCCGACCGATTCATGACTAGATTATCGGAGGCCAAATAAACTTGGGGGGGTCAGGATCATTTTTACTCATATCTTTGTTATACACACGCACATAGTATACAAGTACATATATATGTACTTTCTGTGCAAATTATATGTGCCCATTGTGCGTGTTTATTCATGACATTACTCGGCCGAGGTTTTTATTTGACGTGATTTCTTAAGCCGATGTTTTACTTGTAGTATAGTAAGTTTCATTTTCTTTGGTCACTCAGTGTCTCATTTATGTGTTATCAAATGGAAACCCTATCCCAAAAAAACATATAATGAACCGTCGGTTGAGCGATTTATTGTGTAACTGTTCATTAGAGAAGTAGTAATTCCCTTTATTCATGAACGGTTCCGTTTCGATGTTTTTGTTAATATGGCTATGATGCAGCGAAACAGAACAGAATCATACTTTCGTTCAGAAAAACTGTAATCATCGATTTTACGTCAATTAAAAATCTTGAAACAATCGCATCTCTTAGTTTAGTCTGAGCAATAAGAACTACTCCATGCACTAGTGTTAGTTTTAGCGTCCCTTCACCGTGTTTCAAGTATATATGTGGAAAAAAGGGCCTGCACTGGGACAGTAACAACGAACTTGAAGTTCCGGCCTCTCTTATAGACAAAAAATGTTGGTACCATAAAAGGTGTTGCTGTTCAGGCTTACATCCGGTTTACATCCACTTTGGGATTTGTTACTGTTTTATGATAGTCAATCCTCGTTATTAAATAGGAGCACCATGAATACGTCATTCTGTTTTCAATACGGTTCTTCATTGATTTGTTTACTGTTATCCGCCACGAGTTGAAGTGCACCCTCACTGGCAATGGAGAGACAGGCTAGCGAAAGTTTGTCAACCGGCTCGTATCGTGCACGCAACAAGCGCCCTCTTGAAGACCATCCATTCAAATTTTATTAGTCTGATATCTAAAAAAAAATAGAACGTAACTTGGTCGCACGTGCTTAGCACGTCCTGTCTGCGCATGCGGTGAGTTCTCACCAAAGGGCCGTTTAAGCCACAGACAAAAAACAAAAACAGTAATCTACATTTTAGTAATGGACATCAATGACATAAACACATAGACCACCAATCTTGCTCTCAACCGTAATTTCAAGAAGTATGGGCAAAATGATGGATCGCATTACGCGCAACGCACTTACATTGCTGGTATTTGTTTACATTGTGCTCCCAAAATACGTTCACTGTTTTGCTCCTTTGTGTTCCCATCCCTTCGTCCCGCTGGTTGCATCTGCATTGTCTTGTCCGTCTAAATAGGCCGGATTAAGCACATAGATGATTTTTTTTATAATAGAGAAAAATAGCTTCATAGAATTTTATGGCTGGAATTCTTCAACTGTGTGTAAATTCCCTATGCCGAGGGGTGAATTTGCTCATAGTTTTGATTTTAGTCGGTCGCCGAGCAGATTACGAAATTATCATTGAATACGGTCTGGTGGTCTATGCGTTTATGTTCTTTTTTATTTAATTAATTTTTTCAATCCCCTGTTCCGCCAGTAGCGTTACTTGTTTATATATATTTTTTTTGGTTTAATTTTCTTTGGGGGGGTGGTTCAACGATCACGACATGTATAGTGACTAGGATTGTGTTGTCATTCATTATCAAAATTCGTTGGTATTCAGTTTTAAAATTCAAATAAAAAAGAACGATTATCCATTATTAACCTACATGATGCTTTCGGCGTTTTGACATGTTATAATGCATACACATGCAGTTCTCGTTAGCTCGGTTCGTACTAAGGATAAACACTGCACTGCAACTCTGCCAATGGTCGAAGCAAAGTGATCCACGTGACCAACAAGGCCTGCATCGGAAAATATTGTTTTCAAGATGTATTTTTTTTTTATTAAAATATTGTTGCTTTCGCGCAGTCCCAACAGGCGATTGGCTGATTAAATATTTGTCAGTTGCTATTTGAATGTCTTAATAGGGGAATGAATACGTGATTGGTCGGTCTTAAATGTACGTTTGAGACCGGCTCAGGAGAATGGACGCGACTAATGCCCTGGGCAATTTTGACAAAACCCTCTTTCTACAAACTTTTGGAAGGAAATTATTGATAAAAACCACTTTGGTCCAGGTTGAAGCTCTGAACAATCTGTCCAACAGATAAGAAACACCCCTTCCCCGAAAAAAAATCTCGCCCCACACAACTGCAGAAGCTCAAATCCAAGTGACTGTCGATGAAAACTCTCCATGACTTGCTTCTGGGAACACAGGTAGTATCCAATAAGTTCTTTTAAGGCCAAGTTAAAGCGATTAGTTTAATGTCCACCCTATTAGTATTACTCTTAAAACGGTCACACACGCGCGCACCCACAAGAAGGGGCGATGTCGCTTGTCAAGTCGGGCAATGGAGGCAAAGGATAGGATATGTAATGAGTTATCAAACACCTAACCACTGAAGTGTGGCTTTTAAAGTTTGTTGAATTTAGATTTTAAAAAGGTTAATTAATACGTGTTTTACAGTTGATTCTTCTTCTCCTGTTTTTTTTCTGATACTCTCATCTTTGTATCTTTCAGTACATCATTAGGCCTACCGAAACATCTAGAAGAACGTTTCTGAATAATTCGCGGCATTTCTCATCTTTTTCCTTTTTGTTGGTTGGTTGGTTTGGCTCCAGAAAAGAATATCAGTTTTTGAACTATGAACTTCGGCCAATTACCCATTTGCAGCGCCGTCCGTAATTTCTACATAATCTACGGCCTAATGGGGAATTCTTTTTGAATACACAATCACGCATCAAGCGCCGAGCTTTGCATTTGGAGTTTTTAATAATTAACATATTAATAAAAGACGTTGTTGTTGTGTAAATCATTTCTAGGTCGGTGCCAAGGTACAGAGATGGGTCGTGAAGGCTGACGTGATCAGTTCTGAATCCACATTTTCAGAGCGATTTACTACATCTCAATGTTCTCAATGCCCAGATGTCACTTTTGTATGTAAATTGAATTTCTTAAAATTATATATGCATTCCAGAGATATGGCGATATCCATTTCGCAATTGGTGCAGACAACTCTTCTCGCCACAGCCATCGTAACAGTTTATGCAGGCAACAAAGGTAGGGGCTGTATTTTGTTTGTGTGCTCTTTAAAACAGTATTGCCAGAAATAATTTTTCGTAACAGCTAGTACGATCACCTTGGCATTTTGTAATGACGAAATATTCTTTTCTCACATTAGAAATGGAATTCCTGATGTAGGCCAGTTGAGTCATGGTCATTCTTTATAAATGACTGGATGACCATGACGAAAATGGATGTTGGGAATTTTATATGATTTCTTTAGTGATTCAACATTTAAGGAATAAGTGACAGATTTTGTTCACAGTTTAGGCCTAATGCAACTCGAATCTCTCACTCCTTATATTGGCAAATTACTTGTCTGATGCATAACCTAAGCATGTAGTTTATTTCTGCATTTCTTCTGTTTCGTGTAGACGGGGATGTCAAGTTCCTTCAGTATAACGACCGTCCATCTGACACTCCCTTTGAAGGTGTAGTGCAAGTGTACAGGGAGCTCGAGGGTAACTGGGGCGGTATATGCTCTAACGGTGCCAGCATAACGGACGCCACGGTGATCTGCAGGGGACTGGGGTACAAGCTGGCTACGAGGGTCACGAATGCCGCCAAAGATTTCCCCGATCATGAGAACAAAGAAGTGACTCTATCTGAAGTTTCCTGTTCTGGATCTGAGACGCACTTGGGTCACTGTAGTTTGACTTGGAACAACGGGGAGGCATCTTGTTCCGACAACGACGTCCTTGCTGTTGCTTGCAGCCCCATTACTGGTAGGAGCATGCTTCCATCCAAAGTTAATGTTTTGCCATAAAGCTGATGGCACATCTTAACAGAATAAATGTTCTACTTGTTTACACCTAAGGACAAGTACGTTTTCTTTGTCAACCTTACTGAAAATTAGATTTTGTCAATCTACATGTTAACAAGCCGGGAGTTGAAAAAAGGCACGACTTGGTGCTTCCAAAAGTGAAAGCAATTAAGTCATATCTCAAACACTGCAAGCTTCCACACTCTAACAGGTTCCACTAAATGTTACCGATACGGCGCGACAAATTTATACACTCCATTCTTCAAAATTCTGGAATTGTTGTCTATTAATTTATCTCATATCAAACCGTAAGGCTGGCCTCGACTTTGAAAAGTTATAGTTCCATGTACCATCGAACTGTGACAGTGGCATTTTTTTCAATGATGTCCCTGTCACAGTTTGTAAGTGGATTTATAGACCTTTCTTTTTCTTCCATGCGCCGATCACCATTGTTATATGGGTGGCCAACATTTGCAGAAGGTTTATCTTTAATGGGCAACCACTTTTGACTTAAAACGCACCTTCTGTATTAACGAGTAGTATTTTAATTCAGCATCATAGTTTGTCTTTTCATTGCTGCGTGAGGTTCTCTGAACACTTTGTGGATGACTTTTGTTTGTGTATACATTCAGCCATACTTTCCAATAATGTATAGGCACTTATGGCCATATAATTCCCAATTTGGACAAGGATGGTACTTACCTCGTTCCATGTATTGCAATCCGACCACCCCTTGAAGCTATAGAACAGTACTCACTGGTCATTTAAAGTTCGGAGAATGGCGCCCTATTCAACATTGAACAAAACTCTTCTATTATGTGCGCCCCTCACTCAAGTGCTGGATCGTCCGAAGCTTGAGGAGCAGTGATGACGGTAGAGGTGACCTGTGACCCAGTTTCTTGTTTCTTGCAGTTTCTTGCCTGCCGAAATACACACATAAAAATAAAGAAGGGGAGACGGAGTCTCTCCTCCACTGTTTGATATAATTCCAATTACAGTTCACTTAAGTACCCTACATAATAATGGAATTATATTACGCCAATTCCGGAGAGACTCACCTTGTATGCTTCCAAGCATGGCTGTCAAGGCGCTGACGCCAGAACTGCTTGACCAAACTCTGATCCTCTGTTGCGGGAGTTGGCAATTGGTAGTCACGGGTGACTAGTCTGCCGTTTTCATGATGACTTGAGCTGTCACCTCAGAATTTGACATGTTAGGAAGTGATTGCATCCCTGATTCAGTAGGCCTTGAAACATGAAGTATCAAGGCCCACCTCTTTGAGAACAAATTTCAACCCTCTGGCGTCAGTGGATGACATTACCGGATGGTGGGTTTTGGAGTATGACAAGAGGTGCTGGGTCATACCACAGTTTCCATTCTCTCTAAGATGAGAAGTCATGTGAAGGTATTCCTGCAGAGTGCATACAGAGAAGAGGTTTCTGTTAGCTTTAACAAGGACAATTTTTATTTCGTGGAAGGGTTTGTTAGCTGAAACAGGTTCCTCAGAAGGTTTCACCGACCAGAATACATAATTTCCATTGGAATACCTCGACGTATGATTGATGTCAATTGTTGTGACAGACGAACAGTGACAAGCTATACCGAGTGCGATAAACATGGTTACTTTGTGATTTAATGAGAGATAACCGACGACTGTCAGCTAGAGGCTTAAAATAATTCAACATAGTTGTCATATTCCGTGTTAAATTATACCGCGGCGTAGAGGACGCAAATTTACGATATACCATTGAAGAAATGTTTAACTAAATTACGTTGCCCTAGTCGTGCTCCGTCTGCAAAGACGTGTGCTGGGGAAATTGCCGATTTGTATACATTGAGAGTTATGTTCATGTAGAGTAATCCTGAATCTAACAAATCCCGAATTTAACAAGAACGATAAACATACCACTAGAGGGGACTTAACAGGATCAGCTTGCCTCGGAAGACACCAGCTTTGCGCGTCGAATCCAAGATGAGTCATAATGTCTCTTGGACAGATCCCTCCCGGATGACATGCCTGTGAAGGACACAGACTGCGAAATTCCCACTGAACAGAGGTATTCCCTGACAGCTTACGTGCTGCTAAGAACATTTGATCTGCACGTGGGTGGATTAGTGTTCTGCTGTGGGATAATCGAAGATCTCTTCTCTAGGGTAGAATGATGAGATTTTGAACTGCTATCTCCAGAACTTGGGGTGCCAGATCTGTGTGCGCCAAACAGGGGCAATAAGCACAGTCCTTTCCTGCTCCTCACTGATATTGTTCAAACACTTGGACAGAAGCGAAAAGAGAGGTAAATCATAACCTTTAATCCCCTCCAGTTCAGAAGTAGAGCGTCGACTCTTCGTGCCATGGGGTCTGGCTGCCATGACACGAAAGTTAGCAATTGAATATTGAGTTACTGAGTTGCAAACAGGTCCATGTCCAGGGAAACTCTAATCTGCTCAGAATTATGTGAAATATCAGAGTGATAAGTTGCCATCCCGCCCAGTAATTAAATTCACTGGAAATATTTTCTGCGGTGACATTCATGCATGCCCGGTAAGCTTTCTTACTGGATGATTCTGATTGTAATGTGATACAGTGTCAGGAGGTCTGGTCATCGATTGGACACTTTATACTGGGTCCCAGTAAGCAAGATACCACGGTTGTGTTTTCCACACTGGAGCTACGAGAAAAACTGTGGCCCTGTCTGACTATATCTTTTGGAGACATCTTGTGTTAGGAGAGCAAATGGAGAGACAGGCAAGAAGCCAGGTTTGCCCAGTTAATTGTTGAGGTAGCTACTACCAAGTCTGAGGGTCAGGAGGCAACGATACATACTGCGGAAGCTGACTGTTAAGACCTGATACAAACAGGTCAACGGACGGCCGAATGCCAGGACTCTTGAACGATTATTGCAAACATCTCAGAATGCTAGCGTCATTCCATTTGTCGTTGAACAATCTGCGGACATGTTTTGTATCCCAGTAGAGATATTCTTCTGTCAGAATTATTTTTCTAGCCAAGCACCAGATCTACAAATCTACTGACAGACAGTTCTTGAAAAATTTTAAAGTTACTTTACAGTTGACATAAGACAGAAATCCTTGTTTTCTGCTTGTAGCCTGACTCATATGCTGTGTTGATAACCGAAAAGCATGAAAAATTGACAGCAACTCCAGAAGATCGATGTGAAGGGCTTGATCCTCGCGCGACCAGCGACCACAGCATTGAGTCTCTTCCAAACAGGCTCTCCAACCCTGGAGCGAAGCATCAGTTTAAGTGGTAATGTTGGGCACTGGATCCAGAGAGTCTGGCTGTTCCACACCTGGTTCAGCGTACCCATTCAAGTTTGACTCAGGACGCATGTGGCAGGGTTACCCAAGTCTCGTATAAATTGTGTCTGCGACAGTCCATGTTTTTGTCCTGTTGAAGGTTGCAATAGAACGGTGGTGCCGTAAATACTGCTCGAATAACTAATGAGAGATGGCTGATCAGTTCGGCCAGGTCTTGCACTTCTGAAACTTGAGATTTAATATTTACTGCCATTGCTTTATCACTCTGTTGACTTTATCCATTACCGAGGATTAAGTCATTGTTTCGGAGTTGATGAGGAAGACCAGCTGTGTTATCATTTTGACAGAGCGAACTGTGACTTGCCTTGATTTAGCGGGAATCCCAGCTCTTGGAGGAGAACTGCCGTTGTGTTCAAATTCCTTTGCATTCCTCCAATGATTTCCACAGTATTTCCAAATTCCTATACCTGATGAAGACGAGCTGCAGGTGGCTTCAGAACTTTCATGAATGTTCTTAGAGCTCTCGAAAACATGAGTAGAAGCCAAGCAAACTGATGTATCTGGTTTTGCCGAATAAAACGTAGGTACTTGCGGTGATCCCTGTAAAATTTGCACCATGAAGTATGCATCTGTGAGGTCTACTAAACTCAGAAAATCTCCTTGATGCACTAGGTCCTTGACAAGCTTTATTCCCTCCATTTTGAAGTGCTGATACAACGTGAACTTGTTCTGAGAACGCAAGCTCGGATAGGTCGGAGTTCTTTCGACTCCTTGGGGAATAAAAAACAGGGAAGAAATAAACTTTGGTGTCACAGCCTTTTTCTGTTACAACTTCTGAACTTTTATTTGAAGATGTGCTGCATGTCATGAAGAAACTAAACGAGTGTGCTGTACCCTTTCCGGCAATTGAAAAGGGGGGGGTAAAGAAATTCTATTTTGTTGCCTTGAACCGACTGAAGAACCCACAACATAAGAAGACCTGTCGGGGATAGTCAATCTACTTTTTTGATGATATGTCTCCAGCAATGCGAGTTGTCTTAATTGGATTTGCCAAGGGAAGACCTCATGGGTTGCTTGAAATTCCCAAAGCTTGGGAGACCACCAGCTGAGCGTCCACGGCGATATAAGGGGTAACTCGTGGGATCTTCTCTTAACTGCAGAATAGCACAGGGAAATCCTGCCCTCTCCCCCTCGGAGGAGAGTGTTGATGGAGAAGCCACTTTCGTGACCTTGGATGCAAATTTACTCGCTTTTTCAGTCTCCTCCATCTCCTTCAAGAGGTTTCCTCCGAAGAAAATCTCCATAGAGGGTGCTTTCTTCAATTAATCAAGACGCCGGTCGAGCAGATACGAGGCTTCGACCGGCTGATCCAAGTAAAATAAGTGCATAGTAACATACACGATCCTCATCAATCATCTTGTCAACCAACTCTGGGCATGAGAAGAGCATCGAACAGATGAACAAGGGGATTCGAAAATTCGGACTGGTTTTCTTGTAGGTATTCACACTCATATCACCGGATGCGGTAGAGACAACTGGTTATAGCTGCATGGACTGACAGTAGTAGTCGCTGGGCCTATTTTCGATGGCTGCTGTTATAAAGGAAACCATGCACTGGTGATTACAGGAGAAGCCGACCGAATACGGCTGCACACGGCTGAATACGGCTGTAGGTGCAAGTGCATTGCTATGTTGGAATAGGCCAATCGTCCTGTTGTGTTGGGATCCATCACAGGGCAATGCCCCTGATGGGCGCCGGCGTTTGCCGGCAAGGTATTTCCTGAGGAATCTGGCGGAGCTGGGTCAACGTAAGGCGAGGATAACCCACAGAGGAGGATGGCTGCGCCGATTCTGGCATGAATGTACCGCGAGGAGATGCCGACACTTTTACCTCCATCATTTGCGTGTTGTTTTTTTTGGGGAGGGGGGCTGCAGCTGGGTGTGCTGAGCTCCTACCTGCGGCAAAGTAGCAGCTTTTTTCTTGAAAATCAGTCGACCCAAGGCAAGGTCAAAACCGATAAAGACACATCTGCAACGCTGGAAGTGGAATTGCTATCGAAAGCGGTGGTTGGATTTTCTGTTTCGTCCTCTGGTGCCATCATCGCACCGACGACATCATGTTTCATCATGTCGTTTCTTGCTCGAAGACATGACGAAAACATGTACACAACAGACAGTGCGGTTGAGAGTGAGCCGCTTCAGACCATTCCACATAAAACAATACACGCTTCAGTTTGGGGATTACCAGTATTTAATAGGTTGAGTATTGGGCATGTTTGCGTTTGTTTTTTTTTTAAATTTATTTCACTGAGGAACATTCCATTTATTCAGAGTGATTCAGGTCATATTACGTAGGGCAATAATACAGAGCAAATCTTGACAACTGTGTCGTATAAACAGGTCTGTTGGTTGCAATCCTGGTCCAGATGGACACAACTACTGTTCGCCCTCAGATCATATCACTACGAGCAGTCACGTAACTTCTTTAATTGCACAGTTCATGCGTTCTGGTTGACGATCGCAGCATTATAGATGTGCATACTCAGACATACGGGTCATTCAATCGGCGGCTGTAGTAATACGGTAAAATTTATATTACAGATTATGCTGTCCGCCTGAAGGGCGGTGCCAGTTGGTATGAGGGGCGTGTGGAGGTGTACCACGAGGGCTCGGGCCACAGTTACTGGGGGACCGTGTGCAACGATTTCTGGGGGACAAAGGATGCCAAAGTAAGAGATGGATTCGTAGGCTTTCAAGACACATATAAATAGCCACCCAGTCATTGGAGTTTTACCCTATAATTACCCCTTTTGCCAAATTAGTAGCAGTTGTTCTAGAATCCATAGTTCGGAAAAAAAAACATGGCAGTGTTGTTCACAAGCCTGAAGTAACCTTGGACAAAAATAAAGTACATCGTCACAAAGAAATGCTCAGAGTTTCAGGAAGGGAGGAAAAGGCAGTTTGGAGTCCTCTTATAAGTCAATTTAACACATGTATCATCTAATCTGTATCTTTTTCTCACAAGGTCATTTGTCGACAGTTGAAGTATGGAGATCCTGATAAGGCCCGGGTGGAAGACGGTGACAACTATAAGTCTGGGTCAGCCGGTATGCCGGTTCTCTTGGATAACGTGCACTGTGATGGAACGGAGTCCGACCTTTCCAAATGTAGAGCTAACGATTGGCACGACGAAAACTGCTTCTTTAACACTGAGCTTGCGGCTGTTTTTTGTGAACCTGCAGGTACGCTCAGGTTTCCATGCATAATCTGTTCGTTTTGCAAACGATGGGTTGGACTGGTCGCAAGCGACTGCTTTGTCAAATATGTCTGACTGCTCTATTTCATACGCAGACAGGTTTGCTGTCAGACCAATGCACGCATATACAATTACACGAAAGGTCTAGTTCTATACTAAATCCATTATGTGAGAGATTAATGTACTTTTGGCACTGTTTAATAACCAAACCAACTGTCATGAAAGTGCGTTCATTACAAAGCGGAATGCCAACCTTTACGGATATGAAAGAATTTTTTGTCTGAAGGAACCTTACTTTTAAGGAATGTTGGTACAGTTATTTCTGCTATATTTGGATCCTAAGATCCCATAATATTAACCACTATAGGAGAAATCAAATTGTCTTTTGAAAGTTAGTTTCATTTACAAAGGATATTAAAGGAAATAAAATGCTAACGTGGAAATTTAATTTTTGTGATAAACCAAAGGTAAATAAAATAAATTATTTTAAGGATTATCTTAAGATGCAGAAAGCACAAACAAGGACTTAACACAGGTCAGTAGTTTCACAATGGAATATTCCACTGTTATTAACTCTATATGCTACATAGTCGTTACTTCTCAGGTGCTACTTTGATTGAATCCACAACAAATAGGTACACGAAATAAACTAATCCTGTATTAAATTTCTCTGTTGATGCAAGACGATTAATTCTGTAATTGATGTTCTCAAACGGTTTTGTCGTTTGATAGGTAAGACAGGACGACCGACCACCGGTGCAATCGTAGGTATTGTGATAGCCTGTCTAGTCGTCGCGTGCTTTGCACTTGTCCTCTGCTGCCTGTGCTACAGACAGTATGAGACCAAGAAGAAGGGCAGCAGACGCCCGGCTCCTGGGCCCAGCCACACTGCCAACGTCGCCTACATCAGCAACGGAGGGTTGAGCACCGGTGGCGTTGCATTCATCAACCCCGGACAACAGCAGCCTGTCCAGTATATCATCCCTGGGGCTGCCCCGGCCTATACCCCGTCGATGCCTTTAGCTCCACCTCCTTATTCCCCAGCGGAAGCAACAGGAGGCGATGGTGGGTCGATACACGACAGTGCCAATCCTCCGCCAACCGACGACGACTGAACCACAATCATCAAAATGCTGTTCACATGCAGCCGCATTTTCTTTAAAACGGTCTGTGGGATGAATTTTTCTAAACGTTATTGTGTGACTTAATTGCTCCTTTTCAGTGTCTTATTTGTGTTTATGCTGTGATGTCAGTCACGGACATCGTTCTCTTTTCAGCTCAAACTGTAGGACTACGCCCAAAATTTGATCATTGAAAATATACCTGAGAAAAAGTTGGCCAACTCCATGTGCTTACACAACAATGGACCACCAAACCATTGAATCTTGTGCACAAATCAATACGACTTTTGGTCCTGGATATGGAAATACTCATTAGCATAAATAAAAAGTCCCTAATTTCCTTTAAAATAACCTTGTTACTGAAAACAAGGTTTATTTTCGGGAATGTTCAGTTGTTGTGAGCCCACTATGCAGGGATAAACTAGTTGTGATGGCTATGTGCGCTTTATAAATATCCACTATTATTATGATCATCCGTGTAAGCAAGTTTGTAAGAATTGCCGTAAGCAATGAACATTTTTTTCCATCCATACTCCGTCAATCTACAATGTATTTGTTCGTTTACGTTATTACATGTATAAAGTTTACAGTAAAATGATCTTTATTATTGTAAGCATTCAAATGTCAATTGTGCAAAGCTTTAAGGAACCGCAACGTGCATCTCACCTTTTCTCTGATCCATACTACATCAATGTATTTTTGTTAACCTAAATATAAAATGTTAAGTAAAGTAGGTCTTTTTGTTTTAAAGTTCGACCAGTTGTGGAAATATTTTTAGCAATAGCAATATGTGATTTAAAATAGCCGTTTTACTGATCCATACTTTACCAGTTTATGTCTTTACACAGATGTAATATTTGTTTATAAAGACTGCTTAACAACGAACCGAATTCTAAAAATGCACGCGTTATATTTAAAAACATGGCTTTTAAACACAATACGTTAATTTTGATTTTTGTTTACACTCTAATAAAATCGTTTAAGTCAACTCGTCTAGTAATCTGACAGCAACCGTTTTGGACACGGGTAAAAATGTATGAAAGCTTTCACATTCATGTGCGGGTTACCTTCATTATTATAACCATACAACTGTACCTTTGTGATTTGAGAGTGTGACTGCGAGCCATAGTTTATATTTTCCATTTAAATGGCCAATATTTGTTGTAATTGTTGTGTTGCCAATTTGTCTTACTAATATGACTTCACCTGGCAGTTTTGTAACTTTCTGCCATAATGCCGGTGTTAGCCAAACGAAATAATCATCTAGCATTGTCTCATTTTACACTCGCTTATATAATTACAAGTCATACCACGGAAAATACAAACCCATGAGTATCTGTTAATGACGCTGTTCATTGCAAAGGTGCATTTGTTCCTTTAAAACACGAAAACACGTCTTCTTTTACTCAAGGATACAAATGTAGCCGCTGGGATCCATGCATGAAAAGACACTTTTCTTGCGGTAGCAGACCGGATAAGCGACTGTTACGCTAATAGTAAGCCTTCCCTAATCCAAACTGGCTCTTCGAACATATCATTTCGTCCCATTGCCGGGCTTGGGCGTAGAATTAGATTTTGAATTACTAACACTCAACACTAGCATATTAGAAATGATAATTTGGATTTTTTTCGTAAAATATGGAATCAAATAAACTTTGCTTGACAGGTCACTGGCCACAGCCTCTTTTGTACGATTTAATCGGACCGGTTAAAGCCAAACTTGTGACGTAGGACTTGTAAGCACATTCGAATGTTTGCTCTCATGATTGTGTTTTTTTTTCAAGTACGATTGCATCGTCTGGACTTGCCCTCTTTGCTCCCTCCGTTATCCCCTACTTCCTTAGTCATGGTGGTTCTAAGAAAATTTAGACGTCGTGTGAGTGCCGTCCAAAACCGGTGGATCCTCAACAATTTCGATTTTCTTCTTATAATACAAAACAATGTCACAGGGTCAGTTGTGTCATTGTATTCCTCCAAACCAACCATTTAATCAATAAAAATCTTGCCCTTGCAAACATTAAATATAAAGAATGGTAAATACTTTTTTTTCTCAATGTACCAACCGGTCATCAATTAAAAGCTGTATGCTCGTGGCATTACAAAGGCTACAGTGAATATCGCCAGCTTATTCTGCTGAACTCCAGAACGCTACTGGCGGTGACTTTTCACCGTGATCACCTTTTACAAGTGAAGATTGGCTGCTCTAAATTGGGAGTCAGAGCACGTGTAATAAGTAACTTTCATACCAAATTCGGGATAAGAATATTTACATCACACATATCCTGTACAGAATTTGGCACAATGTCTTCACCAAACCTCAAAGTTGTTTGAGATTGGTGCTACTGACTAGAGGCTATCACATCCTCATAGGCAGGTGGTGGGTCATCCTCAACTGGAAACGGTGCTACAACTGCGGAGAAATCCGGCGGAGGGTCATACACAGAACGTGGTAGATACCCAGGCAACTCAACAGGTGGCTGGTAGGTATCCAGTGAGTCCGATTCACTCCTGGAAATCGTTGGTAGGTGGCCCTGTGCTGCCCATTCCGAGGCAGCCAAGTTACATGTGTCTCCCTGTGGGCCCTCCTGAATGTTTCTGGCGTTTGCTTTCACTCTTGACGCGAAGCAGCAGTATCTGCAGCACATTACAATGATGGTGATCGTCACAAAGCCAAACACTGGAAGGAAATACTCGTATACGGCCGTAGTCATGACGACATTGCGGTGCTTGAACACTACCTGAGGAAAGTAACGACACGAGTTCACAGAAAGTAACGACAATAATTCACAGAGGCACAATTTCCACTCATACATTTTTTGTGTGGTTGTACACGTATAACAATAAAAGGCTAATATCGGTAGAAAATGACAAGTTACATAAAGCATTCTCCTGCTGTAATATAGCGCAAAACACAGCCTAAGGTAGCCTTCAGTAACTTCCATATAGAACTTATTTTCGTTAACATGAAACAGACCGTAAAAATTTACTGCTTTTTATAATTCATAATCACCACACGTTAGAAAGGTCTTCTGATATTTAAGATGGAAAGATTATAATTCTTTTTTTTACCTCAACAAGGTTAAATCATTTCCGTTGTGTTTACGCTCGGTTCTTCTTCAAAACTCGGCCACCAGTAGATCGAATCATTCAAGAAGACTTACAAAAATATAACTAAGACAGGCCTGGTCGAACAGCATAACTTTGCGAAGTTCACTGAAAATTCCTTTGCCATGCAGGCAACCTCAAACGGTGCGTACACAATTGCAAGCACTGGAAATTCTTCCAAATCTGTTTCAGCCTTGTACCATGTACAAAAATGATGACTGAACTTTGATCATGAGTTGCCAGTTTTTATTTCGTCACCTGCAGGTTCGAATGCTCTGATGTATTTACTATCTGTTTGGACAAATAAGGTTGCAGTACTTTGACCTAGAAAGCTTTCGACTGGTTCTCTGCCCTGTTTTGTAAGAGCATTGTGCAACAGGTCTAGCTTATCTTTTCAGGACTAGCTGTAGAAGATACGGATACTTTATTTACACGTGAAACAAATGATTGTGAAACTCAACGCCAACAATTTCTGACAGTGTACCAATTTAAGTTTCCCGAAGACGAATATTAAAACTACGTGGTTTCTTCTTCTCTGAGACGACAGAGCACAGATTACTTTCCTTACTTCCAGTACCTGCATGCTGTCTGTCGTAGACGACCACGTTGGCGAATAAAACAATTCCCGTGCTGCTATACACAAGCTGGTTCAGAACATGCTAAATTCAATTCTAATCGGAAAACACCCACTACTGCTGAAGGAAAAAAATGTATGGAAATAAGACATCGTAGGTGTCGACGTTAGCATGTATTATGACGCAAGATGTTACCTACGGCTGTCAATCGCAAAGCGTCCATTGACATGTATGGTTCATCTGAGAAAGATTTATAACCATCCTGTTCGATCAATGCTCCATCTGGTGACAGATACCCAAACGATAACATAATACTTTCACAATGCTGTAAACATGAACATTTTAAGGAAAAAAAAATGACAAGTACCGTGCTGAACACTATTAAACTTACCAAAATTGAATGGCCTGAATTTTTAAACTTTATTTAATACACATTTTATACATGCTTTTTCATACCCAGCATCCCTATTTCTACAATTGGTAGGGTAAACGTCGTACTCGAAAGGCACTTTCACGTAACAGTAACACAGCTCGGCCTATAATATTGATATTTTTCCCACAACAAAATGTAAGGAGAACAGTATGCCCAGTTCCCTTAAGAGGACTACAGTAAGCGAAAATCCTTTTACCGGCTCTGCAAAAATTGGAAGTTATATACTGCGTAACTGCAAATAAAAAAGTACATAAATGACATAAGATACAAGATGTAACAGAAACCTCATTTTCTTGAAAACTATAGGGTTAGCTTCATTCTACATGTAGGCCGATATATGCTTCACAGCAACCATCATACGAAAAGAATGATTGCCCTTCAACAAAATATGCACGGTTAAAACAATGCACAGATAAGCGCATCACGTATACAACGTACGAGGACTTACGAATAGAAAGCATGAATGGGCTTTTATCAAATTTTGCGACAGGTGGATGTGACAAAGAATACTTCATTGACACTATTGACTTGCAGAAATCGCATCCTCATATGAAGGTGGTGGATCATCTTGAATTGGGAAAGGCGCAACAGTTTCCGAGAAATCAGGCGGATGGTCATCAACAAAACTCGGTAGATACCGATGAGATTCAGCAGGCAGCCAGTAGAGATCGGGTGTGTCTGGTCCCAGCCTGGTGGAAATCCTTGATATCTGCCTCTGTGCTGTTATATCCGTGGTAGCTAAACTGCATGTTTCTTCCCGTGAGTTAGCTACGATACCTATGTCAGTATCTTTCGCTGTAAAGTACGACCAACAGCGGCAGCAGATGATTATTAAGATGCCCAGGAAGAATATCCCGAAGGCAGACATTCCAATAATAGATCCGGTTGAAAAGTCAAACATGACACTGTTACAGATGACCAACGTTCTACTGAAAATAAAGAAATGTTCGATAAAGGAATCATCTCCTCTTAGGCTAGAAATCTGTACCATACTATTCAAATCTGTACCGGTATAAATAATTCTCAATCTTTAATGTAACCGTCATCACACATTTCAGTCAAACTCCGGCACCGGCAGCTACGCGTTTAAGACCTTAGTTGGCGAATCCAGAATTATAATTTCTTTTCTTGCCTTGAAGGGAGCAGAGACTATGAAATTTCTTACCTTCAAAAAATTAAATCATCAACATTGTCGCTTGCACCCACGTCCAATGTCAATATGGCCAGTGCGATAGATGTATCAAATATCTCTAAGCAAGGGAAAACATCATACATATACATGTACATTAGACGTTAACATGGTGAAGAAAACTTCCTACTTCCTGGTCAGTTCGTTGCATTTGCCAACTTTGCATACGATGGAATTTGTCTGCAATACTAAACGAGCGCATTAGTCACTGAGCTGAACTGTGACCAGACCTTTTGCTATTTTTTCCCGCTTGATTTGCCTTTGTGAAAGAGCTTTGGGGCTGCGTCCTGGTGGAGTACACTGCAGGCACAGGCGCCGCGATGCCTCTTACTCGTTTATCATGGTACTAAACAAGTTTCGACAACAAAGCTGGAGCACAATTCCGTGACCTTTGACTGGCTTCCTTTCCTTTTATATTGCATGTACACACATCTCATGCCTAACAGTACATTAATCAGAGTCAACTCCAAAAAGCCTATGAAAATTTATCCCATCCCTTCCATCTTCCTAAACTGACAAATTTAGAATTATTCATTAAATGCGTGGGGAAAAACACACAACTCTCCTGGATCAACGAGTAAATCTTTATGACAAACGGCAATGGAGAGCATTGACAAAATTGATGCAACAAAACTACGACAAAATCCTGGACAACACAGTACCTGCCAGTAACATATCCATGCAATGTTCTGTATAATTGGCTGACAGGTGCAATTTGATTGCATTTCTGAATTTATAAACTGGAGACAACACTTTCTACATTAAAAATCTACTTAGGATATTACTCTACTTTGAAGAGACGTGTTTGATCTTGTCTTGTCTACAAAAGGGTGTTATTCTGGGAACCATATACCTATGGAAACATTTAATAAAAAAATGTGGTAACTTTTGTAAAGCGTCACCGACTTCCTAGGCCTATAGGGCATCCAAATCACATCACGCGCGAAAAACACCATATGTGTATGCTTTTCCTTTCTTCAATCATACGTATTTTTGTTTCTTACAAATTAACTTCCTACAAATACATGACTCATTCTAAGTGCGAAAGTAACAAAGGAGAAAACGGTCAGCAAACTTTAAACAACGTGTTCGTCATTTTCAGTGTTTTCCCTGTGTTTTCCCAAATATCGACCACTCTCTACAACGTTTTGGTGGTTATCGCTGCTTATCGATAACAATCACATCTTCATAGGCAGGTGGTGGATCGTCTTGAGATGTAAAAGGTGGAATTACTTCAGAGAAATCTGGTGGAGGGTCATAGACAGGAGGCGGTCGATAGGTGTTGAGTGTGTCTAATCCGTATCTTCTAGAAATCGTTGGTATCTGTGTGTGTTCTGGTTCTGACGATCCCGTGGCAGCTAAGATATCTTCCCGTGGGCTCGCCTGATTGATTCTGGCATTAGCTGTCGTTCTAGATGGGCAGCAGCAATACTTGCAGCACAAGATGGCGATTGCAGCTTTAACCACAAGGGCAAGCACAGGGATTAAGTAATCATACACGGTCGCAGTCATGGTACTGCCATACGTGAACACTTCCTAGAAAATGGAAGGTAAAAAAGAAGTTCAAAACAAAGCAGTTTCTGTTAAGGTGGCTCTGTCATGAAGTTGTATAAAACTCATAAAAATCGGGCCACAACCAGTAGATATTAATTCAAAGTACAAATCCATCTATCAACCACAAAACATTCCAATGTTTCCAACTGAATCCAACTTCAGTTACCTAATATTAATATGAATGCATGCTTTTTAAAAACTGACAGGTTTACATTAGATAATGGATCCAAATTATTACAATTCCTCTTTTACAGTTTCAGATTAATGACAAGCAAAACTTCACACTTCTTACTGCCTACCCCATGCAACAAATCATGAACATTTCACTTGGGCCATTCCAGTGTTTCTTGAACAGGTCCAGCCCATCGGAGAAGACTTATCAGAACTGTCAATTAAGGCCGGCCTGTCTCATAAGCTAAACTTCCTTGTGTAAAGATGGCACATACATGTACACTGCAGTGGAAATTCTTCCTCGACCCCGTAGGCCCACGAAAATTCCCTACACTACACACGCAGAAGGGTAGAAACCAGGTATCCTCGTGATACTGTTGTGGTTGAACACTGGAAAGAAAAGCAAGGAGAGAAAATTATTTCTTTTCAGGTAAAATTTGTGCACCTAACTCAGTATACCCAAATTCAAGATAATAAAATAAACACAAGTAATACGCAAACAACTTCTAGTGTTTCGAAACTCCCGGGTTTAGAAATAGAATCATTTCCTTGATTGTTCCACAGAGAAAGAAGAGATCTAGACACTCCTTACCTTTGAACACTAACTTTTGATTCACCAGCATGCACGTTCAATGTTATGTGAACAAAAAGTCCCCGTGTAGATCATCCAAAGAGAACACGAGGAAGGTAGGCCATGATTGCTGGTCGTTAACTCTGCAGGGAATGTGAGTCAACTTCCTTGTGCTAACCGCACACGAACTGTACATATACAACGTACTTTCCTTTGAATAGCACACCACCGACATTAGATTTTTGTGTTCAACGCCTACGCAATAACATTGTTTACGTACACAACAACTGAAATTTCTCCTGAAGTTCGACGTTACCGACTGCTATGCTGATGAGAAGTCGGTTGAGAGGTCGTTTTTCTGGATGGCAGGGTATTTACTTGTGCCAACGTATACATGTACATGTTGAGGCATAAAGTTTTGTGCAACGACCATGGAGCTCTAATTCAATATAACTGGGGTAACGACACAGGATGTCCGTAGCCAATGCCGTGGTTCTCTCTCTCTCTCTTTACTGAGGGTCCGTCAGTCGGAGAAAAAGTATGTAAAATATCAATATAGCTCTCCCCTGGCATTCTTGAGATTTGGTCAATCATTGTTTTCGTGGTGGGAAAATAGAGAAGGTCTGTGGCATAAAAAAAGTGTTTCTCCCCAGTCGGGTTCCAAACAGGGTCGGTGGTGTACCGGTACAAATTTTGGTTCCCTCGGTCGGTGCCAAAAATTAGGGTCAGTCGGAAATGAGAACCTACTGCGAACGTCCTTATGCACCGAGGAGTAAAGGTTACTGGACCAAGAGTTGTCAATGCCCGTTTATTGGGCATCCCCGTACCAATGCGCACATCCAACAGTATGACGTAAATTGATTTGGGAAGAAACCTGAAGGTGCATAATTTCCAATTCGGGCGTTTCACAATAGTGCGCCTCCAAGAATTTGCAACGCGTTGGCCAATCACAGTGCGCGTTTGGAAAGGGTCGACCGACATCCGTGACAACGTCCTGTTAATACTCGGCGCGAAGCTTAACGGGAATTGAAGGCATGTTCGCATAAATTCGTAAACTTTGATGTGCGAATTCGGTGCGAATGTTTCAAATATTCACATTTGCGCTCGCACAGAGTGGTGACCATTTCTAATGGCGCACAAATACATCAGAAAAAGGGGGTGAGAAATAAGTGTCGACTGCAAATGGATATCCAATATTTTGGAATAGATATTATTGATTTTAAATATCTCACGCGCAAGAGGTAAAAACAGATATCGAATGCCCACTTCAGAGTCCCGTACAGGATTACACATACGTCATAATTTTGTGTTATAAACTGTACTCACAAACATTATCGCTTGTATCGGTGTCGGGTCAAAACAACTATGTAAACACGTCCTGGTATTTGACTGCTGAATCGCGGAAAACCACAAAAAATAGTCTACAGAATTGTATTTGGTTTAAAAAGGAATTTTTCCCAAGTACATGCAATGTTTTACACATCTTCAATAAGATCGTAATAAAAAACCGAGAGACTGGCACCGAAATATTGTCTCTGTACGTTTCATGTCATAAATTTAGGTTTGGAGTCAAAATTCGAAGAAAAAACATACACAATTTAGAGAAGTACTAGCTCTTAATAGGCAACATGTTATCTCAAAAATACATGTACACATTAAAGTACAATACCTTTCATAAATTACAAAGTGACCAAAAGAACAAAATGTTAAGAAAAAAAGTACACCACGACACCAACCTCTGCAGTTGCACCAAGTGGCATTTCCATGGACAATCATTCTACTATTAAAATGCATGTCAAAAGGGAAATCCCTTACTTTCCAACAAATGTCAACAACAAACTGAAAGACTTTTAGTAGCATTCCCAAATATGAAGTCTTTCTAAATACACAAATTTACAAAAGTATTCAAGCGAAAAGCATTCTCTTCCTTGGGAAAATCCTAGCAAAGCCACAACTGCCTTTGCATGGTAGGTTCAACTGTAATAATTTGTCAATTCACCGACGACAAAACATTGCAGGTGCCAAGTTGTGAGAGCAGATGAGCTACTTAGTCTACTCTGCACTGAGGGAACACAGCAGGAGTATCTGTCTTAATGACGATTAGTACCTCAAATCCAATCATTTGATTGAATATGGAAAGACTAAAAGATTTGAATTTTCAATAACGCTTCCTCGGAACCGCACTAGCACCTTACTGACAAAGGAATTTAGGCAAGAGTGACGTTGGGGGGTATCCAATTCCCTCCTCCCAGGCACAATATCGGATCAGATCTGGACCCTGGTGTCATCCCCAAAAGTTACACTGATAAAAAAGAACATGAAAGGAAAGGTTAGAGGCCAGAACTCAAACTGCAATGTCAATTTATTTTCCCAGCAGAACTGTCAGAAACAAGGCAGGCTGGAACTGAATAATTTACACTCGGTATGGAACTGTGATGTACTCACTATACGCGCACAATCTGACAATGCCTTGATTCCTGATGTTTTGCACTGTTGAGTTTAAAGTTGCACCAAAGAAAGGCTCCGGTGTCTTCCTTTTCTCCAATTTCCCTCTCTAAGACCAATCTTTCATCTCTTTGCATCCAAACTGAAGGCTGTCATACCCTGCTCTCTTTTAAAGGGACCACACCACGAGGAGGAATGAACCTACAGGTATGACCCTGCCTCCTTGTCCAAATATAGAACATACTCTCCCCAATCCACCAGTGGTTTATGCCCCTGGTTGATTACTTTTTCAATGTAATCTAAACGGGGCAAAATAAACATGTCCAAATTTCTTCATGTACTGAAGGGAAACAGCAATGAAAAGTAACCAGCATGAAGATGGATCATATTAAACCTTCAAATAAACTCCAAGAATCAATTGAAGAGTTTATTTCTAAACTGCCATAAGCACCATTAATATTGTGATATATTTCAGAATCCCACTCTCCTCCAGTTGCCTACAGTCGGTTTCTACAGCTGTAAAACAGTCACACACAACTTTAATGGGTTTAAATAGTGAAAAGAAGTTTAGGGACACATGATATACTGCTAAAGCTCTTAAATCTTTCATAAATGTGGAAAAATTGCATGATTTTCAAATGGATATATCTAATTTTGAAAACAAACCCTTCAAATCTTGACATGACATGTTTGGAACCAAGTTCTAGTTTGGTAACTCTTCCTCGGGTTAACTGCTCTACAGCAAGATGACGACAACGCATGGAACTGACTCATGACAGTAGGTCGCACACACAGAGTTTGGTGGGCACCTCTGGGTCCTTGCATTTTTCATACTGAGAGTAACTTGTCATGCGTTCAAAGCTTAGCAGCTGGATGAGTGTAGAGAAGTCGGTCTTCTCGGACTGGACGACAACAAATACTACTTCCTCTGAATTGCCAGAGTTCCTTCCAGGTTCAAAATGCAGGTCCATCTTCATGAGTGTAACACCAGTCTAGGTGATAAAAACCCCAAAGACACATTACTTTACTTCATCTACTACATGCAACCGCTTCATCATGCCAACTGAAGGAACAGAATAACCATTAAGGACAAATAAATTGTCTTCAGAGTAAATTACATTTCTCAAAACACTACTTAAAATGATGAGGAACAACTAAAATCATAATTTTTTTCCCTCTCAGGTTGAGGAACAATGCAATAAACGTTCTTACATGTATGTTCATAGTTATAAATCAGTCATGCCATTTGCTACCAATAACCATTTGTGCAGTCTACAAATACCGACTGAAAAATGGCGGGGTATTGTGCAGTACAACTATTTTCAGCTTTTGGTAAAATCTGTGTTCAGTAGAAGAGATAAACATAATTGAACAATCTGTGTTCAACTGAATCAACTGTAAAGGTAAGCAGAAATTAACAAAAAAGATTTTATTCCACTGGCTACATATGGTAGCATAAAGTTTAAAGACCCTGGGGAGTATTCCACACATGCAATGAAAGCAGGCCTGTAGTGTTTTTTTTGGCAAGCACGAGGACGATTTAATGTTGTGATGTCCCATACTTTACCAAGGAAAAGTCGATGGGACTTGCTCAAAATTAAGTTGATTGAGGGACATAGACTTCCATGGGGAATTTTAATGCACATACATGTACAAATTTATCTGACATTTCAGAATATTGTTCCGACTTGTCAGGAGTTTGTTACATTTGGTTGTGAAATGCAATACTATAAAATTATGCTACATGTTGGTGTTGCGTGAAGTGGACATCCTTAACTCAAACTCATATTAATTCCTACCTTTGGATGACTTTCTTTAACATTCCCAAACCACTTCAACTCCAGCTGCTTGCAAGCTCTGTAGTCCTTCCTATCACCACCTGCTTTGGCATTGTCTAGTATGACTTCATTCATCTCACGCACAATGACTTCAGCTATACGGGCCCGGCCACTGTCATTAGCCACTGCTTTCTCATAATCACGGCATATGCAAACATTGGGATTGATTCTAGGAACTGAATCACATGTTCTGTTTGGTGACACAGGAGCTAGGAGCCCGTGCGGTGAGATGGCGTATGCTTGATGCTCAGGTGCAACAGTCACGGGACTGCCAAAAAATAGTGACCGGAGTGTGTAGTGCAAGTCCAAGATGCTCACTAGGCGATCTTGGTTGACTGACAGCGCCCTCAGTTTAGCAGGTCCCAATTGTTTGGCAACATTTTTAGACATGAGGATGAGAAACACCGGGTGAAACATTTCAATTCTTGCCTCAATGGTTTTTCCCATGAAAGCTCCATAAGCATTGCCGTGGTCTGCTAAGAGCACAGTGACCATATTATCTTGAGTTGATAAGTACTCTAAGTACTCTGCAAGGTCATCATCCAGTGTTTGCACCCGTCTCCCGGTGTCTTCGTGGGCCACATTGGCAATGGTAAAGTGAAAAAATGGCTGCTGCGCTCCATTAAGTTGTGACTGCACCATCTTTAAGAATTCAAATGTATAATGATGGTGATGCCTTTGGTTGTAACACACCACAGGAGGCCCATGGAAGGTATCTCGGATGCCGTTGGCCTTAAGGATTTCACAGCTAGCCAAGGAAAAGTTCAGTCCATCTATTCCAGATTGCCTCAGTACATCTTTAAGCTTCTTCCAGCGGACATCCTGGTTTTCACCAGGGGAGTGAACGACCATGTTCTTTGCAATACCCCACTCCCACGTCCAGCACAGATCCTCGGTCCACATGGTCCGGTAACCAGCCTCCTTCATACTCTTCAGTAAGATCCCCATTTGCACAGCCTTTGGAGGCATATCTTGAACCCCAAAAGGATTTTTGGGATTGTACAACTCTCCAGCAAACAGCGCCTGCAGATTCTCGTACGTTCGACCCTTCAAAGATTGCATCAGATGAAAATTAAACACGGATGCATTGCCAACTTTCCTAATCCGATTTAGTTTGTGTACACTCTTTGGTAGTGAGCGGAAAAAATGGCTGTGAGAGATTGAATCAAGTAAGTATATGTTGAAGCTAATCTTTGTCTGATTTACTAGAGTTTTATCCTTGGGTTTGGAGAATTGCCTTGGTAGAATGAGTAGCTGCTTTGGCAGCGAGTCCTGGAGGTCAAAGTCATATTGAAGATCCACATAATCTCTATAGTTGCGATCTTCAACTGACCATTTTCCTTCCCTTTCGTCGTCTGTGTTTACCTCATTTTCATCTTTCTTGGCAGGAAGACATCTGATGAAGCAGAAGTCATGGTGATTCCTGGAAGTGACACTTATCAACTGTTTAATTTGGTCCTGAAGATCGTGGGCTTGGCCATACTCTTTCCACTGAAGGATTCCAAGATCTGGATCAATAGTGCCAAGTGAAAACCCTGCTTGGCAAATTTTGGAGTCACAGTGCACTTCCTGATGCCACCTGTCCTTTGCCTATTGTAACAAGGAGAACACCTTATCAATATATGAATTGTCACTCTTCTGGATATTCGTCAGCACTTACTTCCATCAAAGATGAATCCTTGTCATATTTCAATGGGCAGTAAGACATTTGCAAAAGTTTGGGTAAAGGTCATGAATAAATCGGCATGATCATCGCAGCGTTCACAATATTTGTAAATGCAGCTTTGTGCCTTGCTAAACAATTTTTTATAGGGTGATAGATAGATTTGAGGAGCTTCGGCAAACTGTCACAGAGGTATCAGGATTAATTAATGTGCCTTCAGATTCACACTCACCTTTATTTGGCAAATGTTGAATGGACCCTCTCCTTCACATTTATCTGGTGGCTTTGACAAAAAGAGATCATGGGCAAGCTGGCAAGAGTTGGGAAGGGGCTTTATCCGCCGGCAGTGGACGTTATCAGGAGGGTGTTCTGAGGGGTCTAGACGAGGCACTTCACACTTCTGGAAATGTCCCCCCTGACATAAACCAAATTAAAGATCACTGAATAAATCTTTAAGAATAGAACTGGAAATTTTGGGAAATTGATCAGTTAAAAGGAAACAGTTGATCATGAATATTCCTTAATATCTACGATCAATGTTGAATCTTGCGGGTATTAATGGACTTAAGCAGTGGTTGGGATGGGGAAGGGGCAGGCCAAGAAGTACAAGCAAACATGTGAATAAGTGCTTCGAAGTCAATCAGTCTTGTCAAAACCTTCCTGGCACCACTTGTTCAGACACATCAACAATTTTACAATGTAAAAACCAACAAAAAAACTACTGCAGCCCATGCATTATTAAAAGAAACAAGTTTCCTTCAGCGTTGTAGACAAGACCAAGTGACCCCACAAGACATTACAAGATTAACTCAAGATATCCTGTCTAAATTCAAGTTATGAGGTATTCAGACGCATTACAACAAAAGCATCCCTATATCACTGTTCAGCCTGTAACTGGTCTTGTGTCTGTTCTTGTGATAGTCTCAACTACAATGCTGGCTTCCTTGGAGAGGGAAGCAAAACTTTGTTACTGAAACTGATTAATTGAAAACAGCTGATTGACAAATCACCTCTTTAAATAATCGGTAAGCCCTCTGTCCCATGAGAACATCATCAGAATCAGCCAATAGGCCACCGTTTGTTTCCAAAGCTCCATTTTGAATGCCCTGCAGGAGCAGGTGGCAGGCAAGCAGAACCAGCAGAACCACTGCCATCTTCAGCAGAAACACACTGCTGAGGCAGGATCGCCTGCAGCGATAGCTGCGCGGCATGGTCAGGGGCTGTGACTGGTCGACTGGTCGACTGTGGCACTGATCTGGTTTGGGTGGTAGAATTTAGCCATCCGTCAGTTGGGAGCAGGTGAAGCACACATTTCCCATACCGAAAGCTACCAGTGTAAATGTACAAGGAAAAATTTCAATTGTCAGAAAATATTGTTCATTACTCATTTGTTAAGTAAGATCCAATATCAGTGCTACACCATGTGCACCATGTGTAAATTACTGGACTTACAGTCTGACCTGAGAGAGGTCATCATACATGACTTGACTCAAGTCCGACTTAATTGCTTTGTTATATTCAATTCGTACACATAATAGGCAGCACTGATTGCGCTTCAATGGCCTTAGATTATAAAGAGCGCCCTCATTTGGATACCATTCCTCAATCTGATGTCAACATGTGATGTTCTCAATGTCAGTGCAGTAAGGCTGAACTCATATTAAAGAATGCTGATGAGAGGGGGCAGCACATATCACGGGCCAAAAAGTCTGTACTTTAAGGAACACGAACCAAGTAATGATCACTGTCACTGCAGGATCTCAACTTGAATCAAGTCTATAAACAAGGCACACAGCACAGTAGGCCTAACTACTTTTTACCAGAAGTTCTTCAATACAGTGAACCAAAGAACATACCTGCAAATAATGAAAAGTCAGGGGTCGGAATATCCATTTTATGAGCACGGCCTACAGCAAACAATCAGCTGCAAACAAGCATGACAAGATGCCATTTACATGTACATATCAACACATCTATGTGTAACAACTGCCATTTTGACAAAGCAAATATATGTAGTGCCCTCTTTTACTTTCCTAGAGGAACACCCTCTTTTGCCACAACTTATTATTTTAACTGAGCCTTTTCGTGGAAATCAGAAGTTCAGAACTGTCCCCTACCGGTATTGACAAACATTGTCAATGTTTGTTAGGCACATGTTTTTAACCTGTTAAAATTGATGTTTGTGACAGACTTGTTCCCTGTAATGTAGGCCTAGCGTTAGCAGGGTTGGCTTTCAAGTTTTACATACACATAAGGGTATGTGATGCATGACTGAAAGTTGTATCACAACACAAGAATCGTACGAACTAGACCTGCTGCTGAGGAATCTCACCATCTGCATGATGATCTGATGACGTTAACCGCAATGCCTCACATCGTCAGAGCAGTGAGTACTTTTCCTTTGTCCACACCATACTGGTGTAAACATCACCTCACTGTGCACGTAAAGTTGACGTTTAAAGAATGAAACGTGGGTAAATTCATTTCATTGGGGGAAAAGGAAGCTCGGCACTAGTGATGATCAGGTACATGTACTAGCACGACTAAGTGGAGAAGACCATATCAGCTCAGTATAACATCACCGTCAGATGGTACGCGTGAAGAGCGCCCTCAATGGAGATACTGCAGTTTATTCTTACAGTACCCAGGCCCCTGATGCATAATTTCAACACAATTTGCATAGAAACCTGACTAGGCCTACTGGGGACTTTGTCGCGCGCCGGCCAACGTTAATCGGCCTGGCGCGTTTCACGTGCGTGCCGCCTGATGAGTCGAGTCTGGGAGATTGTGCGTGGTCCGTGGGTGGGATAGAGCATCAGCAATGAACAGAAAAATGTATTGATATTAGGGTTTAGTCTCTTCTGCTTGATCTTGATCGTTATAGAAAGCTCCTGCAGCAACATACTCAGCTTGGAAGGAGTGGAGAAGCTAAAGGTGTAAAGGTAGGCCTGTCGTCCGGCCTTCGGTCATCACTTATCATTCAATGTTTACAGTCTTTTTTGATCTTGTAATAGGCCTATCAATCAGGCGCTTAATATCACTTCAAGTACATGTATATAAAGCCATTGTTATAATTTGTCAGCTATTTAAACGAGAAAGTAAAACTACTCCGTGTGACTTGCAGCCACTGTGGTTCACCGCGGGGTCGTAACACTATTTAGTATTTGTTTTTTTAACCCAGTATTGGAGGTATCAAGACCGGTGATACAAATTAGGCTTTTTCAAGCGAATTTCCCCATGAGAGCAACTGTGATGTACCTTCAGCTCTTGAAAATGGTGTAACAGTGGTTTTTGACCATAAGACTGATCACATTTCAAAAATCAGAGGTCTCACTCACCAATCTCCTTTTTTTTACCCAACAATTGCACCGTAGAGCCGTACTGTACACTCTGTGTGCAACGCGATGGCGGCTGTGGGCCAGTGGCTGACTCCGCATGTCGGTTCAACCATTTTTGGAGGAATAGTTTTTAATCGCATGAGCAGCCTAGCTGTGTGACTTGACTGATACTTGCAAGACTTGTGACACGCTGCACAAGCTGTAGCTGTGTGGCTGTGACAGGTGGAACACTCCCGCTTGCACAATCTTTTTTCTCTCATTGCTTTCAGGATTTCAGATGGCAGTGTTGCATTTCTATAGTTGTCCTGGCATTCAGGCAGGGGCATCCAAGGCCTGTCTGAATAAAGTGAAGTTGATCCTCAAAGATGCAGGTCAAGTGGAGCTCAAGACAGAGATATGCTACAATGTTGAAGTCCCAGACAAGGGTATGGAGATTTGTGAATCAACTTCTTTTTCCTCAGGAGGCCCTACGATAAATTGGCTACACATATCATTCCTTGGATAAGTGTGATGTCATAAATATTCATGAAAAAACTTTGATTGTAAAAGTTTGAGATCCATTCATAGGAAATGTCCCACCATGCTACCAGTCGGGATAGCCAACATAATAATTTTTTGAATTTGTGTAAGTTTTTGACACATTGCAGACATCATAATCAAATTTGATTTTCCTCATTTAAAAGATTCTTTGACAAAAGAGGACCTTCAAGTGCTACACTGGATCCTTGGAACTCCATTTGAGAGCAACAGCTTGGCTACAGATTCTTTCCTGATGGAAGGCAAAACTTCAGGAGAGGACCTAATCATTGAAATAGGGCCACGGTGAGTTGACAGCTTACACTTTGCGATTCTTTTGCACAAACTGTAATCAGAATGTCCTCTGATTTGAATGCAGCTAATGAGTGTTTGTCAACTGTTTTCCTCCCAAACTCTGGAAGTCACTGATAACACATCTTTGGAAACTAAGAAGCTGAATGCCGAAAGAACGACATCTTACTGAATCTATATGATGTGAAAGGTGACAGTTATCACATCTCCCTAAAAATCACCAAACAAACATGGACAATTGAAAATACTCCTTAAAGACACAGCTTTGGCATCTAATCAAGAAAACAATATTGTATAATGGTCTCCTCATGCTGTTTGCTGATGATACTAGGGCTGAGTCAATTTGAATAATTCACTATTCAAATATTCTATCTTCAATTTGGTAGAATATCCGAATATCTGTTCACACCGACCGGTAGATTGTTGATGAACAAACTTTATACAAAATCAGTTGCAATAACACACACAATTGTACATTATGATCAATATGATAGCTTCTCACATCTAGGAGTATCTCCAGCCACAATTTACATGTAGCCAGATTTAAGAGATGAACAAGACTTCTGGCCCTGTTGAAATTTTGTATTCCATTTAATTTGTTTATTGAATAATTAACTTTTTTATTTGTGTAAGATTTCTGACACTTTTCATTAGAATCTGTGTGAAACAAGCCTCCATAGTGTAATTTTTCTCATTTAAAACAAAAGAAAATGTTCCCTTTTCATGAATTTTGCATTTGAATATTCAAATTTGAAAAATACTATTCGAATATTCGACAATTCATCGAATATTCGGCACAACCCTAGATGATACAGGGGTGTGTTGTAGAAACAAGTAAACCAAACCCTTTTGTTCATGAGTTGGATCAACATTGAGCCATTGTATTAAACACTCCTGTACTCTACCACAGACTTAATTTCTCCACGGCCTGGTCCACTAATGCTGTCTCAATGTGCCAGTCAGCTGGTGTCTATCAGATCACACGCATTGAGTGCTCCCTTCGCTACTGTGTAAAAGCAATGACAGCTGATGGCCACCCCATGACAATCTCACCAGATATTGCCGGGGAAATCGCCGGCACACTACATGACCGAATGACAGAGTGTCGATATGCAAAACCTCTGGAGAGCTTTGCAATAGAGGTAATATCGTCAAGCAAGCCCTACTCTTCATTGTTTTGCTGTACATGTGTATACTAGCTGCGTAAATTACTGCAGTACTGTTCTGATTAATGTTTCACTTGTTACATTAAAGTGCCCAAACCATGTTCTAGCGATACTTAAAATATATGGTTAACTTGAAGAAAGAAAGTGAACAACAGAAAAAGACTAAAGAAAGTGAATAAGGGATTGGAAGGACTCGTTAGGTTCTTCACCAAAAAGTTGAGACATGCCCCAATATTGATATGTCTCACAAGAAATGAAGTTATTCATTGTTATTTGTTCTTTGCTATTCAAGTTGGCCTTGAACAGCATGTTACTTCCCCTCCCAATTCATTTTTTTTTGACAGGTGCATCCTGAGCCAGTTTTTGAGGTAAATGTTATTGGAGAGGGGAAGAAAGCTCTGGAGAAAGCCAACATAGAGTTAGGTAAGATTCTGGAAGGTAACTTTCTGTTAACATGGAATCCTTGATTTTCAAGTGGAACATACTTCATGGATGAGGGTCATATCTTGGCTAGAACCATTTTGTATAGATTCAGAAAACTTTGTGAAGGGCAAGTTTGAGCCTGATTAAAAAGAGCATCCACCATTATTTATCAATAGCCCTTTAAGTATGAAATATCAGTTGATTTTGTACAACAATGCTTCTGTATTATTTACCAGGACTTGCTTTTGATGATTGGGATCTTGAGTTCTACACAGACTTGTTTCGGAATAAGGCAAAACGTAACCCGACCAGTGTGGAATGCTTTGATCTGGCACAGTCTAACAGGTGATATTTGTACAAGTTGATCCGTGCGGATGAATCTTACCACATAATCATATTATACCAGCAAGCCCCTAGTAATGGCCAAACCACTGCACCTACTGTGGTTCTAAAAATGGTTAAAAGACAGTCGTATTGGATTTGTAGCTGTCTCAGTGCTTTTATAATGGTTCTTTGCCCTTCTCGGTAGATAGCCTTCAAGTGCAGCAGTTCAAATCAGATAATGAGTCAAATCAGAAAGGCACCCTTACATTTGAGTCAGACTTATTAAAGTTTGTGACATGTCCTGCTTGACATTCTATGATTTGCTAGATGGCGTACCCTGGAGCTCCAGTCGGAGCTTAGATTTACACAACTTTTTCAATGTTGGATTCTGTCTCGAAAGGAGACTGATATACAGTGAGGGATATCCATGATTTGGGAAAAATTACATGTCACAACTTGTATTTTGACAGTAGAAATTCACAACAAGAGAATGTCTATACTGTTTCCTTTCCCTCTTTCCAGTAATAACATCTATACCCTATAAGAGTATTGATAACATTGTAAACGCCAGGGATATTGCCTATCCTTTAGTGAGCACAGCAGGCACTGGTTCTTCAAGGGGCGCATGATCCTAGACCAAGAGGAGCATCCGCTGTCCCTTTTCAAGATGGTCATGAACACCCAGGCTAACAGCAACCAAAACAATGTCATCAAATTCTCTGACAACAGCAGGTGAGCCTGTGAAATATTGATTAGAGAGTTTTAGGTAGCTGATTGGTTGGTGTCCTACATTACTTTTCTCATCAAGGGTCATCCTTTTTTCGTCTTTTTCATGGTTATACAAAATGTGGAGTGGATGGGTTTGCAGTCTGTCAAAAAGATTAAACATGGATGACCTGTGGTATTGATCAGTAACTGTTTTTTGTATTTAAATCAAGTGCAGGAGATGTAACAACAACGGGAGGTTGTTTCTTTCCATTGGCAGATAGTCACAGTTGCACATCAAGTCTTAAACTGTTCAAATGACAAGGGCATTTGACCAGCTCTTTTACTTCTGACTTGACCTGTGGTTGACTTATGAAATTTGACTGGACTTGGCTACAAACTCTGCAGACGGCCCTATAGTACAGATCTGCTATAAATTAAAAACCAATTTTGCTGTAAAAGTAAGGAAAAAAATACTAACACACACTGAAATAACTAGTGTTTCATCTTTGACAGTGCAATCCAGGGCTACAGGGTACAGACTTTGGTTCCAGAGACCCCCGGTGTTGGTGCTTCATCGTTCAAACAGCAAGTGGCACAGCGACACATCATATTCACTGCTGAGACTCACAATTTCCCGACAGGTGGGGAATTAAGCTTTTTGTGTGTTACAATTTTTCCTTGTAAGCAATGTATGGCGACAAGCATTGTCACAAGTTCCATGAACAAAATTTGTTGGTATCTTGTGTAACTGTGTACTCCTAAATTGTACATTAAAAATGCATGTTTAAATACAACATGTAAACATCATATTAAAGTAGATTATACCACAGACAACAGTCACAAGCTTTTGATTTTTGCCTGCTAAATGTATTTTTAAAACAATCACAGATACATCTCAGCATGCTCTCTCCTTGTCTATCTTACAAAGGCGTGGCGCCATTTAGTGGAGCAACGACAGGCACGGGAGGCCGTATCCGGGATGTGCAAGCAGCAGGACGAGGTGCTCATGTTGTGGCTGGCACAGCAGGCTACTGCTTTGGAAATCTCTTCATTCCAGGTATTTTAGTGGATAATTCCTCTTGAAACTCAACAATACTGGGAGTGTTTGTAGGAATTGGACACCGGCCGCAAACATTTGCAGCACAGCATGCCATAAATATTGTACGTATTTTGGGTTTGATGAGAATTTGAGATGCTGCAGGGTTTCAGGGATGAGGCATGGTGGATGGAATAACCCAATAAAGAATAGTCTTGGGCGGTTCCAGAATTCTCACAGTTGGCTCCAGCTCCAGCAAAGGATCGCGATTCCGAGTCAGAGCCGGTTCCCAAAGGTATAAAGAAAAACATAAGGTTTGATAAAACACATCAAAAATCTGTCACTGCCATGGCATGCGCATCACGCCGGTGCCATCGCCACTGCACTCACCAATAGTACAACAGACTGGCTTTTGGCCTTCCGTGGGCTTTAAGATTATCCACAGAGGGTATTTTGAATTTTATTGTTACCTCTTTGTAGACTAGTCATGGCTGGAATAAATCTACAACATGTATGTACAACCATGATACAACTCAGCACTGCTTCCTCCTGCACTATTTTCCACTCTACATACATGTATAAAAAGACTTAATCAGAACAACAACCGATTTGCCATTGCAAGTACATGTAACTTTACCCATAATACTTATGGAATCGTCAACCATGCCGTGGAACTCCATGTATGGACTGGATCACGTGAACTTATTGAACATGTGCCAACGTGGACCATGCATAAATTAGTCATTCGTCCACAGTGGGCGCATCAAAAACTCTTGATACCTCCACTATCTTGTAAGCTATGCCGTTGCCCCGGTCCATGCATGGAATGGCTCAGAAGTGAGAAGTTGGGAACTGGGAACTGGTGCATGACTTCGGGCAACGGCTAGGCTATTTCTTAACCACACGACGATTTTGCCTGGTGTCAATATGTAATACAACATGCCATACGCAAGTACCAAGCAAAGTTCACCAATGTTGAAGTCACAACCACATGTAAAACAGTCTTCGAGCTTCATGGCTTCCGGCTGTCAAAGCTCTGCTGCACCGCGCATGCAATAACTAATGTGGTTTGGTACCCAGACACAAGGGTATTTTACAGTTCATTAGAGTACCAATTTCCCTTGTGTGGAAGGGTGCTCTGCTAAATGTGCAGCATGCTATACACGTACACGTGGGAGCGGCGGTGACTCGGATTGGATGTTTGGAGTAGTCGCGGGCACTAAGCCGTGACTGGGACTTGGATTTGATGTTTGGAGTCGGCTCTTTCAATGTAGAACCACCAATGGTGGGTACCCGGTTCTTCACAAAAGCAGAGCCGCCAATTCCAATTTTTTTGGTGGAACCACGGTTCCACTCGGAACCGGGATTATCGCACAAGCCTAATAAAGAAAGTAAAGTTTTCTTGAGATGAAAAGAATTGAATACAGCTTCACTTACCTGTACTTGAACTGACTTGAGGCATTCATTGTCTTGCTGAAGATCACATAACCATCCATATCCTGCTTACCTTGTCACTTTACCTTCCTGCCCAAGTGAAATCAAGAGCAAGGCCAGGCAGGCCATCAGAAAAACATGGAATGGTATTTTTTATGTGAAAATATTCACGTTAATTGTTCTTTTCTTTTTTATTGTCCAGACTACGAGCTACCCTGGGAAGATGCCTCTTTTGTGTATCCATCCAACATGGCTTCGGGGCTGCAGGTAGCCATCCAGGCAAGCAACGGGGCCTCAGACTATGGTAACAAGTTTGGGGAGCCCGTTCTGACAGGGTTTGCTCGGTCGTTTGGTTTGCTGATTGGTGACGGGGAGCGGCGGGAATGGGTCAAGCCAATCATGTTCAGCGGTGGCATTGGCTCCTTAGAGAGCAGTCATGTGACCAAAGCAAGGGCAGAGCATGGTAAGCAATAACTGATCTCAGGCCACGTTTCAACCCCATTTTCACAAGGAGAAAAATGGGGCCCCAAATCACGTTTTTTTTTCTTATTTCTTTTTTTTTTTGCGAACTCAGTTAGCTATATGATGCCTACAATTTGGTGAAATAATTTTTAACGAAATCTACTAAAAATCAGCCAAATCATGATCTCTGTGGGGCAAATTTAATTAAATTAAACTTTTTGTTTTCACAGAGACAAAGTTGTTTTCCATAAATATGGCATTAGCAATTAAGAGCAAACCCATGGGAAAACATGTTTTGCTGTTTTCAGGAAGAGACAAATTTGTACCCAGAAATGTACACAAATGTAACAATTTTGCACCTGGTGCATGCTATGGCAAAAGCATGTACTGTACATGTATGTACCGTTTTCATGAAAAGAAAAAAACACATGAATTTGAGAATTTTTACAAACAGACAAAAGTGTTTGTTTACAGAACAAGCAATTTCAATTGATTTCTACAAATACTATTTTGTATTTTTTGTCATTTAAGATCTCCACTTTCATAGAGTAGCATTGGTTAAGTCAAAGGAATGCTAAATCCTGGCAAAAATAAATGTTTTCAAAAGAGACCAACTTTAAATGCAGTTTTCTTGAAACCTAATATTTATTCTCTGATGAAACTTCTGTCTCTTCACAAAAACGGTGACAATTTTGTAAAAAAATTTTGAATGAACTGGTCTTTATCATGTTTGAAAGTACGCTGTGGACGTAATTCTAATGCCTATGCCTGCATGTTAACAAAATGGCATGCCTACTTCTTACAGTATCAATTGAAGTAAATCACCGTCAAACTCACATTTTTCACACGGATTCCTGTCTTCCCCAGGAATGAAAGTGGTGAAGCTTGGTGGCCCTGTCTATCGCATTGGTGTTGGTGGTGGGGCAGCCTCTTCCATTCAGGTTCAAGGGGATAACACAGAGGAGCTGGACTTTGGAGCAGTCCAGAGAGGGGATGCAGAGATGGAACAGAAAATGAACAGAGTGATCCGTGCCTGCATCGAGATGGGGGAAAAGAATCCCATCAGCAGTATTCATGACCAAGGTGCTGGAGGAAATGGTCAGTATATGCATGAAATTATTTGCCACTGTCAAGTTAGAAAACTGAAACAGCATACCTCCTGATGGTATAAAACTTTTCGATATGCAAAAAAACATCAAAGATAGATCTTGCAGCTTTCTTTTTTTTAATTTCTTGAAATACAATTTACAAGGTTTTTGTTGAGGTGCCTGGTAAATTTCTCTTTGAAAAAGCTTGCAAGTACAAAACTTGGATAGACGTCTGGCATTATACATGAATATTTTTAATTTGCTAGGTTGCTATATTCATTGAATTCTCTTGTTAGTCAGTATTTTAAGGAAATGGAAACTGCACAGGGATCAGCATCCCTATTACATTTAAGTTTAGAAAGTGTTCCATGCATTTACACTCTTGATTTTAAAAAATTCTTGGCAGAATTGTTTGGCAGTTCTGGATGAACCACGAAAATACATGTATTTGAATAATTTCTGCATAAGGCAATGTCTTGAAGGAGATATCCGAGCCAGCTGGTGCCCTCATAAGAGCTAAAGAATTCCAATTGGGCGATCCAACCATCAACACCATGGAATTATGGGGTGCTGAGTACCAGGAGAGCAATGCCATTCTCATTCCAGAGGGGGCATCCAATGCACTGAGAGATATCTGCCGCAGGGAGAAATGTCCAGTGTCATTTGTGGGTGACATAACGGGGGATGGGAGGGTAAGTTTAAAAGGTCAGAAGAAAGAAGTGTCCTATGAAAAAAATGTCAAAATATTCATACCTACTAGGATTAAAACATATTGCCAAAATGTGGAACCACTGAATAGCATGTTATGTGTGTCTTTTCACTCTGATGTTGCTTGCTTACTCTCTCTAGGTTGGTTAGAGCTTTCCGTGAATTGCGTTATTGGGATTATTGCGCTAAAGTTGATGACACCATTTAATTCACCTCTCTCTTGCATTTCCTTAAGGAATTAACTAAGCCTTTCTCTTAAAATTTTGTCTTGCTTCACCTGTTGATGTTAAATGAATGCCTGTCTGTGTAGTCTTACTTCAGGTGTGCTTTATGTGTATTTACAGTAATTTGGATACTTTGAATCTCACATTTAATTGCAGATACGTCTAGAACAGGAAGAGGAAGATTGTGTGGAAAATGGTGGAGTGAATGGAGAGGCTACTAACAAGAAGATGCGTTCATGTTCCTACCCAGTTGATCTGGAGCTAGAGTGGGTCTTAGGATCGATGCCCAGAAAGGTCAGTTCTACTTTCCACATTGTACACAGCGGTGCTGCTTTGTAACTGCATTGTTAGTGTTGTAATTTGAGTACGGAAGTCTTTATTAAGTTTCCAAATGTCAACTATGCTGCAGATGACACAGGAATGGTAATTAAACTCGAGCACAGAAATCCTTGGAGCTTAACTGTAGACAATGGTTACCGGCCAAAATGCAGTGCAGCATCTGTGGCCTTTGGCTGGTTCTAATTGTGGCATTTGCTCAGTACAGTTTGTAAGGTTATGTTTTGGTACTTGTAACTAAAGCAAGCTACTAGACCATGTGGGTTGGCTTGATTAAAATTAAAAGTGAACTCAACTCTTCATTTATCTAACTTGACAGCATCAATGAAAGAAGTAAAATGGAATTTCATGACCGTCTACCCCTGATGAGTAATTTCAAAGTTGTACCTTAGTATTTTAAGCTAGATTTTGAAAAGAAAATGAAAGGGCGACTTGGATTGCATGCGAATCCTAAATCAATCTAGTTTTAAGGAGCAATATGAATAATGGCTTTTTTGTGAATTAGATGCAATCAGGATAGAACAATGTTTTGTTTATAATTAGGAATTCATCAAATGGATAAAAATGGAACCTGTAAACACAGGTTTGTCCTCAGAGGTAGGTTTTGTTTGGTCCCTAGGTCGTAGAAACCCTTGATATTTTACATTGTCTGGGCTTTTTAGACCAATTATTGGTACTTTACCGTTTCTCATGTTTAAGGCCCAGAACACTCTGAGATCATCACTGTGGATTCATAAATCAGGAAAATTGAATTTTATGACTCATATATCTTCAATGTAGGTATTCAACTTGGATCGAGTGAAACCCAAACTGAAGCCACTAGATTTGCCAGCAGATCTTACCGTTAGAGATGCTGTTGATCGAGTGCTGCGTCTTCCATCTGTGGCCAGCAAAAGATACCTCACAAACAAGGTAAGCTTTGAACATCTTTTCTGTTTGAAAAGGAGAAAGGTTTCATTGTTTGCTCAGACATATTTCTTTTGCTTTGAATGTAAACTGTTTCATTCGAAGCATCCAGTTACACCAGTATACCAAGAACTTCATTGCCATTTTGTCCAGTGATTATGAAGCCAAGAAGGTTGAACCAGGTTGCTGTATCAGGCTTTGAATGGATGCTTTTGCATGGCAATTGGTTGTAGACATTTGAAAGAAATTGTGAAGTCCTGCAAAGTAAACTGTCATTCTATGAAATGTCAAATACATTTGCATTTGTTTACGAGTCACAGAATGTAATGGAACTTGTAAATACACCAGCTCGTTGAAGGCTTAACCTTTTAAGAATAATTCTCAATTTGCAGTGTCTCTGACCAATTTTCATAATATCTGATATCGAAAGCCTAAAAACCAGAATAAACATATATTATGCAGTGAAGTATAGGAGAGATTTACCGAGTATTACAGCAGATTTATAAAAAAACCTCTTAAATATTTAAACCAAAAAGTTAAATTATCAAGGAGGGACTGATTTTGAATGACATACTTTTTTTTCATCAGGTGGACCGTTCAGTGACAGGACTTATTGCTCAGCAGCAGTGCGTTGGCCCCCTCCACACTCCTCTTGCTGACGTAGCAGTCACAGCCTTGTCCCATTTTGGCACTGTTGGCTCAGCTACTTCCATTGGAGAGCAGCCAATCAAAGGCCTCGTGGATCCGGCTTGCGGGGCCAGGATGTCTGTTGCCGAAGCCCTGACCAATCTGGTGTTTGCCAGGGTGTCGTCTCTGAAAGTAGGTGGCAGTGATTCAGAAACAAACATATTTGGGCATGATGGTTGCTGGAACATTTAAACAACACGGTTGGTACAGAATTGCTAGCTAGTTACTGTGACCGTTTTTATGAAATAATCGTGCAAAAGTTTGTTTCCACTGTTTGAAAATTCACATTTCAGAGTTTAAATGATTTCGGTGAATTTCAACAGAAATGAAGTAATTCTTGAAAGTGAATTTTTCTGTCAAGCAAATAATAAACGGATCATAGAAAGAATTATGAGAAAAATATGTTTTTCTCAGGATGTGAAATGTAGTGGAAACTGGATGTGGCCAGCTAAACTACCAGGTGAGGGCGCTGCACTTTTTGATGCCTGCGTCGCGATGTGTGATACAATGAAACACCTTGGAATAGCCATTGATGGAGGGAAGGATTCACTCAGCATGGCTGCCAGGGTTGCCAAGGAAACTGTCAAAGCCCCAGGTAAGAACAGTGTTCTCTATACTCCTTTGCTGAATTGAAATCTTTAGTTTTAAATTGGTAGTAATATCGTGCAGTACGTACTATTACACCCTAACAGATTACATCAAACCAAATACTTTGTATTACATTTCAAAGGTGCACTGGTCATATCTGCCTATGTTGGTTGTCCAGATATTAGATGCACGATCACTCCTGATTTCAAGTGTCCAGGAGACTGTGGTGAGTTTTATTTATTGACAGTCATTGAACGGTAATCTTGTTTTCTAATGCTAAGTTTAGTGTATTTTTTCTGTGTCCTTTGCAAGGCACCTTTACTTTTAATATGGACAGGACAGTTTCAAATTGATGTAAATAATAGCAATTTGAAACCTGTATATAGTTTCTGTAAATTTTTAGCATTTTCTCATTACGTTTAGTGAAATGTTTTTCAGAGGCTCCGCTACAAAAATATGCGTGCTGACTCTGCAAGTCAATGCACTAGTTTTCTTGGAAGCCCTTCTTTGGTTAAATTCTTCCAACTAAATTATAGTCTCTTTTCGAAAGGTTTTGGATTTTAGGATGTGGTTGTTAAAATCTTACCCCCATTCACTGCTGCAGGGAGCATCTTGTTTGTTGACCTGAGCTGTGGCCATCGTCGCCTTGGAGGCTCGGCCCTGGCTCAATGCTACAAGCAGCTTGGTGATAGCGTGCCTGATCTTGAGAATGCAACCATGCTGGCTGATGCCTTCAATGTCACCCAGGAACTTCTTGCCGGTTTGTTGACAAATTCATCTAGTCAAAATTGGAATGATTAGTCAGAGCCAGGATATCTTTTGAAAAATGTTGTTAAAGCAAGGAATAATTTAATTTCTAACTTACAAAAATTCTTGTCAAGGTCTGTTTGATAGCGTACAAGCAAATCAGAGAAACTTGGAAAGGAAAAATTTGTTATTACAGTTGGAAATGTGTCCACATGTCCATACCACATTTTTGTTTTTGTTTTAGAGGGCTTGTTGACGGCTGGTCATGATGTCAGTGATGGAGGGTTAATTACCTGCCTGTTGGAGATGACCTTTGCAGGGAATTGTGGGATAGATGTCAGCATACCAAATGGCAAGAAGGGTAAGACTTGTGCACTCTTTGCAAAGTATTGTAATTTTGCAAATGAGCAAGACTGGTATAAAAGGGAACAATTTCCGGCAGAGGAATAGATGTTCTTTGTAGCAAAGAGAAAAGTTGAGTGCAATGCTCACTTTAACTTATCCAGAATTTTCTCAGTCCTGCGAATTCCCTTACTCTTGAGGAAACCAGTATTACATTCTTTGCTCTTCAACTCTCAAGGGCACCAGTTTGCATCTAATTGGAATAAAGCCAGGGTGTACTGTATTCCAAAATCTGTTGGATTCTGAAGGGTTTGGGAGTATTTAGATTACTGTTAGGCTGCGTCTGAATTACTTGCCTGTGGCCAAAATTACACACTAGTCTATGGTAGTGGTTTCAGCCACTTCCCATAGTTAGGTGCGTGATTTCGGCTTGCAAGTAATTCAGATTTGGCCTTAGATTCTATACCAAAATAGTCTGATTGCCAGTTGTGTTTATGATGTGTAGTATCAGGTTTGAAGGTACTTTTTGCGGAAGAGCTCGGTCTGGTGTTCGAAGTGTCAACTGAGAATGCTGAGGCTGTGTGCCAGAGGTATGCTGGGAAGGGAGTGCCTTGCTCTGTGATTGGTCAGTCATGTGGCCAGGGATCAGACTCCATGGTGAGACTTGTATGACTTTTTCCTATTTGGCAGTCATGTATTATCATTGAAGCTATGACAAGAAAAGACAAAAACAGATTGATTTCAACTGACTTATTAAAAGACGTGTCTCTAGTTAAGGGGCATTCTCCAGCATGCATGAATCCTCCACTCTGCAGAAAACCAGCGGCGCATCCTTTAATCTGTGTTTTCAAAGGGCGGATCAAGACCGAGTGAAATAACCATGGCTGGGCCCTACCTTTCTCCGTCCTGTAAAAGTCTGTCCCAACTTCTTGGCCTTGTGGATTTGGAAGGATCCGAAGGGTGAGAGTCTAGAAAAGGGGAAGGTGGAAGGATTGATTTAAACCATACCTTGCTCATATGACAGGTGCGAGTCTCGGTGGATGGCAGTGATGTTCTAACTGAACAGATGGTGGTCTTGAGAGATATCTGGGAAGAGACTAGTTTCAGCCTGGAGAATCTGCAGGCCAATCCGGATTGTGTCGCTGAGGAGAGACTAGGCCTGGCACAGAGGGTGGCTCCTCCATACAAGCTCACCTTTGACCCTAACAACCACAAAATAGATGCAGGTATCGTGAGCACCAACTTGGGTTGGATAGATCTGTCTTTTCTTCAAGTGAATCCTTTTAAACTTCTTTCATGAATAACTCACACTCGCAAAATGTTGGGGTCAAAAGTTATGCACCACAGAAGGATTCAGTATTGCTAGGCATAATATACAACATGATGCATATGATACACAGTGAACCTTTGTTTGCCTAAAGCTGAGATAATTGTTGTGATAACTTTCAGTGCAGACATCATCCATTTCAAGGATAAGTTTTTCATATATACGCTTGACACAGAGGTGGCCAAACCAGGCTTTGTTCGACCTAAAGTGGCTGTGATTCGTGAGGAGGGCAGTAATGGTGATCGTGAGATGGTTGCGTCGCTCTTCAGTGCCGGTTTTGATGTGTGGGATGTCAATATGCAGGACCTTGCCACAGGAAATGTCACACTGGACCAGTTTAGAGGCGTGGTCTTTGTTGGGGGATTCAGCTATGCGGATGTGTGTGGATCTGCAAAAGGTTAATAGACCAGAAAGTCACATTTACAATCGTTATCATCGTTAATTACCATTTTGAAATTTCAAGAAGTATGAAAAAGCTTTCTAGCATTTTGAGAAATTTGGTACTTTTTTGAGTGGAAATCTGGAAAATGATGTGAGATTTCACCGTGAGTTCTTAAAGTTTCTGATGCAGTAGAATGCCTGTAAAAACAATGTTTATTGGAATGTGTGATGTTTTTTTACAAATCTGTTAGGTTGGGCAGCAGCGATCCTGTTTAATTCCATTGTGCGCGCTCAGTTTGATGCATTCCGTGCTCGTAGTGACACATTCTCTCTGGGTGTCTGCAATGGCTGTCAGCTGATGGGCTTACTGGGCTGGGTGGCCCCAGACAATGGACCAGGGATGCCAGATGGAGGTAATATCCTAAAAACAAAGTAAATCTGATAATAAGCTTGGAAGCTGCAGTTTCATAATGAATTTCAGTTCATACAAACCTTGAAAATTCACCCTTGTGTCTCAAGTAACCGTAAATTTCCTCTGCTGCAGTGATTCATTATGTAAAGAGCACGGTATTATGAGCAACCCTTTCTCAGGAATGTTCCAATCAGCAAATGTTGGTTTCACAGTTGTAAAAGACAATTTCATTATAAGTCCTCCCCAATTCAAATTGCAGCTACAGTGCCTTAAGTTGTCCAGGAGAGTGTGGATATTTTAAAATATCGAAAAAAGTGGTTTTTTTTCAACACATATCCAAAGGGATACAAAATAGTTTTCCTAAAAAAAGAGGATTATAAAAGTGCATGAAGATAAATTCAGCCCAAAGACCCTTCCAGTAAATGACAGGACAAATAAACCTAATTTCCAGGATGATTTTCCCTTTTCCTCTTTCCAGATTCTGCATCTTCCAGACAGGGTGTCTTCCTGACACACAACAAGTCTGAAAGGTTTGAGTCACGCTTTGTGAGTGTGGGAATCAGTGAGAGTCCTTCTGTTCTCCTTCAAGGCATGGAGGGGTCTGTTCTGGGCATCTGGGTCGCCCATGGAGAAGGTACACATTTTATTATTATGTTGGTGAAGGAGACTGTTGCAGTGTCAGCTTTACCGAGTGACAAACTACATGTACATGGAGAGATGTTTTTTTCTTTGCCAGATAAAAATTGAAAATTTGCAAGAGTAAGTGGAAAGCTTTTGAATGATATACTCTTGATTCGGTTGGTGTCGCAGCAATTTTAGAGCATCTTGATCTACATGTGGATATAGTCACTCCAAATTAATGGAAGTCCATTCCTTTGATAATACTATGAAGATAACTCATTAGCGGTGATATAGGGACTGACTGATTCTTTTTTTTCTGTTTTTACACTTTGCAGGCTACATGAAGTTTGCTACAGACACTATTGTCAACCAGGTCACTCGGAACAACCTAGCACCCATACGCTACGTGGATGACCAGGGTCGCCCTACCACCCAGTACCCACTCAACCCAAATGGATCCCCGGAGGGGGTGGCTGCCCTGTGTTCCCCAGATGGGCGACACCTGGCCCTTATGCCCCACCCAGAGAGGTGCACCTTCATCTGGCAGTGGGCATGGATGCCGCAAGAGTGGAAGCAGGACGTCAAGGTGTCACCCTGGATGTACATGTTCAAGAATGCATGTTCCTGGTGTCTCCAGAATGCTTAGAGGAATTTCAGGGTATTCTCAGTACAACGGTATTGCTTATTTATGAAGCTCACAATGTGACATTTGTGGTTCTAGAGTGTGGTTCTTAACTTGACACAAGTTGGTTTTAAAAAGCAGTTGAAGATTGATTCACAAAGCACATCCTGCACAATTAGAAAAGTAATGAATTCTTAAGGATGGTTCGGATAGAATGTGACAAAATGGGACACAATGTTTTCCCAAATTAAATTTAGAGATATCATACCTATTATTCAGCAGTGTTAACTGGATTTAGTCAATTAAGCATTGTCACATCTGTGATCATCCCAGTGAATTGATATCAATACACTGTGTATGGTAAAAATATTCATCAAGTTCTTAATTCTTGAGAGGAATCTTTGACAAAAAAATGAACATGCATACGTGTGTTCTGGTGTATAATGCGTTCACTAAGGGAACAGTCGAGTCCATTCCATTTAAATTGTAATTTGTGAGGGTAAACAAGAAAAGCCCAAATGCAAGGATGTATCCAGTTTGAATTTAGGTATAGGGTGATTGAGAATTTTGCTTGATGGAGATAATTTAACAGTACATACTTTTTGTCTGAAAAAGCTGTACCGTAAATGATGTACAATAGGCCTATGTGTTGATGGTGTCAATCTTTTGTTTACATGTATGTTTTTTTAATGGACCTTGGAATCCCCCGGCTAGCCTGCCTCCCTCAGCTTGCCTGGCTCCCAGAGGAAAGAGCACATGTAAGTAAAGTGTGACATCATCAATACATATGCCTATTTCAGTTCTACATTTGCATTTAGTTATGTTATCTTTTATTTTTTCTTCAGTTTCTGTTTCTGTTTTCACTGTATAATATCAAGGTTATTTGATCTTATTTGACATGGAGATGAATGCCATGTTTGATATACGAAATCTGTGCAGGTGACGCAAAAAGCTTGGTAACTTCTGTCACCAGAATACACTACATGATAGGAGAATTAATCATGCGTGCTGTTGGTTTGTAGCCTTACAGAAACAATCCTGAATTACCAACCATCCAGACCATATATTTTGAAATTGTTGGAATTACACAAATGGAATTATTTAAATTATTTTTTTAGTTTCTTCCAGGGTATGCTGTGTGTTATTTTTGTAGCCATTAATATCAACGTTTCCTGATGTTACTGAAATTTATTTACTGAAATTCTAAGAGCTGTATTTTTTTTTCACATGTCACTTGGTTTTAAAGTGACACACGACTTTAAACATGGTCAGGTGAGAGGTTAATAAAAGTACTTCCATTCATGTTCTTGATGATGTTGGGAAACTTGTTCTCTCAAAATAAAAGAAAAACATAAATTGAAAACTAACAAAATGTGAAAGACATAGAAAGAAAACAAAAAGAAACACAACTGCAATAATTGACAAAATATTAAGTGCATATTTATCAAGAGACTTCTTTGGAATGGCAAAAGGGCATGTCACAACTGTCTGTGACACGGCTACATTTTTACTGAGCCCCCTCCCCTTTGACAATTGTCTGAAACTGTCATTGAAATCTTACAGGTGGAACGTCTTGTGCATCTTCAAATTTACAAAACAATATAGCCTTTTGGGAAGAACATTCATTCTAAGAGCTCCATCAAATTTTGGTTGACTATTTTTCTTGCAGAAATTCTGCTCAAGCAGAGATGTCCTTTTCTCTTTTGTTAAATGAATTTCTGGTTCTGAAAGTTCTGACAGAAACTGGTAGCACATTTCAGTACATGTACAAACGTTGACAACTCTCAAATGAATTCCACAAATTCATAAAGCAAACAAAATAAATTCAAAGGAATACATCATTGATAAAACAGTGCAAAATAACTGGTACAAAAAAAACATACAAAATCTAAACATTCTAAAGACTAATAAAGCATCTATCATTGGTTTTAGTCATGAAATATTTGCAGGAAAAGAATTCATTGAATTTTGTTTCCAAAATTGTTACCACTAACCTGAAGGAAAGGGAATTCAATGATTTTGGAAAAGTGACTTGGCCTGAGAAATTTGGCATACACCTGTTGGTGAGAATTACTAGCCTATCATTCAGTCATTGGCCATATTTTTGTGCACAATTTTCAAATTCAAACTGTCTTGCACTTCCGTATTTCAAGATTACAAAGTTTCTGTATGGCTGATGGAGAATATTGCTAGCAACTGCTGATGGCTGTAACATGTCATCAGCTCAATGAAATGAGGCCATTCAAACAGCAGCTGAAACCCTCTGAGGATATTTTGTTAACAAGAACGGGACAGATTTCTTCATTCTGGGTTGAAAGGTTGGCCCATGTTCCTCTTCTCAACCCTAAGACACACCAAGGCAACCACAAAATCTAACTGAAAAGACTCAACTTGAAACCGAGAAAAGACGAGCCAGCCTATTAGCATCTGCATCAGTTTCTATCTGTAAGTTCAATAACTCTTGTCTTAGCATGCACGCCCTGTCAGAAGCACAGGCTTCAAGATGTAAATCGGAATTACACCATTTTCTCCTTTCGCTCTCAAAATCCCCTCTGACCTGTTTCAGTTTGTCCCCACCAGAAGGCCCTGCACTGCTGCTATCCCCAATCACAGCTTGGGAGTTATGGCCCTGCAACATGGATGAGGAAGCAGTGACTAGCAACTGCTGCAGACTTCTGGATGTGCACTGCAATTCCTTGTCAATGGCAGTCAGGGAAGTTTCCATGGCAGACCAGATCTGATTGGTTGGTGGGAGGGGTTTGATGATGATGTCATCGGGAATTTGCTGATACAGGTGCTGGCAGAAAAGGAGGAGGTCTGTTTGATTCCTGAAATCAAGATAAGATAGACATGACCAACAGCCAGTTCATACTTCAAGCAATGAAGAAGCAAAACAAATATGATGTCATGAAAAATTTGAAGCCAACTTTTGCCCAAGTGCTCAACTTTTATGAATCCCCATTGAGAATATTTGATCTGACACTGGAATTTGCATTCATTTTCAATTTCATGCGATGCATGTACCAGCCTTAACCACTTCCTGCCGGGGCAGTTATCAACGTATCAATCTCAATAATCAATCTCATCAGAAGGAATCCACTTCGCTCTCGTAGCACCAGGGTAGTGATAAGATTATTTCGTGAATATGCAGTGGCAGAAATTTGTGCTGGAAATTGGGGGGGGGGGGGTTGGGGGATGGAGAAAGGTGAAGGCATGACTTGCATCGCCATGAAAATTTGAAAAGCAGGGGGGAGATGACATGAATGATTCTATATAGAAGTCTATGTTCATATGATTGATGTACAGATGCACACATGTACAGTATGTCACATTCATGCAGAATCTGAATTCAGAATGGCACATTTATGGCTTTTTTTTGTAGTTTCCCCGCCTTTTCTGAGTGATATCGAATACATTTAAGTCGGTGAGAAGTCTCAAAAAGTCTTTACATTCCTCTATAGTTTTTTGCTCATCACAAAAAAGTGGGGAGGATGATTCAACAGCCCATCGCCCATCTATAAACGTGGGGGGTATACAATACATACCCCCGTCCCTCCAGGATTTATGCCCATGTGAATATGAGATCATGATTTCATCAGAAGGAATCCAAGTAATGATAAAATTCTTTGGTGAACATGAGATATGGATTTCATCAGGTGGAATCCACTCTTTGAATGTGCCAGAAAAAATAAAACCACCCAAGTACACGTATGCAGCCAAATCATCCATTGTATGAAACAACTCCAACTTTAAGAAATGGCAACTCTCAACCAATCTTGCAATGAAAGTTGTCTTCAAGAATCTTGCATTTTAACAGGAATCAAAGTTACCTGTATGGTAACTTGATTTTGGGGTCAGGAGGTAAATTTCGTGAGCAACATTTATCTTACATGCTAAGCAAAGTCTTAATGGCAGGGTTTTAGCAATACCCAGCATCCATTACAGAGAGCTGTGCCCTGTGACAGGTTGGGAATGGACAGTTCAGTTGCAACATTTCCTATGATAGCCATTCATATTTGAAATGTGGAAAGACCCCTCCCCCAAATAATTCCTCAGCTTTAGACTGGCCAACGTTTATGATGATTAAGTGAGGAATCCATTTCTTTTTCCATTCTATCAACATACCTACTCCATACTGTCAATTTCATCTTCTTTGGTCCCTCTAGGGACACATTTTTTAATCTTGTCATGCAGAGAGATCCAGAAGAAGCTATCATTCCACCCTGCCTTGGCAAACTCTGGAACCCTAAGGAGCTCTTCAGGGCGCCCTCCACACACTGCAGGTTGCTGTGCTTGGATATCAGCAGGAGGGGTGTGGCCAGTTGGAGGACGTCAAGAGCTTGCATATCACGCAGATACTCTCCTTCTGTTCCAAAAGACAAAGGACCAAAAATTTACTAGGAGGCGACAAAAGAAACAAAATGTTGACCCCAAATTACCATTTATGCTCCGTCCTGTTTGTGGCCTATATTCCTATACTAATTTGACTTCAGCTCAAAGTTCATCTGAAGTGTGATTTTGTAAGAAATACAGGATAGCCTCCCAAAAATGCAACTCAAGGTAATATTATGTGACCCAGCTATGACCAAGCTTTATTTGACTTGAAAAAGGGTTGATTGGCAAACTAGGGAACAGAAATGAACAATAGTGAGTAAACATTAAACTACTAATAAGGTATAAGACAATAAAAAAGTACATCCGCTTCATTAAAGATTTACAGCAACTCCAGGGTCCATCCAAGAATTCTAACTCTTGGTCATTGTTTTACACAATAGACAGTTGCTTCATACTAACGAGCTCAATAGTAGTAGCATAACCCTCCACAAATGGGATTCTCCTTGTCTTTGCAGGTGCACTGATCACGCAATTACCGTAGCTGTATGCAACCCAGCCCATACAGCAATATCAATAACCATTACTGTGTAGCGATCTTTTAACACTGAAGGGCTCGTGCACTAAAAGTGCCCGGTCACAATTATTTCTCCCCAAATTGTCAGAAATTGTTGTTTTTGGTATGAAATTAAAGCTTAAGGTGTTACCCTTTCAAACCTGAAGACTTCATTTAAATCTGATGATGCTTTGTGGAGATATTTTCAATTATGTGACACAACCCATTCTTCATTCAGTCCGACGGAAGTTTATACAATAATCTTGCAAGTCCATGCACTCAATGCATTCAAATCCTATTTACACAACTGTTTCCGTTCCTTACCTCTTCCAAATTTCTTTCTTACTCTGTGCTTAGTAAAACTGATGCATATTTCAAGTACTGTACATTTATATGTACTTGATTGCACAGATCTGTTATGGGGAGTCAGGTTGGCAAGGTAGTTCTTCCCTCACCTTCCACCCCTGTGGTCCCGGGTTCGATTCCTGGCCTGGTCAACATGTGGATTGGGTTTTCAGTCCCTACCTGACCCGGTGGGTTTTACCCAGAATATTCCTCTGGGGTTTTCCTCCCACCTCTAAAACTGTAACTGCTTCTTACTGTCTCCCCTTTACTGATGTTGGTGAATATGGGTCGTTTGGCGGCTGCCCGAGGCACCCTCGTATGCCATCAGCTCAACCACGTTTAAATGTACTCATTGTTCCACGCTTAATGTCTTCATTGTACAGTACATTTGAACATATCTATATGAAATTCGTGCTATTATCATGAATAAATTATAATTATAATAAGCACAACGTCAACCTGGGCAGTTTGTGATCAAGGACAACTGGACATAATACCAACTTAATTGCTGTCACACTTTGGTTGGGTTCCATTCAAGTGTGTCTAATGGCCATCCTCCCTTGATCATATCCTCAGGTACCGGTACGTGACTGCAGCCTAGTCCATACAATTGGTCCGTACAATGACTCTATATCAGTGACTTTTAATGAAACATCATCAAGAAAACGACACTCTTTCGTTAATTCTGTTTTCCAGGGTACAGGTACGTGACTGCACCTTAATAAAACACCGCCTTTCATTGGTCCATACAATGACTCTATATCAGTCACTGTGAACGAAATATTAGCAAGAAAACGACACTCTGTTGTTAATCATTTCTTTTCTTTTCAAAGCAATGCACTGCATTGATTGCACTGCATTGCATACAGTTCATGTACATGTATATTGCACGTACCCTGCATCATACGGCGTGCAGTCTGCTGGCAGTGAGCAATCCACATTCTAGTCTATAACTGTCTGTCCTCTGATTTGTCCAATGTAAAAAATACACTCTGTGATAAATTTTAGAATTAAAGCTAAGTTGAAGACAAGTTGAGATGGATCAGAAGTTGCTGCAGCCTGCAGATGTCAACATGTCAAGCACAAAGTACTTCAGTGCACTGCTTCAGTGCACTCTCCTGCTTTTGTTAGCACTGGTGGCACCTGCCAAGTTGGACGGTGGCTGTGCTCTTAACTCAAAATACTATCATGTTTTGGATCATGCACTGCTTGGGCATGCCTTTATGGTTAAAATGACAGACTCGCCACTCTCTTGCGCAAAATATTGCCTGATGAGTCCACCTTGTGCATCATTTAACTACTACCGGGGTAACAGATCATGTGAGCTCAACAATGCAACAAGGAGTATGTTCCACTGTGAATTTGTCAAATGGTATGGAAGTGTCTACTTTGGTACTGATAAGGTCTCTAACTCCTCATCACACAATTCAGCAGTTTCTCTGCCAACAAGCTGTAAGCAGCTCATGGAGGCTGGCTACAATCAGAGTGGAATTTACAGCATTTATTCAGATGGGGTTGGTAGTGGCCTACAGGTCTACTGTGACCAAACAAATCATGGTGGAGGGTGGATTGTCTTTCAGCGCCGCCAGGACGGCACTGTGGACTTCTACCGTGATTGGAAAACCTACCAGGACGGATTTGGCAGCCTGAATGGGGAGTTTTGGTTGGGAAATGACTACCTTCGCAAACTGACAGAATCCTCAAGTGAAACATGGCAGCTGCAGATTGATTTGGAGGATTTTGCTGGCCAGAGACGCACGGCAGGATACAGCCGTTTCAAGATTACAGGAGACAAGTACATTCTCAACATCGACACTTTCACTGGAGATTCAGAGGATTCACTGACGCTTCACAAGAACAGCCCATTCACAACCAAGGACAATGACAATGATGGTAAAACAGATGGTAACTGTGCACAGATATATGAAGGGGCGTGGTGGTTTAAAAATTGTCACTGGTCACATTTGAATGGTAAGTACTACCACTCTGGGAATCCAATTCTACATGCTCATGGGGTCCGGTGGGGCAGTGATACGTCCCTCAAAAAGTGCAGTATGAAAATGCGTGAATGGTGAAAAACATTATATTTTAAAGTTGAGGAAAAGGGACTACAACTTGCAAAAAAATATCAAACAAATACAATGAAGAAGTTTCTGATGTACATGCATGTATGTACTGTACGTGTATCTGCTTTGAGCAGCACATTCAGAAGTGTTTTATCTCAATTTTTAGTCAGTACCAGTAGACTGAGAGTCTTCATGATCAATATAGCCGTTTCACAATAGTGCGCCACCAAGAGTTTGCAACGCGTTGGCCAATCACAATGCGCGAAATTTGTTGAACCAATGTGCGTTTGAAAAGGGTCGACAAATTTTGCGCATTGTGATTGGCCAGCGTGTTGCAAACTCTTGGTGGCGCACTATTGTGAATCCCCGTATTACAAATGTTGTCAAGTAGGAATTCATTCTAGATATACACAGGAATGGAAGTCACATTTTTAAGGCTGGTGATCATCTTTTTAACTTTTTCTTAATAAATTTTCAGCAAGTCAGCATGTTACGTATTTCAAAGTAAGCAAATGTGTTGATCCACTTTGCATAAAAATATCTCCAAAAGTCTGTGATTAAACTAGCCCAGGTGGACTCCCTGAGAGTACTATATTGTAACAACTAGCATCCAACTTTGGCTCGGTTTAAACCAACAAAAATTGGAAAGAGAGTGAAACATAAGATAAAAGCTTTAATTTGATGTACATGTACCCGTACATGATTTGAAAACTAATTTCTTGAAGTGAAGATACCGATATTAAATCACATTTTTTTGCTCACTGGTCTTTCCCAGTTTAAACAACCTTGAAAGACTTGCACACTGATATTCTACTATGTTGTGTTACATTCAGAGTTGGACACTTGAAATTAAGATATTTTACATGTTGATCGCGATTAGGACTCATTTCATTTATGTGCTCAATCTAACAAGTTTAATTTACATCGAGACAGCTACGTTTACATGTAAGTGGCTAGGGAGGAAAACAATAAAATCTCTGCCACTCTGAAATGCTTGTTACATGTTTGTGTGTCAATATTCTTATTGCGATGTACATGTACAGTTGTACGACACTTTATTTTGCTGGCATGCAGGTGGAGGGCCTGCGGCAGAGAGCCCTGGCCCGTTTCTTTTGTTGTAATACTGACCACCAGTGACCATGCCAGAAATTGGCATCTACATGTACATTTACAGTATGTACCCTGGTATGTTTTGGGGATTTTTCGGCAAGACAGTGCATGGGAAGGGTTCGGCCAGGTTCCAGGGCAGGGAAAAGTTAAACACTGACATAAATTTTGGACATAGAGCTAGTTTTGACATGTCTGAGTGGGAATCAAGCAGTGCAGTGAGCGGACGGCACACAGTTGTGAGCTGAAATAAGTTTTGCTTGAGTTGGAAAACCTGTGTTGTGTCCTTTTTCTTGCATTTTGTGGTAACTAGAGGACAAGGATCCCTATAGGATCAAGCTACCTTATTAATACATAACCGGTACATGTAGGTACTGACATGACTGAAGGACTCATTTGGAATGAGCCAAACCTGAAAAAAAAGTAACAATTTTTTATATGAAAATTAAAAAAATGCAATTTTGTTGCCACTTGTTTGAAATACAAATCGTAGAGTTACTGTGTTTTAAATTCAATGATTTTCAGAAGGGTTAAGTTAATTTTATTTAAATCACAACTTACATCAGTAATTAAATCAAGGTGATTCAAATTGCCAAACCCTGCACACTCTATGAGTACTGTTGTTGCAGTGTAAGTATTCTACTTTTGTCAGTGAGATAATGATGAATCTCGAAGCATTTTAAGATAGAGCACAGAGTAAGTTTTATATGAATTGAGTGACTTTTAATCTTAAACTACATGTAGCAAAAGCACAACTGTACAGGTAGCTTCAAGTTTGCAATGGTACTGTACATGAATTTGTATGCATCTTAGTGTTACCATTTCGGTATAACAGTTTCTTACAATGTAGAAAGAGCAACTTTATCAATAGATGGGCAAAGTTTCAATGTATTTAATGTTCAATGTAGCATAGGGCAATGCATGGTGATCATCACCCACACTGAACTTTGATCAAAACTAAAAGGCTAAGTTTGCACCATAGACAACAGGAACGCCTATCATTATAGCAGGGCTTTCATCATAGCAGTTGATGTATTGTGAATGTACCTGTATATAAACATGACAAATCAGCAAAGCCTGGTATAAACAGTGAGTGCAATGCAAGGTATTCTAATGTACAGTGTACATGTATGTAGTTTCCATATTACATGTAATTTCATTCTAAGATTTAAGTCTGTTGAATCATATGTTCATGTGTCTTCTCTGGTATATGAAATCAGTCATTGCCAGATACTCATAATCTGCAACATACGCGTATGTTACAAAAAGTGACACTCTTTAGAACTGAATGGTTGAAATTCCCCTACCCAAAAATTTCACCAAATCAAAGAATGCAATAAACAAATATTATGCCCCACATAAATTAAAATTTGCTAGCTTCATGTACTCATACACGCACATGTAGAACCCTGGCTGTTCAACAAGAGATGAAAAATATAGAGCAACCAGTCAGCTGAGATATTCTGGTTCGCAGAAAAACAAAAATGCGCACAGCACACACACTTAATGAAGTTATCAAAGCAACTCATCAGTGACTACGGCCTGACCTGACAAATAAAGTAATCAAAGCAATATGGAGTTGCTTTACAAGTGTTAATGCTGAACAACCTTGAAATGCATTAATTACTGAGTGGCCTAACGAAATGAGAATTGTGGGTATTACTCTGTTTATGGGTTGAATGAGTGATGAGTACAAATTAGCAATGAAAACCAATTATCAGGATTATTCTTTCATTACCATGAAGGCTGTCATCATAAATCAAACCCTTTCTGAAACAATTTTTGAAGTTTGTTTATCTTAAAATAAAACTTCTTAAGCATATTATTAAAGCATCTCATGAGAGGTTTGAGTATTTTCTTTTCAGTTTGGGTTTTTCTTTTGTTTTTAATGTTATCTACAAGAGTAATGTCTAATGAATAGGCACGTCAGTATCCCTCCTCTGAAAAGAGATTTTATTGGAAAGAAATGACTTGCTGTCTTTGTATCACTGGATGAAGTCAAGTTCCATGAAAAGGTGTGTCATTACACCTTATTTACATCCAGCAAATGTTGATTACCGTGATGTGCTAGCATGGAAAGCAACCAAATAAAGAGTGGTGTCGTGCATGTACATGTATATATGCAAATGTTCAAAGAGAAGCATGACTGGATCATCTACACAAACTAAAAGTATGAGTGAATGCTCTAAGGAATTCAAAATGTTTAATTTCAGGTCTTAAGCAGACTTTTGCATAGAACCTCCAATCACACATGATAAGACAGTGAATAAATATATGTGCTTAGCCGGTCTTAAACATGTGTTTAAGACCAGCTCAAGAGAATGGAGGCGACTTTGGGGCTCGGGCATTATCAGCGTTCGTTCTCCTGAGCAAGGTCTTAAACACATGTTTAAGACCGGCTAAGCACTTATATTTATTCACTGTCTTATCATGTGTGATTGGAGGTTCTATGCAAAAGTCTGCTCATAAATACCTTTGAATTCAGAGAGTCAAAAAAAAGTCGACATGTGATGCACTTTTGTTCTAAACTTTTAATTTCATTTCCTGAACACCCCTGTCCATTTTATGGTATCTTCCTTGGCATACTATGCACACACTCTCCTGACTAATCAGACTTGATTCAACTGTCTCATACATGTACATGTATCTACATGTATGCGTCAATGCGTGATTTATGCAGCAGACATTATCACTTCTCGGTGGCATTATCAAATATTAATACACGGTCACATGACACATTTCAAGCAATAGGAATTAAAAAACTGTCCTAGGTACTTATGAATAAGGGAATAAATACATGTACGTGCTTGACCAGTCTTAAAAATGATCTTAAATACAGGAGAATGGATGTGATTAATGTCTGAGCCACAGGCAAGGGCATTAATTGTGTCTTCTATTTGCAGACTATTTCCCATGTCTTGCACAAGTAGTGCAGAAGAATCTCATGAGGATTTGGTGTGCACGTGGAAAGTTCTGTGCGCCATGGCAAGCTCATACTCTTGACCAATGGGAATGAATTAAACTGTCTTGTATCCAGGTGTCAGCACGTCTTTATGCAGTGGGCATTATCATATCACAGCGGGCATTATCAAATGGTAATACACGGTTATATTTTGGATATGGAAATCTCTCTAAGGTATTTATGAATTATTCATCACACACCAACAGAGAAAAGACCATACATGTAAAAACTTACGATACAAAAAAAAAAGAAAAAAAAATTCACACTGCCTCATATGGGCAGCAATGTTGATAGTGATGCCCCGATGAATATCATTTGCCTGTAAACTTATACCACACTAGCCATGCCAAAACAGCCATGCCAAGGAAAGCCATGGCCAAAACAGCCATGCCAAGGAAAGCCATGGCCAAAGCAGCCATACCAAGGAAAGCTATGGCCAAAGCAGCCATACCAAGGAAAGCCATGGCATAAGCAGCCATACCAAGGAAAGCCATGGCCAAAGCAGCCATACCAAGGGTTTACTTTTCTTGCTTTCTCTGGTATTACATCTTATTTCTCTAATTTCAAGCTCACTCAAAAGAAACTGGCAAAGTATTTCTTGCAAAATAACACACATCTACCTGCAAAACAAATTTGGTACAAATTCACAAATTTAAGCATTTCATAATTTCAGCACTATAAAAACTGCTGAAATTGGCCTGTAAAGTCACCAGATTCAGATGAGATTTGTGTAGGAAAACCAAATACATTACAGAAAAAACTGCTCTGGACGTAAGTAAACATTGCATTAAGTATTTACCTGATTTTGTGGGATCCAACATGTCCAACGGGTTTAGCAGTATTTTGCCAGTTGCCACATCAGAAGCATGCAAGCACGCACCACCACACAGCCGCCGTCTATCAACAAACTGATCTTTGTCAAAAGAAAGCCCCGCCTCAGTTTCATCAGCTGTGATGATGACATTACTTCTGTTGCCAGTGCAAAGTTCTCTCCAGTGCAGCATCACAGTACATGCTGCGACTGGTTTGGAGACAAACTCAGGAATACCCATTACACCAACTACTGTGGTCTTTTGTCCAGGCTCCAGAAAAGCTGTCTTCATGTTCTGGCCCAGCTTTATCCTCTTTTCCAGTGGTTCTCCATATTCTGTCATCGTTCCTATGCCAACCCCAGGCAGTGAGGTTGTGCCTGCAACTGAGACTACTGATTTGAAGCTGCAAGTGGATGTGCTTGAGTTGAGACTAGCTTGAGTAGCACTGGCAGGGATCAGTGAAATGCACACATTGCAAATAGGCCTAGAAAAGCCAAATAAAATAACACCCAAATCAACGCAAATTCATTCCAGGAAAACTATACAAGAGCCACCAATATGAAGAAATTTCTAGCAATGTAAACTGCATCTGAACTGAAAACTCCAAACTTCTTCACAACAATTACGTACAATGTGGGGGTCCATGTGGAGGAAGTCACTTTCATTAGACGGTTATCTAAAATAAGACAACTTATCCTGCGAGAAATTTCAGTGCTGAAAAATTTGACAACTTGTCCATCTGGATTTTCTTTGTGAGCAGTGAGTGGGAACAACGGCATGGAAACAGGTTACCAGCTAAAAGTCACGTAATATACATTGCCTGCCACTGGTTCTCAACTAAGTTTCTAACAGCATTAAAAAAAGACCCACCTGTCAGACTTGTTGAGCAACTCGATGCCAATGATCCACTGATTATCCAAAATACGATGCCAAGCAGACAGACATTTTGGTGTTGAGTCATCATCCATTTTTCCATTCCTTTTCCCCTCACCTTCTGCAATGTCTTCACCCGAGAGGTCACACAAGCACGACAGTGAAGTCTAAGAAAAGTAAAGCAGTGCAAACTAAACTTTACTGAGACTCTAACAATAACAGAGCTTCAGTTTTAAGAACAGCCACTGAATCCTAATGTTCCTTACTTGTGTGAGAAAAGTCCTAAATAAAGAAAATGACCGAACTAAAATTACAGTTCTGATCACTTTTAATCTATGAGAAGAAACAGGAAAAATTTGAGCCAAAATACTTGAAACAATGTTCAGTATGTTACAGAGTGCACACCAGTTTTTTGTGGCTGTCGTTTTAGTGAGGGGTTTCTCTCTTCATCAATTTTTTTTTGTTTGATGGGGCCATCATTGCCAGACTGAGTAAGTCCCTTATCGTCAAAGACATCATAATTAATAATAGCAACTTTGGAGAACAGAACAGATTCAGGAAGCTCATTTTTAAGCAGATATTGATCATGTTTCTCCCATTTTTACACCAATGTATGTATGGGTGATGCCTTTGCTTCACTTATACACAATCACAACTTTAATACTGGGGATCTATTGTGGTAAATCTGTTTTAGATGATATCTTTACTTTGAAATGATTTTCAATGAAATCAGGAAACTTTTGAGTTGGGTTATTTTCCTTAATTTAATACAACACTCATCACACTGACATGACTGGAGTGAATTATTTAACAGGTCATAACTTTGAGTAAATTACAATGTTTATTGGGTTAGACTTAAAAATGGTTTATTGTACATGTCATTAACTGCACAAGTGATACAGGCTAGTGTGAGCCGTACACCATCAACAATCGCCTCCAACAACCGGGGAGAATAAAAATTGATCCACAAACACTCTCTCGGGTCAGTTCATCACGTTCGAGACCACTGTTCTCATGTTGGCTCAACTCGAGTGTTATCAAGAACAGGAATTCAAAAATGCTCTTGGTGTTTTCTAAGCCAAATGGCTGCAACGGAAAAATGGGTTCAGTGGATGATACAGATGGCTTTTGTTGTGTAAAACAACGCAGCTCTTCAAACGTTTTCTACTGATAACTTTTTGACAATAAAAAAATAAGAAAGTTCCCACTTACACCAAAGGATATTAATAGAACTAACTTAAGAAGGCATGCTGCAACAACAAATGACAAGCTTACACTGGGTGATGGTAGTGGTGGCATCGGTTCAGCCATCTTGTACAAAGCATGCTGGGATTGCTTGATGAGTTGTGCCTTGAGATGGCACTGTGATTCTAACGACCTCAGTGCTGCCATACCTGCCTAAATATTGGTAAAAATGACAAAACTTTACAAATTTGCAGCTTTATAATGGAATACAAGTGAGAATAAGCAAGAAAATAAACAAAATCTTAACTTCATAAATACAAAGAGAGAAATGTTAAGTGAGACAGGTTTGCGGTAACACCATGGAAGAATACTATCTCGTTTGTGAGAGTGTGGTTCTGAGAGGAACCGGTGGTTGTTCAAACAGCGTGCTCTGTTAGTCATCATTAGACTGCTGGACTCCAGCTGGGGTAGGGGCTTAAGTACTGCAAGGTGGCTATGTGTGCGATGAACCATGTTGGTAGGAATGGCTGAATGGATGCCGAGTAGGATCCTGGATGCTGGGGTATACTATAGGTCAGTGTGTTCAGTGGAACATGTCAGTTGGGTGCCACATGGACCACAACATCACCTGGCATCAAGTACGACTCCAGACGGGTCCGTGAAGCCATGGAAATCTACGAGCACAACATCATCTCCCTCAAGACATCGGATACCACATCAGTGATATTTGGCAGCCACTACTTCATCACAGGTCCAATGGGTCCTCTATACCCACAGACAGTGACCATCCCGTCCAGGATCCTACTCAGCATCCATTCAGCCATTCCCGCCTACATGGTTCATCGCACACATAACCACCTTGCAATACTTAAGCACCTACCCCAGCTGGAGTCCAGCAGTCTAATGATCACTAACAGAGCACGCTGTTTGAAATGTAGAGAACAACCACTGGTTCTTCTCAGAACCACACTCTCACAAAAAAAATAGTATTATATTCCATGGTATTACCGCAAACCTGTCTCACTTATTGATCTTTCCATCGTGCAAACCCTCGCATCTCAAGCAGGAACATGTTATCACCAACAATTCATATTTACAAGTCACACCTGAACTTGGGTTTCTAGTGCCTGTACTGCTGACTGAAGGCTGTCTGCACACAAGACTTCACCTGAGGCGATGAGTCCATTTTCCTTGAAATATAGTACATGAAGGTATATATTTAATTCTTAAAGAGTTAAGTTTTAACAAAACTGTAATTTTTTAATTTGTAGTCCGATTCAATCTTTTAGTAAGTCAAGATACATGGGTGCTTACAGAGCTACACATTTCACAAATTCATTGCAAATTTTGTCATGACTGTACCAAACTGCTTAGTAAAACTAATTGGGAACTTGAACAACAAACATAAATCAGATGGTACATACACCAGCTGAAAAAAGCAGCACACATGTACCTTGGATGACCAGTTGCACATTCCAAGGTCAGTGAGGTGGAAACTCTTTTGAAGGGCATCTGTGCCTTCTCCTAACAGCAAAAGCTGTTCCGATCCAGAGAGGAGAAAATCATCCACAAGAATGGTATGGAAGCCAGTCCATTCTCTGGCAACCTGCACGGATGACAAATTGTACATGAAACCTGGTACAGTGGAGTCTCCTTACGTGGCGCACTTCAATATTTACTTTAATTTCTTTGTACGGTGTGGTAAACCTCTTTGTTTAAAAACTTCAAATTCACTTGATTACATACTAATACTGCAACTATTAACTTCATGATACATGCTGTTGAACCTTTGTAAACAATTTCATTGTCAAGAAATTTTGTCCACAATTCGAAAAACGGAAGCATCAAGAAATTAGGCAAGAATTGTACCCTGACATAACACACTGGAAAAAAAACCTCAGACAATCCCACATTAAGTTAAGAAAGTCTTTAAAGATGATAAATTCTAGTAAATCATGATTACAGTCACTCACAGTTACCAAACCATATCCTATTTTGTTAAAAACTTTTAGGCGCACTTTAAGAGCTCTTTTTGAAAAATCTGAGAAAAATCAGGAAATTGGGCCCCAAAAATTTTATCGGAACTTTGTAGTGGGTATGTACGGATTTCTGAGTCAGAGTAAATATTGGAGTTTAATTAGATTTCACCTTTTGTGATATTTGAGGTAAATATTGCTCCAACAAGACACTAGAGGCAAAAGTTCAAAGTTAGGGACGCCATATAAGGTTAGACCCCCCTCCATCAGTAATAGTTTTGGTCTATGATTGTCCATCACATGTACATGTACAGGCCTCGAAATAGTACTAGCCCAGTGTACAAATTCTAGCTAAAAATGCTCCAGACTACCTAAACTTGGTTCCTTGGTTGCCCAGTGGGCTAGTGAAAAATTCAGAATAAGTCTACCTGTTAAAACTTGGATCAAAATAAATACACGTATTCGATATAAATCAATGTATCAATATAAATATCCGGAAGTAAGCAAAAAGTGGCAATGTTTGCGTAATGTAAGCGACCCAAATGAGGGGAAAGATGGAGCAAAGAGAAAATTTTGTTCCCAACTCTGTTACCAGTGACTCAAGCAATGTTTAACTAACATACATGCCTCTTTGTTTATACCATCAGCCTTTTATTTTCCAAAATGTCAAATTCTTTATTGGTGAGTTTATAAAAAATTTTGGGTTTTTAAAATTTTTTTATATACAGGCTAGTAAAACTCTAAACGGGCTAGTAAAATATCCAGTTAACTAGCCCAGTGGGCTAGCCAGGAAAAAAAAGTTAGTGCAAGGCCTGCATGTACATTTTCCTCAAGGTTTTTTTGAAATGCAGAATTTCCAGTATTCATTTCGGAATTCGGGGATGTTCCCCATCACAAAAAAGGTGAGAATGTGGGAAGAGGGAAGAGTAGACAGGTTGACAATAAAATAACAAACATTAATAATGTACACGAACCACAGGTAAACCATAGGGCATGGATCTTGCTCTATGGTTAAACAGACCTCTGTGAAAATGACTTGAAATTAAGATGAATTAAATGCTTTGAGACAAGTTCTAACATTAAACATGAGAAATAAGAAAATTCCCTTGCAATAAAATGTAGGCCTACATGTATACATGTATGTGTAAGCCTACCTCAAAAGTTTTCTTCCATACAGCACAGACTCCACCACTAGTGGAATTCACCACAATCAGTTCTTCTCCTGCTACCAAGGCAATGACAATCCCACTGGCATCACTGAATGTGAGGCTGCAAGCCCGCCTGACAAACCCTCCACAAATCTCAACAAGTTGAGACTGACCAGTGGCTACCAGAACCAGAACTTTTCCTGATTGGGTGGTGCTGCTCTGGAAAACTTGGACACAATGGGCAATATTTGAATATTCATGAGGTATTTCTAAAAGCTCATGTGCTGTTGGTGTACTTGACACTCCTGAGCATGAGTTATTTAGCTTCACAACTGTCCATCTGTAGCCCAAGTCAAACACCATTTCTCCATGTGAATATTCATGAGTAGGGGATCTTTTTGTTCCCATGGCAACTGCATCCCCATTTATAAAACCAAACCATTTCAAAGAATTTGTGGGTTTCCAGCAGCCTCCATCTAACTTCACAACATCGAGTTCTGTGTGGTTTAATGGTCCAAAGGATTGTGTGAAGTAAACACTTCCTTGGTGCTCCCAGCAAACTGTTGGTCCATCTTGAAGAAACAATTTGGTTGACTTCAGAGAGTAGGCCAAATGGAAATGGCAACAAAGAACAAACTTCTTTTTGCTTACTGACAGCAAAACAACTGACAATTTATACCTCTCTGAGATTACAGTCCTATCCCCAGCAGCAGAAACAAGCATGTCACGTTTTTGCCTTACTCGTTGCTCAATAACAATGCATGGAGAGTTCAAGCCCGTCCGACTATCGGTAATTCGGGCTATTGCATGGAGTCTCATGTCTGAACCATTGCCCAATTCTAGAGTCACTTTTTCGCCGCGTGGTTCGAATTTACCACTCTCCGTCGAAAACTGAAAACTTTCCGCCAATAGCGTCGGTTTGACATGAGCGAAACTTTCCATCCTTTCCGCTTCAATCGCGTTTCCGCCGTTGTCACCTACACTGCCATTATGAAGCAGACAAGAATCAAGCTTGGAACCCGGAAGCAATGAAATTTTTACGACGTGGCCACGAACTGAAGTATAAAAATGGCGTGACATATTGCTGGAACTACCAACGGTGCATAAGCATGTCGTGTGCGATCAAAAATACACAACAAAGCAGTTGAAGTTGACAGATGAAAGCAAACAGTACAGTTCGCTTGCTGCTTTCCAAAATTCCCGGCAACTGTCTTGTGCCACAGACGTCAAACGGTGGTCCTATATAGCGCCCTCTGTTGAATGGTATTGTCAAGCATTCACAGCTTTTGCTCGTACGGTTCGGCCGTTCCCTTTTTCACACAATTTTGGAACGGAAGTAAATATGTTGAAAAGCATTGTGGGTTAACTTGTCAACGCATGTTAGTGCGCGCTTGTCACGTATGCGCACACGGAAGTCGCCTTCAGTACATTGTTATCCAATGAGAACTCGAAGAAATACTGGTTTGGTCCTGCAGAAATTAGCCAATCCCTGTCTGGTAGTATCTTTGCTCCCTGCTATGACTAAATATTTCTTGAAAAGATTTCCCCTGAATAGAAATTGCACAACAATTTCAAACCTTAAATTTAACTTCTATTAAGTTTCTTTGAAGGAATGAATCTTTTTGCTTTTAATGTAATTCAGAAAGAAAAAAAACATGTAATTTACGTACGCCTATATATACATGTATGAAGAGGAAGGATTGTATGAAAAGAGTTGAAAGGTTGAAGGTCAATATGCCTGTTGTGTGATACTGAAGATTGTGACAAATGCGGCTGACAAATGAACCACTTTTAACTCGTGTTTAAAATAGATCGGTTGATTTCGACTTGCGTTTTTAATCCCAGCGACGAAACCAATAAAGTTCCACCAAAATGCCACCACCAAGGCCTCTCGTAAGTAACGAGAACAATTGTTTGTCAGCTCAATCCAACCAAAGCCCATCCATGATGACAATGACGTACATGTACATGTATGCCCTATGCATGTAGCACTAGCAGCAGGTTACTGGTTAGGCAAGTTTACGGTACTATACTGCCACTGCAGCAAATAAATACGCGCCGATAGAAAAATGTTCAAAATAGATCCACAGGCTGGGGCTTTTTGTGAAAGAAATAACCTGAATTAGAAATTACTAGTCCCGAATTTGTGATTTATAGAAAGATCTTTATACTAATCCCTCATGCATGTCATATTCATAGCATGTCTCATTGAAAAGCCCTGAGGGATCACAAAATATTAATGAGCTTGCATGCAGAAATCCAACAATTTAGTGGAATGCACCCCTAGGCCCTAGCCCAGTGGACATCATCTACATTGCATCGCGACTAAGTGCAAATGAAGACAATGTCCAACCTGGGCTAATCTATTCAAGCTATTATTAATATTAACATTAGGCCCAATGTTATTCGTTTTCTTTGTCTGTGCTTTCACGGGTGGGGTTTCCCCGGAAGATGTCATTTATTTTGTTCCTTCCAACCCATGAAAATAATGAACATTTTCTCTACTTTTATTTCCTTACCGGGTTAGACCTGCTTAGTAAGTCTACTTCTGGAATTGAAAGTAGACTTATCTGTAAATATGGGCCATTCAAGTTGGTAAAAATGAGGTCAAGAAAGTATGGCATGATTGGTTAATCTCTGCACAATCTTTCAATTTTGCTGTATGATCTGTTGATAATTTCACCTATGAACAAGTGCTTTATCTTTATAATTCATGATGACAGATTTCCATCATGGAATACAAGATGCACTGAAATGACTGACAATACAACATTATTGTGAGATGTGGATGATGATGCCTATTTGCATTCTCCAGTCAACTTTCTGAAATTCTGAGAGTGGGTTACACTGGCTTGATCATTGAACACGTTGTGCTGTGAGGGACCAAAAAAAGTTTTCCACATCAATGTTCGTCCGGTTCCATGCTCACATTGTCACTGTGAAATGTGAATGCATGGTCATGATGAGATGGAATAGGTCTTAGTCTGTATTGTGGGATTCCATTTTAAAACAATAAAAGGAATAATAAGCTCAACTCCAATCGCAACCAAGTTAAATGCTGAAATGGTTCACAGTGCATAACTTGATCTTTCAATGATGTCCCTCTCATTTCCGTACTTCTCGTCCCTTTGGATTCAAATTACTTGCTTTGCTATGCTACTCTTTCAGTTATTGGCCATGTATTCCATGTTTTAATGAGATCAATTTTGGTGTTTTCTGTTTCACAGCTTGATGTGGATATGGTAGCTCGTTTCAGAACAGAATTCTTAGAACAGTACACTGAAGGTTTGTTCAGCTGTGGGCAATCTAGAAATTTGACTTCAAGGGCTAAATATTGTACTTATTTACGCTTGCAAAAAATATGCCAAGTAATGACACATGGAGAAGAGAGTTATATGAACTTGAATTCAGCTTGCACATGTACAACCAAAATCAGTTTGGATCAACTCAAGATGCTCTTAATAAAATTTTATGCAATTGATTCAGTGTATGTACATCAGTCTGAACAGGTGTAAGGGACAGTGCATTAAGGTGCACACTAAACTCTGAATATGCAAATTAATGCTCAAATCTCTGTCTTGAAAGAGATGGTATATCTTTATGCTTTATCCATTTTACATACAATGTTTAAGATCATTTTGAAATATTTGATGATGTGTCATTAAATCCATTTGCCCAGCTTGTGCATATTTGGATGCATTATATGGGTAGAAATAGTTTTAATCAGTAGTTGTTTTGACCACGGTTGATTTTACCCCAAAAGTGGGCTGGACATCATTTTGCATGCACTTTAGCTTGAGTCCTTCTGGGTTTGGTAGAAAATGCAGACTCATCTCGACTCATATTCTGTGAAGTAACAGTCATTCGCAAACAGAGATTTTGATTTAGTTCTCTTCCCTTTTTGGAATCATCAAGATGGGCACAATGAGGCCTACGATCCCAGGGATGTTGAGAAGCTCCGCACCAGCGACAAGTATGTCCACAAATTCCTGATGATTGCCAAGATGGACTTCAAGCTCACAGGAGAAAAGGTCAACACAGTATTCAAGTGGAGAAAACAGTTTGGACTGAACGGTAAGTTCCCTAGGGCTTGAAAGAAATGCTGATGGTAGTCATAGTGTTTGAGATTTGCGAGGGAAGGTTACTGTCAACAGGATTTCCTGGAGTTCATAACAGTGCAAATTTAGGAAGTCCAAATAACTACAAATATTTACGTAGTAGGCTTTGGCCTGAACCTTGGATACTGAGTGGTTTATTGACATTGCAAGTGTACAGCCCAAGTAAATAAATCCTTAGAATTTTACTGTCATTTTACTGTGCGTACAAGTAGTCGCCTGAGTGTTTTGTAATTTTTTCCTAATGTTTAAAGTGATGTTTAGTCCAAATATCTTGAGTGCCTCCATTTCCACCCAACAAATATAGGCAGTGACCCAACACAGACAATTTCTAATCTGAATCTGAGTCGGCAAGTTACAATGGAAAGATGCGGACAAATGCAGTGGTGAGGTTCCTGAACGTCCCACAGATCCTATGGTTGCCAAAGCACTTTGTCGGCAATAGTAGAAGTATAAACAGACTCTAGCTTTACAGGGCCTCTACCATTGACAGAGGTCTGCCTGTTGTGATCTGATGATGTGCCCAGATTTGTTTCTGTACGCCCTGATGACCAGTTCCATCTGCCACTCAGTGACTGACATTAAGTGAATGCTTATGGTAATGCATAAGTTGGTGCAAACTGACTGTGAACTACACGTACATGTATGTGAATGTCTTATTGAGCTAACCTCAATAAGACTGAAAGGATGCTGGCAGATGTTAGTAAGCTCCCCCCCCCGCTGCCCAGGTAAACCTGTTCTTTTTATGGAATGACCCTAAAGTTTTATTGCAATCTTAGAACATTCTAATTTTCATGTTCATATTTCCTTTTTTGTTTTGCAGATTTAACCTTTGACAGTTTTGATGAAGAGGTGCTGAGTTATGGTGCGTTTTATGCCCACAACAAGTGCAAGATTGGCAGACGAATAGGTATGGATAAAACAGTGTTTGATTACCAAAATGAACACCTGCGCATACCTCATTAACATTCCACTCAACACCGTGATTATTGAGCAATTATTTGAGAATGGATTTGGATCTACTTTTGTGATACATCGTGATTTGAAAGTATCCTGCTCCTCCAGTATTTAAAGTAATCAACCATAATAAGGGGTCAAATCTATCAAAGCACACTGTGTAGTCTCACTTCAGTCCCTTGTCCCTTGGTTCATGTAAAGATGATAGCACATGGCCATCTGCCCTCCCTGCCTGGAATTCACAACTCTTTTTTAAAATTGTTCTTTTCTAAGTGTGGTTCAGAACATGCATGCACAGGAAGGACTCATCCAAGGCCTATGCAGTGAAACAGTACATCGCCTTCTGGCTGAACAAGATGGAGAGTGAGGCAATGGGAGAAGATGTAGTGATACTGATGGATATGACCAATGCTGGAATGGCTAACATGGTAGGTCCGGCTATGAACACGACAACCTGTAGATGACTAGAGCATGGTTAAAATGCTGATCCCAAAGCAGTAATTCTTATCAGAACCACATTTCTTCACAAAAGAGAATATTCATACATGGCTTCACATCTTATTTTTGCCAAGAGTTAGATATTTAAATTTCAGTTGATCAGCCTAGGAAAAAAGGGACACTTACCATTGATATCCTGGTTGGAAATTTAAAATAAATTTAAAATAATCAAATTAGTCTGAGACTTATGTGAATTATGCCATCATTTAAACAGAATTATTGTATAATTATAAACTAGTTAAATAAGTATTTTAATTATTATATTAAAATATAAATTAACATTAAGTATTGTACGGATGATAATTTGTATCGAATTCCAAAACATTGTAATGGGAGAGATCCTTTTGTGTCAGTGTAACCAATCTTCATCTTCATCATTTGTATCGAATTCCAAACCATTTTCATGGGAGAGATCCTTTTGTGTCAGTGTAACCAATCTTCATCTTTGTCTTTCAGGATATGGACGTGGTTAAATTCATGATTACTTGCTTTGAGTTGTACTTCCCTGCGCTTGTCGGTAAGATGCTTTGTAACACCTGCCACACTTTTGTATAATCCTGACTCATAATGTTTTGAAAAATGCCCCCTCTCCCAAATAGATCTTTCAGAATTAATACGTTCTTCATACATCAACAGAAGTCATCATGGAATAATTCAACAATATCTTTCCTCTAAATGATAGGAAAGTTCTCTCTCTACAATTTCTAACTTATTTTAAACATTGATTTTTCTGGTTTTAGGAATTATGCTGGTCTACGATATGCATTGGGTTCTAAATGGTAAGTGTGCATCATTTCATTCATTAAAAAGGTATTTTTGGTAAAATTCATTTTGGTAGAACCAGTGATCTTAGAAATTTACACAACCTCCATTCATTTGTCTCACAGGACTTTTCTGAACCTAACACATGTAATTCTTTTATACTTGCATACAAAAGTTGAAATAAAAGCCTGTTTTTTCCTAGCAATTTGGAAGGTCATTGAGAAACTGCTGTCACAGGAATCAAGAGAACACATCAAGTTCGTCAGAGGGCCCGCTATCCATGACTTCATCACACCAGAACAACTTCCACTGTACATGGGAGGCACGGTATGTTATGATCCCCTCAACTTTTTTAGCAACCCTGTGTATGGCACTTTGCCCAGAGGATTTCCATAATGAGGGCCGATTTGTGGAAGTTTTTTAGGAATCAAATTGTGCACATAACTGTGGTGTTGTTTGTGCTGTCTTTAGGTCATTTGACAACAGTTGTATTGTAGTAACCAAAGAAAGACTCCATCAAGTAGTGTATTAATATTAACCTCCTGAGGTGATCAGTGAAACATTCTGTATGTGCATACGGTACCAGTCATTGTGTGTATAATACTTTGGTAATGATGGGTAGAGTGCTTTGGCTGTCATCGGTATGTTTTTTTTACACTGCAAAGGAAGATTTCAAAAGGGCGAATGCCATGTGACTAGCTCGTGGCCAATCAGGATGCGGAATCTGTGTGTGAGGTGTAATCATTAGTTCCAGACATGAGTGAGTGGGCATTACTGGTTGAAATTAGTGATCTTTTTCTGACAGGACACTTGGGAATGGGCGTGGCCTCTCCCTGAAGAGGAGAAAGAAGTCCTGTATGAGATGGAAGACAGGGACCTCCAGAATGAGAGCCTATTCTCAATCCCTAATGGGGATGTGTCACGGATAGAGGACAAGACCCCAGAGCCCTCACCCCCCAGCTCCCCCAGCCAGAAGCCCAAGAGGGTTCACTTTGCTCCAGAGACCCCCAAGCAACAGCTGGGCATGGCAGGCGAGGTTGATGCTCTAACCAAAAGACAAATGGTTAGCTTATTCTGTTATTAAAAATGTATATGTTGGGCATCTGTGTATGACCTGCTTGATACATGCAATCGGTCAACCTTTTATAAATTTTCTAACTGCACTTTGTTGTGTTTAAACATTCTTCCACAACTGTGATTTAGAAAGGGAAGGTGATTGGTTGACAGCAGGATTATCAACAAATCATGCAGTAAAATCGACTGATTGTACACAGATCAACTGATCGTATAGATCAACCGATAGCAACCAACATGTATTAACAGGGTTTTCTATAAGCCTTCTGTTTTATGTTCAGGACAGTTTGGCATAAACCTTAAACATAAATGTTGTGAAGTTTTGTTTACATGTGTACTGGCCTGTAGTGATGTTTTGGGACATGAACTGTCAGGCCCCAACAGGAAAGCAAGCATTTAAACAAAGTGCGACCAGTATGGTTAAGGTCCTTTGAATGCAGAGATTTGATGAAAAGTTTGCATTTTGTTTGGGAGTGGTTGTCTGGACTGGAGACTTTTCCACAATAAACAAAACTTTCTAAGATTAAATGCAGAAAATTAGAAAAGACTGATTTTCTGCTCGTTTTACTCAAGCATGAGAATTTGTTCTACCTGACACAATATGAAATTACAGTTCAGTAGAAACGGTATCAAATCCATGGTAAAGAAATTTGATCATTCAATTCAAAATTACTCAAAACAGTTCATTAACCCTAACCCTCCTCCATCCTCCAACAGGTGAAGGATTGAGGAGGGTTAGGGTTAATGGATCGCTTTTTCCATGGCATGTGAACAAAATATATTTCTTTATTATTCAGTTGAAGAAACACTTACTTAGTTTGTGGTACATGGTTGTGGCTTTATTTGGAATAATGTTCCTCTCTTTTAAACAGTTTTGTTTATTACACATAGTCTTGTCTAATATTCAAGTTTCTGCTGTATTATTCATCATGCTGTTGTTTGTTTTGTTCATGTAAAGTTGAGGAGAACGTCTAAGAAACAGAAATTGAATATTCACAAGGGTCCTCTCCTGACAATCAGGTGAGTTACACAGTAAATGAACTATAACTGGAATAGTCTGCAAGTAAAGAGGAACATCTGTAACTGCTTACTTACCTGAGTCACTCGGCATGCTTTTCGTCCAGATGTCACGAATCTGCCAAGATCTAGTGTAAAATACTTCGCAAAGTCTTTGTTCCTTGATATATAGCAAGCCCTGTGGAAAGTAATGGAGGCTGGTGGCAGTGGTGAATCTATCACAGCCATGCCAAAATATGCAGGATTTTGGTGGATTTGGCAGGATTTTGATGGATTTGGCAGTGTTAGGTTGATCAGGGATTTTGATAACTATGCACGGGCTCTCATTTACTGCCTATATGCAATCTTGAATTTAGCTGGTGAAGTGGTTTGACTCTGCTACGTATTAAAGTGGTGTGTATTTTTATTTTCGACCGGATTTTCCAATTCAGAGAACTCAGGTTCATATTCATACATGTAAGTGCTTTGTGATATCTCAATTCAGAACATTCCAATTGATTCTTACTTTATAGACCAGGCACGGAACTGACGTTTGAAGAGCCCTCGGAACCCTCTGACTTTGAACCTTCCCAACTCATGAGTCTAACCAACACCACTAGACATAGAGTAGCATACAAGGTAACGCAGATATACATGGACATAGATCATCCTTGGGTACAGTCCTGACAGGTTAGACCACTGGCTTGAATTGATGAATTTGAAACCATATGGCCGTGTTCAGTTACGAGTGATAAAAGACAGATACAAACTAGGATTTGCCGTACATAGTTGGAATTCCTTTCTGCCAAACAAAACAAAGTTTACTCCTGATCAAAGTGAAACCTCATGTTGGGCGTTGGCATTTATCCTGTTTGAGAGGACTCTTGAGTGAAATACCTCAAAAGATTGCATCTGCTACTAAAATGGATTGTTAGCAAGTTGTGAAATATAAACTGAATATACATTACTGGGAGGAGGAAGACCAAGACAGATTAATACACTAAAGAAGATTCTTGTCTTGGGGTTCGTTGGCAGATAAAAACCACGACTCCGGACAGGTACAAAGTCCGACCCAGCGCAGGTCCCATCAACCCAGGTGCTTCCATCAATGTCACAATTACACTGCTGTCGGGGGACAAGGAGTCAGTGTCGCGAGACAAATTCCTGGTGATATCAACCGAGCTGATGGAAGTTTTGCGGACCCCAGCTGAGCTGACCGAGTTCTGGAAGAGGGTGGACAAGGACGAGGCAGTGGAACACAGGTAGGGGGCCATAGTCATGTGACCTGGTGTGCCCAGCAAGCTACACAAAATGTACACAATACGTAGCTACTTGTAGATAGTTTTGTTTCAATGCTTACGGTGTTCTTAATGTGGACTTAAAGACAACAAATTGTCTTTGACCCAATCCATTTAAAAGTCACATGACTTGAAATTGGATTACTTGTCACTGACTTGTGAAGACTTGATCAGGAGTCTGAATCATTGGAATGGAACGGCTTGAATGTCACCAGATGTCAAATAAAAATTAAGCCAGTAAATGAATATTACTAAGACTCCTTTTATTTGCTCGGAGTGGCATCAATGAACAAGATAGGCTACTTTGACACCCTGTGGGCCAATGCACCACATGGACGCAGTGGTTCACGTGCAAATGCCACAGAATCCATTTGACTACTTTTCGTGTGAATGTGCACTAACTCTTAGGATCTGTGAGGCATGGGTGTGGTAGGCAGGGTACCAGTGGCCATCTGTGGTCAGCCCACCCGTTGTCTTTGGCACTGCCGAGGTGATGTTGTGCATAGAAGCCCTTCAGGGGTAACTGAATTGTATACTGCTGACTCATGTTGAAATTGCCTTTCAGGGTTAGATGTGTGTACCAAGCTTCAAAGAAACCAGAGATTGTCATGGCTGAGCTGAAACAGGACATGAAAGCTTTGAAAAACAAGGTACAAAACTGAAGACTTGATGTTCTCCTGAATCCAATTCAGTGACTGCCTAGATACATGGAGCCCAAGGCAAATCAGCAGTGTTGGAGCTTAAGTGACCGAAATCCTCCTGGCTGAATTACGAAAATTTTGGAGGGTGAGGGTTGGTCAATTGTAAGGCCACAACACTGACCTCTGAAGCTTTGGCCATATCTGAAACAGCCTTCCGGAGTTGTTGCTAGGACTATTGCCAGAGCATTAGTGCAAATTTCCATTGGAGAAGGTGTAGCCATAACACCAAACAACAGATTCAGACGAAGCTTTTGTTGAGACAGTAGTCTGTATTGGATGGTTGTCAGAATTGCGTCTTTGATTAAAGTACACACTACTGACTGCCTTGTTGCACACTGCTTTAGTATTGAACAATTTACTTTGAGACTTTTATCAGAAAATCCATTGTTTTAAATGCTTTCAATTCCATAATTACAATTTGCTGGCTTACGTGACGGTGTTCTCAAAGCATGTGATACCTGGTAACCCAAAGTATACATTTGAGACTGCTAGGGCTATTGAACTAAAAATTACAAATAGTTGCAACTAAAAACCCTGACTATCTTTGGAAGGGATGAACACTTTTTTTGTGGCGTGTTTTCCCATAGGTTGATCGCCTGGCACAGCAGGTTGCTACAGTCACAGACAGCGTGACCAAAGTCCTACGTCTGGTGCTATTCCAACTAGTCCTTCTACTGTGCCTTGTGATGTACTGCTTTCTCTTCAGTACCACCAGCAGCAGCAGTGTTGAGCAGTCACCAATGCCCCATGCCAGCGATCTAGGTGGTCACTGCCAAACGGTGAAAGAACCAGACCCTTTACCAACACAATGAATTTCTTGCAATTTTGTATTGCGTTGATTAACATTCCAAAATGCTTTAAATGACCGTGTTTAAAAGTCTGAAAGAGTGGGTTGATTTGAGGCTGAAGAAACTTGTTTGGTCGTGTGACCAATGTGGATCGTTTGGACCATTTTCTGTTCTAAATGGGAATATTACTCTTCTAGTTTTCCTGATGGGATCAGACCTTAGAGCACCCGATGTTCCACCATGAGACTGTTCCACCATGCTGTCACCTGTGGAGTTGCAAAGTTTTCTGAGCCTGTACTGTTAAAGATTTGTTTTTTAACTGCAGCATTATCAATTAAACATACCAAATTTAGATTGCACCAACAAGGGAAGGATTCCCTAAAATATTTTACACAAAAAATGCAGTGTAAATATACAGCTGAGAATACTTGGCAAGGCATTAGCTTTTTTGTAATATTCAGTGTTGGGAAGTATGTGGGAATTGTTATTTGGAAGGATATTGCAAGTGGATGAGCAATAAGTTTCAGATATATTTACGTGTATATTTCCCAAATCCTGTTATACTTTTACCGAGTACTTGTGTATGAATGTTTGTTTGATTTGATGGAAATACGATGCAGTTTGTATGGTTTGATTGATGTTTCAAGGTCAGTCATCATAAAGAGGTTGGAGGAAGAGATTGTTCTGTGAGAAATTACAACTGCAAAAGCAACATATAACTGGTACAAGTGGACAATGGAACATGAAAAAGTGGGCCCACCTCTCTGCTACAAAAACTGTTCAGGACAAGAACAATTTTTTGGACCTAAATCTCTGTTCAAAAATAATGGCACAGCCAGTCATTTTTTTTGCATTTTTTTCCCAAGTCTTGGTCTTGTTTCCTGGAGACTTTCCAGGGGTAGATACTCACTTGTCCATACATGCAGATGGTCAAAGCCTTGAATTCACTGCAAGTCCAGAACCTGTTACCAGCAAGTCCCACAACTCTGGTTGGGGAAGAAATCATTATAGTATGGTAGCAGTGCACTATAGTAATTGGGAGGAACTTATCAAGGTTTGAAAAAAATGAAAGAAATTTGGTCCTGTTACAGGCCTTAAAACTCACCTGATGTACTTTTTCTAACCACCTGCTTTGTGTCTAACAGTTCTTGAAAGCGCCCTCAATGTTGATATTGTCTTCACCCTCAAGCTGTATTTACATGATATGTACATGTAGCTTGTACTGAGTGTAGTCAGGCTGCATGTATCATCCCAGTATTTGTTTCTGTTTCTTTGTTGTGGTAAAAAATGCAGAACACTTCAGGCTGAATAAGTTAAGTGAATAAAGGAAGTGCAACATTTGGGATACTGTGTTTTTGAAAAGGAGAAAATTCAGCATTTGTCCAGCTGTGATCATTTATCAACACTTTTTGTGCCTTTTCTTGACACTTTGGAAAATAATTTGTAAGGTGTAGATTCAATCTTTCAATGCAACGTGTAGATACTGTTGAGTCTGTACATTGCTGTAAATTTCAAAATGTTGCATATTTTTTATAAGCACTTGATTGCAGTGTAATTGTCGGTTCTAATGTATATTCATGTATGATCCAGACATCACACCTTGCCATTATTCAGAATGCACTCAGTGTAAAGGTAATAAAAATGTGACGATTGGTTAACAATTTAAACAAAATGTCAATGAGTTAAAGTATCTATGTTGACTTGTTAAATGTGGTGAATCAGTTACTGCTGGCTGCTTAAACAATTTTAAACAGGTGATGTTCATTTATGGTATATAATATATGAACACTACCGGTATATATAAGGTGATATTCATATATGGTATATAATACATGAATGCTATCTATCCAATATATCCATTTATGAGCAATGTCTGCAGCCAATAATTAAAACCCATAATTGCAAGTTTTACAGAAACAAACCAGGTGTTTCTTATGATAGATTAAATACAAATTTAGGTCTTTTGTTTATTGTCAATAATTCAAAACAAATATATTGCTAACCATTATTATCTCCAACTGTAATGCACAACATGAACATGTTAAAACTACAATATACGATTGATCTCGTCAAGTCAGCTCTGAAAGACCCATTCAATTTTTTTGACAATTTCCTGCACTGCCAACACAAAACGGCAGAAGTGTAATACAACTGATGAACTGTTTTTTTTGGGGGGGGGTTAAAGATTTGCTAGTTATGCAATGTTCAACACCAACAGTAATGAGGCAAAACTATATGTACATGTACATCCATGGATGCAGTAGATGATATTGTCCATGAGCCTTCCAATTCCACTGGAACAATGTCCATTACTTTTCCAAAGTAACACGACTTCAGATTTGACATGCAAAATGGTTGAAAATTACTGGCGTTTGCCTAAACTGAAGTGGAAATGATTACAACTTCCATACGCTCTGGTATTTCCAACTTAAATCGGAATGATGAAAACTGGTATGTTTCACTGCTAACTTATCCAATGCAATTTCATTTCACGTCTTCATTTCCTTCAGATTGCTCAAGAAGTGTATTCCAACTCGCATTCATCCTTTCTACAAAAGAAGACTGAACAGAAAGGAAAGAAAGAAAAAGGAGGGTCTCTGCTGAGCCCTGAAAATTGCTTTTCCAACTTGAAATGTGTGATGAAGAAAATATGACATTTAAATAAACAGCATCAAAAACATCTCCCAAATTCTACTTTGATAAAAAGGGTGATTTGCATACATTGCCTGCAGATACTTGAAAACTATTCATCAAACATTTCTAATACAAATTTCTCTCACAGTTTTAACAATCAGTACAAAATATCACTTTGTTATTGACATACATTTTTTCTTGAAAATGTAAATGTACACTATCCAAATTGGGGTCATTCCTTTCCATTTCAATAACTCAATATTTAGGATATTTTCAAAATACTGTCAACCAAAATCATTTGGTTTGTTCAAAATAAATAAAAGGCAAAACAGGAAATTTACAAATAAAAAGGTTACAATAAGAAGTTGACAAAATTAAATGATTCACATAAAATTTAAAATCACTCCTGATTTCAATGAAACCCAAATGTTGACAAAAATGGAAGGATGCTGACGAATAATTTGTCACCCTTGCAAATAACTTGTCAATCCCATAACTGTGATTAAGATGACCAAATCACAAAGGCATTTGCCATCACTCATTAAAGATGGGAAAATGGGATGCAATTTTGTGTAGCCTAATTATCGCATCCAATAGGAAAACAAAGGTGGGATATATGGGGCAAGACTTGCATATGTACATGGGGCAAGGCTAGTATCCAATGACCAGGATACTTCAACATCTCTGCGAGACGCTGTCATTTCAACAGCCTTACAACTCTTGTGGTGTCAACTTGAGAAAAATATTATCCACCGGTTCTCAGCAAGCTTTTTCCTTGAAAAAGGAGTAAATCCACATTGGGGAATGGAATGGGGGAAAAACCAATTTGTACCAACCAACCTGCTTAACAATGAAAATCAGCCAAAGTAAGATGTGAAACCATCATTTCTTGTGACCGATTCTCTGCTGATTTTTGCTAAGTATACAATCTGACTGGCAAACAGTGACAGCTTAACTAATGCCCTGCACCATGGATGTCGTCCCCAGCTTTGTCGCAGTGCAGCCATCTAGAGTCAGGTTCTCCAAGGCAAGAGATGCTATTTGTGGCACATTAAACACATGGTTTACGTCACCAGACTGAGGGCCCTTTACTCAGGAGAGACTGAGCCAATGGTTAAATGCCCGTTTCTGTCGCTGCATCCGAGCGAGTTACTCGTGTTAACAAAAGTGTAATACTGAGCACACAAATGGCAAGAGTACCACCCTTGGGTAAGAAAGAGCATACTCTGAGTAAGGCTGGGAGCATACTTGTTATCACATCATCATTTCAAGATGGAAGGTAACTGTTGATATCCACTGAATACTGAGAGTACTTCACAGAGTGCTATCATCTATGCATTGAACATAAAAGCTTTCAAAGCGCATTCATGAGGACATTTCAGCTAAAATCTTCTATTTCAAGTCTGGGGACAAGCACAACTGATACCCACAGTGTAAAAAAGATATAAACAGAATTATTTAACTTTTGAAAAAATATTGATAGAAAAGGGTGCCAGCTAAACCATTGTTATCCAGAGCAAACTTACATTAAGGTTTATAGCAATCTGCTGCGCCATTTCCTTTTCACAGAGCAGCCAGTCTTATCAACAACCAGAAAGCCATCTTTGTATGGTCCCCTATGACCACACCAATCATATGCAATGTAGATATAATATCATGCAAACACCACTCTGTTTTGAACACAAACTTCATTCTTAACTTCACTCACTTGCACCCTAATCCAAACAGAGAAATATTCTGCTGCATGACAAAAAAAAATCTTCTGACCTCACAGAAATAATTTTGACAGTTTTGACAGTATTTTTGTCTCATTTCTTTCAGCACTTGAGGTGTATAGCTATTATTTCCCTTTCTTCAATGACTCACAAATATAATATTTCTGTGATAATCTACACATTTATTGACCAATTATTACTAGGTACAATTCAAGACCCAATTTCACGGCAGAGCTCTAAGGAATTAATTTCTAACTGAACCATCATTCCTCCACAGGAACTGATACAGAGAATGCACAGCCAAAAATCATGCTTGCCTCAGATGCAAAACTGAGCTGAAATAGTGAAGCAACCACAGCAGTGTGAATACATCATCTACATGTCCAGACTGTAAAAAATGCTTCATGTCAGCACCATTTAGAAAATTCTGCTGGACAGCATTTCTTGAGGAAGTCCATGAAATTGGTCTCCGGTTCATCCATTTTTTTTTATATCAGTATCACTATCATGTGACTAAAGATGGCCTCCCTGACAGCCAACAACGTATTTTTTGCAACAGAAAGAATTTTACTTTGAAAATCGACAATTTTTGCTCTGTTAACACTTCTAATACACCGCCCCCCAAGAATTACGGGAATTAAAAATCATGCTAGAATCTCCCATAAACATGCCCAGTCTAAAGTTGAAAAATATGATTTCACACAGACTTTTCACGCAGAACTAAGACAGTGGTGCTTTACAATTTACACAGTTTCAATTTACACTACAAAAAACAGGTTCAGCTGAAAATGACAAAGCTCTGGAAGTCGTCCTGATAAAGTTAAATGAACCTATCTTTGGCTGTTTTTGGCATGACTTACAAATACTGATTGCACTCATCTTTAAGGATAACTAATTGACTCTGACAACCAAATCCTTCCGTATAAACTTTCCCTATGATTAGTTCAGACTGTGACAGTGCACAGAAAAGCACTAACTGTCAAGCACAGGGGAAAGCAACAAGTCCTCTGGAAAACATCAAGAAAAATCCTGGAGCCAAATTCACTGAGCAGAATCATCAGTCAAAGACAAGGCAAAAAGGAACCGCAATTGCATGGGTCAAACTACTTTGTATTTGGAACCAAATTTACAACTGATGGCTTTTCACATCGCAATAACACCCTGTTAATGAAACACACACAGCATGGGCACACAGGTTTGTGCACATAGGTTTGTGCACATGTGATGCTGAAAATTCACACCATCAGTTGTCACTGGGATGCACTGCCTTTGCATGGCCACCTGGATTCAGCTACACCGTTGCCTGCTAGTCTCTCTCTGTTGCCAATGAGTGGGTATCTGTGCATGAAGCAGATAGCACAGCTACTTCTTGTCAACTATGTCATCAGTTATTGATTTCCACTGGAAACAGCCACTGCACAATAGTTTTCCTGGATGTGTGCTTTTTTACCAAAAAGAGGCTCTGTATCTGGCTCCAGTTTAATTCATCATACCTTCAGTGCTGACCAAGCACACTCATAAAACTTAAACTTCACAGTATACTCTTGTCCAAACTACAATCTAACTCTTAGAAAACCTTCCAAACAGACAATGCAATAACTATGATATATGTACCAAGTCGAGTGCACAAAAAGTGTCTTCAAGGATCAGACAAAACAAAAACCCACCGATGCACCACTGAAGCCCGGAACCTGGAAGTTTCTTGATCCACGATCATTGGTTCTACAAATTCATGCTCCCCTTGAGAACAGCCCTTTTCTGATCACTGCTGCTTGGTCCTGGATCACCGATGTTGACTGTGAAAACGTCCCTGTTTTCACAGTTTGAACCGAGTGACGGGGCAGACTGCCTCCAGAATGGATTGGCAGCTCCCCTGCCGGTGTTCTTGGGTGGCTTCTCCAGCTCGTCCCTGTCCGACACCGTCCGCTTTTTCCGCTGCTCTTCCAAGGACAGCATGATGAACTCGTCAAAGCTCTGGTCCAACGTCCGCTGCTGGGACGACTGCTGTGCAAGTTCCAGCCCTGCATCCGTGAACCGGTTTGGTTGGGAGATGCTGCGCATTATCGGCTTCTCCTCCACTGAGGTAGGGGGAGGAGGGGTATGGTCCCGCGTCAGAAGATCACTGGACTGGGACTGCCGAACCAGGGGGCGGCGGTAGCGCGGCTGATCCGATGATCCAGGAGTCGACATCACCTCGTCCGAGTTGGTTGTCGTACTCATGACGTCTGTTTCAGGGACGCTTTGGAGTTCACGCATCATTGGGGTGAAGCTGGAGTATCCAGCCAGCAGCGACAAGTCGTGTGTCTGCTGCTCCCCCCTGAAGGGGCTCTTGGGAAAGCGGACATTTGCAGGTTTGGGCAGAGTCGGCTCGCGGGGAGGTGGGACCTCCAATGGTGGAGACTGCTGTTTCCTGTGAGACAATTCAACTTCAAGATTCTCAAACATCTTTTCCACATCCTCCACGACCTGAGCTTTCAGGTCTGGGCTGATGATGTTCGGTTCTGGGTTATACAATAGTCGACTAGGTTTCCCTTCTTCATGTCCATTCTCTGTTTTCGGGATGGTGAGGTTAACTTTAGCAGTTTTAATTGGGCTCCTCCTTTGCTCTGCCTCATTATTATGCCTTCCACTTTCCTTGTTGTCGCTCACATTTTCATCCAACAAGGGTTGGTCTTCCGTAGGTTCTGATTCACCACTTTCCTCACTTAGGCTTCTCCGCCTTTTGGTTTTCCGTCCATTTCCACTTGCTGCCGTGGAAGAAATTTCGACATGTTTTCCTGGGACAATCCTTTCTGAGATTAATCCATCTACGTGGTGAATTCCATTGGTCTGTGGCTTATTGGCATCTTCTAATTTCAACGAATGATTCCGTCTGAAACCCAAGCCTGAGGACACTGAAGGTATTGTTTCTTCAGCAGGTGTTAAACCTACATCCTGATGTGCTATGACATTGGACATCTCGTACTGTTCCTGCCGCTCATCGTACTCATTATCAGACACCACTCCCATGAACTGGGTGATGCCTTCGCGGTCTACATCACAACCTTTATCATCCATAGCACGGAGAAGACTGGCATGGTCTATCCGCTGGACATATTTCGGTGAACTTTCCTCCTCGGCCTCGCTGGTACCCGACTGGTCGATGGCCTGGGATGACTCGCTCACTGATGTCCCCAGAGAAAGCCGCGAGTTGTGCAGGGAGGAACGCTGGGAGGAATGCTGGGAGCTTTTTCGCAGCTCCTCGAAACTGAGGTTCAGGTAATCGTTCTGTGAGTGCGGTGAAATGGCCATGCTGTTGCTCTTGGCAGCACCCCCGTTCATCAAGTTGACTGTGCTGTCTCCTTGGCTGGCATCCATCTGCAGCACGTCGCTGCTGGACATGCTGGGTGACTGGGTGCAGCTCAGGGCCTGACCTCTCATCGTCATCACCAGGGAACGGAACAGCTGCCAATCACCAAAATTCATGCCGAGCACCTCCTTGAGTTCATCCAGGTCACACTGCAGCAGGACGTGTCCGTTGACATTGTGCTCAGCAATCCTAGCCTGGTAACGAGGGATCGAATGCTTGTCGATGCCTTCCAGTTGCAGAAGACGGTCACACACGTCCTTGACAGTCAAAAAACCTGGACTTGGGGTTCCACTGACTGCTGGACTAGGTATCTGAATAGGAGAAAAATGGCATCAACATTTGTAAGTAAAAGCCTATACCTTGAACAAAAGAGATAAATCAAAATACTACTTGTGACAAGCATCATCAACAAAATTTCATTTTAGCTGAACCATTCTTATTGTCCTGAAATATATTTTTATTGTCACTTTTTTGAATGCAAAAAATGTTAACATGAAAACAAAATCTGACAGGAGAAGATAAGATTAATGGGTGTTCGTTGGTGATTTTTAATAATGATCAGGAAAGGTTGGGATGTAGGAATCAAACAAGGTAAGTTGTGTTAATTGGTTGTTTCACAGTTATAAAGAATGTCAAAGTAAAATTTTTATTTTATCAGTATCTAGACTATTTATTGCAGGGGGGACAAAAGAAAAATAAATGGGACCGGTGTGCATCTCTCTCAAAATTGTTGCCTTTACTACACCTTCAACACCACACACATGGAAAAATAATTGGGTAGAAGTTGGTTCGAAACCTACAATCAGATGAGTCGGGATCACAGGGACTAAAACAGAGAATCACCAGCACATAGGCTGAAGAAGAAGAAGGGGTGAAAAGCTTCACACAGTTTGGAACGGATACATCTTCACAGAAGGAACAAGTTCTTGTCTCCACATCAACGGTTTGGCAAACTGGACTTGGGTATGGGGGCAACCATGGCAGGGTTTTGACCAGTCAAAAATACAACATACTAGAAGGTTGCATATTACCTTAACTACTGGTATTACAACAATTTCAGGCTGGATACAGAAAATGATGAAATAAAACAAAAGGACATTCAGTCTTAAAAATGCTATAGAAATAAAAGGCAAGCTTTGACACAGTTGTCACACTGCAACAAACTATATGCGAACTGCCATTTTGGGCGGCCATATTGAACTATAATATGACATGACTGGGAACAGTGAGGAAAAACAGAAAATGGAAGCAAAAATAAATGATGAGAATACTTTTTCCTTAACCAACATATCAATGATTTGTGAAAAGAAACAGCTCCCATTTTCAGACATTTCCAAACATTCTGTAAAATATCCGTGCTCACCATGCAGGGAAGCTGTTTTCCTAGGACAGATTTTACGGCAGAACTTTCCATACACCTTTCCATACACTAATGGGAACAACTCAAATAGAACATGACGCACCTTTTTGGAGAAAGGGTTGATGGCAGCCATCTGGTAGCTTAGACGTGAGGGCGTGTCACTCAAGGCCGAGTAGACTGACGACCGACTCGATACTTGGTTGGGGAAGTTACTACCAAAACTCTGGGGGCGAGACAGGGCTGAAATATTTGGCAGGGCACCTGCCATGTCTTGGCTCTCCAAGGAATCTGCATGAAATGTGCATTCATCCACAACAGTTTCTGAGTGAATAAACAATTCTTCATTAAATAGTAATTTTCTCACCCCTGAAAGAATCCTGCACAAGTATAAATACTTTTCCAAGAAACTTGATAGATGAAAATAAGGGTTAACACACTAAAACCAAATCAGCTGAAATGGCTGATAGCTATTCTTACAGCTTTTTGCTTTTGAATTTTGACCATATAAAAAATACACGTAAAACATACGAATTAACTCCTAATGAGAAAATTCTTTGGTAGAGTGCCTTGCTTATCGACATATTACCACGAATGCCACTTTGTCAACCACTTCACGCTTGCACACTTGGATGAGATGTTTGTCGTGTCATTAGACCATGTTACTCTACATTATAAGGGATGGAGTATTATAATAAATAGCTTCTTACCTTTGATTTGTTTACGGAGATAAGGATCTAAATGGCAAGCACAGGGCAGAAAGCGTCGGACATCAGCCACAGTCAGTACTGGAGTGTGCTTGGTCAGGTAGACCAGGAAACTTCGACTGTCTTGATCCAGGTCCAGCAGAGGCTCAATCTCTCTGCTGGCTGGGATCTCATCTTGGATTCTGCACACAAACAACAAAAAATTGTTCACAGAGAAAAGAATACGAGGAATAACGTCTCAAATGCTTTGTATGTATGCTTAATGCTTCCTTAGGGGCTAATGAGTAATATGCTGCAAGCTCAAATGAAGTTGATTGGGACTCAACACCCACAAAATACAGCATTCTGAAAGAATCCTTTTGTTGTCTGTTCCATGCATAATGGCGTAGTGCTAGATGCATCACAGGACATGATAAAGTGTTTTTCATTCAGTGTGGTGAATTCCACTGTATGCCTTCAGAGAAAACAAGCAATAACGTGCGAGAAAATAAACGCCACTGACTTATGAACACAGCCACTTCTCATCGATGCATGAGTAAATGTTGGCTATAGAAAAGTTTGCCAGGTGGTCAATCACAACAAAATACATGTGCAATCAAACGAGAAAGGAAAGAGAGAATACTGAAAGAAGACACCTGAAAAAAAAAACAGACATTGCCAACCTTTCAAAGACCACTTTGAGTGGCAGTTCATCATCGAAGGCATCCTCATTATCCTGACAGTAGACGGCCAGTCGCGACATCCTGTAGGGCCACTTCTCAGTCACATTGACCCAGGAGGCTAGGCGCTGCCACTGGAAAGTGATGTTGTTGGCTCGCAGGAGACGACCTGCAAGGTGAGAAGCAGAGAAAGAAAAAAAGGAAAGGTAAAGAGAAACATGGATTAGAATCTATAAATCCAATAATGAAAATGACACCTATTGCTGAGGCTGCATGTCTGAAAGCCAATCATCATGACTGAGATGTCGCCAGTTCCTCCTAAAATTGGCAATTAAGCTGATAAAGTGAATCTTTTTCGGTGACTGAGTTAATTGCAGTGCTTGTAGATGTAAACTGAGGATCTAACTAATTTCATTGTTTCGGATTTCCCACATTCAATTATTTGACTAAGCTAAGCATTAGGATAAGCTAAATATTTCAACAAGTGGAAACTACACGAAGCAGAAGAGAAATATCAAAAAGAGTTTTCAAGTTGATGACACTCTGTAACCACACGTATGACAGTATGGTCATTCACAGTGACTCTTCAGCTTGTAACTGGGTCACTCTGAGGGATTCTGTTATAGGCAAAAATATTCTGCATGTACCGGTGATAGAGACAATGTTGAGCAGGCGGCTCATGCTACGGGGGCTGAGATCGCTGAACTGCTCATCCGACGCCAGGAGCTGAGACACATCTCGTGTGGTGCCGGAACTCATTCGTCCAAGTGCCTGACTCTCGCCGTCCTCCTTGGCAGGTTGGGCAGGGATCAGATGGCGGTCGAGCCTTGGGGAGGGTGTGCCAGCCTGCTGGGACGCCTCGGGCTAGAAAGTCAAAGAAAAGTGAAACAGGCAAGAGTGAAATTATCTTGTCTGATAACAGCATGCTCCATGGGAGTGTAGCATCTGGCCCGTACATGTTGCTATCCTCTTGTGAAGTGTTAGTACTGTTATGTGCACCACTTTGTCTGAAAACTATTTTTTTAAAAAGTTATGTAGGAGATCCAATCTGTTAAAGAGGCCCTGGAACATTTTGTAATTTGTTAGCACAATTAAGTAATTTTATTTTACAATGGAAGAAGTGATACTGAAATTGTTAAATGCTGTATTCAAACTCTGGGAATCAGATACAATGGAATGCAAAAAAAATACAATGGTAAAATAGATTAGCGAGCAGATCATTTATTTGTGAATTACAGACATTTGTTAATAAAGTAAATTTCCAACATGTCACAATATTAAAGAGAACATGGGAAAGCATCTCCATCTCAGTTCAGTCATTTTAAAAAATTTATGACAAAACTGAGGACCAAGCTACATGTATCACTCAATTACAAATGTTCACATCCTTCCATATCAAATTATTTGGGAAGTATTTTTTAAATGTTCAGCATTGCCTACAAGTATTTTTTACAAAGCAATTCTGTGCCAGCCTGCAGTTTACTTGGAATAAAATGTACAAAGATCATGACTATGAAGTTTGCATTTTACAGATGTACTGCTACGCATACTTTTACGCAGTTAATTATGTTAATTTGCTTCAAAAGACTCCCGAAGTGCATTATACTGAGCGACCCCCAAAAATGCAACCCAAAAGTAAAATTAAATTTGAAATGACGTCTTCACTTTTGAAACGATAACATCCTAAGGTACTGTATGACACACAAAAACATTTCTGACATTCTTTTGGGAGAAAACAACTGTTACTTTTGGCTTGCAATTGTAAGGGGGAAGTGGGAAGCCTGTATAATGCAAGTAGTGCATACCATGCTCAGACTTTACACTGATATGACCTGTTCTCAGTTTCCCACAAAATGAGAATAAAGTTGGCAATTTAAATCTCGTGCCAGTGGTACGCTTCTTGGAGCATTTTGGAAAATGGCAACCTTACAGAGTTTGCTCAGGATAAGTTACAAGTACTTTGATAAGCAAGTATGAGCCACAAATGATGATGTTACCTTACATCTTATTTTGTGGGAATGAGTGACGAAATGCACATTAGGACACTTTTCAAACCACAAGATGGCATCCATTTAAACCAGGTTAATGTTCAACTCCTGGTTCTGAATACGGGTAGTTCCTGAAATAAGGGGTCCAAAAGTGTGACATTTTTGTGTCCCTGTTACATCTGACCTTTGGTATGGAAATATCACCAGAAGTGATTTCAAACTATTACTATTTATTTGGCAGGTAATTTGCATCAATTCATCACTCTTGGAAATTCAAAAATGAGTTCTGAACTTACAAAATCCCGTCAGATGTAAAAGGGACACGAAAATATCACACTTTCGGACCCCTAATTTCTAGAATTATCATATGATAGTTATCATCAACACACAATTGTTACCGGTATTTTGTCACAGCTGGTTACATGTACAGTGTAATATATTTTCAGGGGAATATCTGGATGTTTACAATGCACATGCAGAAGACCACAGTCCTTTTAATGCATCATTGGAACTTACTCTCACACAGGATACATGTAGGTCTATCTTGAACATTTAACAAGGCGAATGATATGAACAACATTGTACATCATGGTATGACATGGTAGATTACAACTCACCTTAACATAAGTGTACATGTGTTATTGAATACAAATACAAGTTCTGCAAAACATCTCCTTATTCTGAATACAGGATGCTATGAAATCTACATTGACAAAATTTCTCTCAAACAAAAAAACGGGCACAGAGTTTTGAAAAACATTACTAACATATTAAAACTGAATGTTTAAAGGGTTTACAACATTTCAAATGACATCTGCTTGACAATCTTCAATTTTCTCACATTTACCTCAAGGCAGCAGTTTGTTTACTCCCTTTTTTGAAAAGAACTTTCACTGAATCAAATGCAATCTTATCCACATAGAGGAAGGGGATGCAAGAACTTTCCATGTTACAATCAGCCTGTTGTTAATTGAGAATGAAATACATCTAGTTTGTAAAGATCACATCAAAATGCATGTGCACATGGATATCAGTAAGAATGTCATGAACTTGAGGAACGTCATTCTTAAATTGAAACTTGTCAGAGCTTTGTTTTTTCCCCCTTACTATATCAACCCTACGGAAACATTACATTTAGTAAGGGAGTGATGTGGTGTGTTTGAAGTGTTAGAATCAAGCATTCTGGATGCAAGGGTGAGTAGAGGGGTCACGGCCTACATTCCATGATTCATGCTACATGCCAACTTGGATGATGCACTGACTAACCAACAATAAACAAAAAATCAGAACACTTTGTACTTGTTTTGCTTTTTACCCTGATTTTCTGTGTAAATCTTACTGCTCGACGACCGTTATCATTTTCAGGAATTTCGGGGATGCTCGGGAGGCCCCATCGCAATTGCTGTGCACAGAAAAAGTTGTCAAGGCTTTAACATCAAGTCAGAGGAGAACTTCTCTTGAACTATCCACCCTTCTTTATAACAAATCTTTCTTTCGAGTAAGCCAAAATTCTGCTTAGCTCAAACTCACTGGATTTCTTGCATTTGGAATCTTTCAAGAGAGATAATACACAGTTTTTATAATGCAATTTGATCCAGGACAAAGCCATGAGTCATGTAATAGATTGTCTTGATTTCTCATGTATTGATAACTTTTGGATAACTTTACAAATTAGGAAACCAAAATCAAAAGGAAGATACTTTACTAATTTTCCTTGTTTAAACTCAAATCTACATAAACTGAAGGAAAAAAGAAATCAGCTCAAAGGGACAAAGGTGAAAAAAGTAATGACTGTGAGAGGATCTAGGGTCAAGGGTCAAACAAATGATAAAAACATGGTGTGATGTCACTCGGTGCTTTCTCGAGTGCTATTTGGTGTATGAGTGAGGGTTCGGTTTATTCATTGGTTGCCAAAATGCCCCAAGTAAGGGTTGGGGTCTAGACATGCACATAGAAAGTTTTCAAATGATCGCCTGAGAGAGACTACCATGAGGGCAAACCAGATTTGAACCATACACTGAAGTGAAGTTAAACACGACTGAAGATTTTCAATATCCCTACCCCTCCAGGTGCTATGAAAATTGCTGATAATTTTTGCAACATTTGGCACAGGTAAGGCTAAAATATTGCAACTGAACCTAAATTGTTAACCCAAATAATGATCTGCACTGTAAAAAATTATTTTAGGTGAAATAAGGAAGCTGAGCTTGACTGATTGTCTGAATGCATTGCACATTCTTTCTGCTGTTCAAAAGAGTAGAGAAGTACAGGTACTGCATTCATAGGATATCACTGACACATCTTGTTTGGTCCGTAGTAAATAAGTAAATGTCTTTGTTCTCTTGATATTAATACCTTGATGTTATATAATAAATTACAAAATGATCTGAAATGCATGCAAATGATTTAAAGTTGAAACTCCTGGGATGGAAGATATTATTCAGTTTCACTAATTAAAAAGATAACAATTGACTTTACCTTTGTACTTGAAGGTGTGATATGATTGGCCGTTGGACCAGCAGTTTCTGCATTCTCCTTCAGCTTAATCCCAACCTCCAGGTAGAAGGGCAGGTGGACCAGATTGCGCAGATAGTCATGGCCTCGGATGTTGGACTCCTTGAAGACCGAGTGCAGGTTCTGATCGATGGCTTTGGCAATGATGTAAGGGTCAATGGCCAGGACGGTAATGTAGGGGCTGTCTGGAGAGGAGAAGAGGGCCTTGATGGAGTCCAGCAGGTGAAGGATCTGCTCCTGCTCGCAGCTGTCCAAGCCGTCCACCACCACCACCATGCGGGTCTGCGAGCCCTGGAACGCATCCACGCAGCGCACAAACTGTGACAGCGTGTCCGCCTCCTGCTTGAGAACCCGCAGGAAGCTCTCTGAGCGCAGGTCATGCTGGCTGCGACCCGCTGCCCGACGCAGGTGAAGCTGCGGTGACCAGACCAGCCGGTAGACAAACAGCAGCAGCCAGGGGGCATTGGAGAGGAGGGCCAGGCCCACTATGCAGCCCATGACTATCATGGCGATGAAGACGGGCTTGCGGCTGGCCCCCATCACCGCCCTGTAATTGAGAAAGTAGTAGAAGAGGAGGACCAGGAAGGTGATAAAGCAGGCCAGGACGAGGAGTGTTAGGAGGAACCGTGGTATGCAGCAACACCGCTTCCATTTGGCAAGACCTGCACATCATACAAGCAAAGAAATACCATAAGTTATCATTAACATTACCCACTTAGCATAATGAACTCAACAGCATTTCACAGCTATAGTCTTGACCAGTTTTAGCTGATAAACCTTGTAAACCTAAAAGCAGGACACTAATGTCACAAGGCATTTGTAGATTCAATGTTTCAAATGAAAAGAAATAAAAGACTAATACGCTCCCGTCAATAAGACAAATAAACTAAATTTCAGACCTTAAACATTCAAACTTGTACCAATCAACAAGGTATTGACATCAGAACATAAAGAAAAAAGTGATTTTTAAAAATCTTTGACAGCCATTGTCCTCACAAAGAGTTTTTCTGAAAGGACTATCAGACACAAGACCAACCAAGCTTCTAAGTGAATTCTCAAATGGGCCGGCCAATACATTCAATTATCATTGTTCATGTCAGACATCTGAAGTTACACCACGACAATCAACACCAGCAAAATGTCTCACCCTCTGTATATTTGTTTTTGGTGACCCTATAGACCCGTGACGCCATGAAACCAAGGTCCCTCTCCACTGCGGTACTGAGGGAGGCCACTGCCTCGGATAGCGGCGTGTCTCCACCGAGGTTGGACAGGTGTAAGTGTTCGCCAAAGATAAACCTGCGGAGGTGACGTACGAAAAGATAATGAGTAATGGCTGATGCAGGAGGGAAGGAGAAGAAACAATGTAAGACTATATAATGGGATCCATTTGATGAGTTGAAGCTTACAAAAACAACTGAAAAATAGTAAGGTAATATTGTCAATCCTGAACCCCAAATGGGAATTCAGATAGAGAATCTGGGTTAAAAAAATAATTGAATGTTCATGAAATTATAAATTAACTGAGGCCTGAAAGTCCAGAAAAACACTCCAGATGCAGAGTTTGCCAGGATTAAAAACTCAGCCTTCCAAATCTTTTAAAACAAGAAATCACAAAAGAAATCAAACGGCAAACAGTCTTCCTTTCAAGATCTGTATTTTTGATCATCGATCTAAAACAAATCCCTCAAACTCTGCATTGCTGGGTTTTCCAAGTGAAGGAAGAGCTGGGCCCAAATTTGCAGAGCTTTTAAGCACAGAAATTTGCTTACCACAGAAAATAAATGTTTAGTAAAACAGGTTACTAGCTAAATGTCCATGCGAAGTATACCATTTGAGACTGGTTCCCTGGTAATTCTTTTGCTTTGCACAGAAATTTTTGCTCAGCACGGAAATTTTCCAGCAATATTTTCTTCACAGCAGCTCCAGCCCTACCTGATGGGCAGAGCCTTGCTGCTCTGTGGGGGCAATGGAGGAGGATTGCAGTAGATCATGGCAAGGAGAAGACGGAGATAGTTCAGCTGCTTGGCCAACCACGAGGATGTGGCTCGCATACCCCGCCACTTCTTGCGATTGCCTAGATAAATAACACCTACCCGGGGAAACCAAAAAAGCAAAAGACATTTCACCATGTTGAATTTGATGCTAATTTCATTTCAGTTTCTTTTTTACGAATGCATATTGGGTGCATTTGACCAGCTTCCACAAGTTAACAGGGGTTTAACCTTGGCCCCGCCATCTCACTTGTTTGACACAGCACACACGGCCATCCCCAGGTCAGGGTTACCCCATGTATGCTAATCAAACAAGCCCATTGCAGCTTTTAAGATCAATACCTGAGGTTATTGTCATCTACATTCATATGTTCAATATTGAACAAGATCCTATAAAATTAAAGGCAACCTTAAGAATGACTTTTCCATTTATGAAATAATTTTGAAATTTGATGTGGAATTATTCTGATGTAAACAATTTACATTATTACCCTTAGCAAGACTACTTTTCAACTCAATACTTTATCCAATCTGGAAGCATCTTTCTTTGAAACTGTAACTATCACTTGCCAGTCACACAACCTCATCAAAATTACCAAAAACTTTGATAGATGAAAGAAATCCCTTGAAAAATACTGAGGTAAGGGGAATACTTAAAAGTCCTTCTGTTTCACTATCAATCGAGACTTTTTTGCCATTCATTGTGAGTGGGTCAATTTGAGGCATCTATCCAAGTAAGCTGTCAGTAAATATAACACTCTTACCTAGTAGAAAATAGAGAAAGAGGAACAGGGCAAAAAACACCCCAATAGACACCCCCGGAACGTCGCTGAATATAAAGAGAACAGCCGTGCCCAGCACAGCACTGAGTAGAAGACAGACGATGAAGACTAGGCAGGAAAATCGAAAGACAGGTTTGCTACGGTGGTTGGTAAACTGACGCATCTCATCTGGAGAACAAAAAGGGAGAGACGTTTTAAAGGTAATCTAGGTTTTCTGACAAAACCCTTCCTTGACTAAAGTATGCTTTGAGGCATCTGTTCAGCTAACTCTCTTAGATCCTTCAAATTCAACAAAGAGGTGTTGGAGGATTCTACAGGATGGAAGAAGAATAGCCCAGCCAATTTTATTTTAGGGGGAATCCTTGATATCCTTGAATGTTTCAGTAAGGTACATGTACAATGGAAGATACTGGAGGATTCAGGATGCTTGTCATAAAAGTTCCAACCACTTCGAGTGTCAGTAGTGATGATGAGAAAGACAGTAAATAAATGCAAAAAATCTTAATACTGAAGGTTCACCTCATTTGGAAACTGAACTAAAGGCTGGTTTAAACTTCAGGCAAATGCGAAATTGAAGGGAAAAGGACATCACAAAACATCCGCAGCAAAATTTGCTTGAATTGAAATACATTCACATTTCTGCATTTGTGGCTGTTTTTGCACCAAGTATGAACTGGTCTCTCCTCTTGTACCAACTGGTATATTCTTGAAAATATTCTGAATACATTTAATATTGAATTGCATGAGACTGTCCAACTTTAATGGTAGCCATTAAAAGAAAACAACAATCAAAACCATTTGCACAGTCAAAGCTTTGAAAGTATTCCTGATGTGGTGAGTATTTGTTTAAGTTCCTAAAGGTACCTTGTAATTTCTTGAGAATGAAAGACTTGCCACTCCCCCAGCGTGCATACAGGCCTACGGTGATGGGCGGAGCTAGCGTGGGCTCGCTGAGAATGTCCGCCAAGGAGCTACTGCATAGGTCACTCATCTCGCTCTCCGCCTCTTCACCTGGAGTGAAACTCCCTGAATGAGCAAAGACAGACATGCGGAAGAGAACAAAATGAGAAACTCTTGCGGGATATCTGTCCTAATGACTATGGGAGTACTGTGTGATCAATACATTATGCGTTCACAGCCTCCTCACTTTCAAAGGTACTAGCTTATTGGCGATAGAAAAGGACAACTCTTACAGGTGAAAATGGACTATTGCCTGGGATTCCAAATATTGATGTCCACACTTCATCTTTACAATATTTAAAGGAAGAACATTTTCAGGCAAAACATAGTTTGTTACTTCAAGTGCAATACAAATGCAATTAACGAAACCACATAAATTTTGTAAAATCTCAGAAAAAATATCTACTGTTGATTTTTTAACTTCTCGTGTTTAAGTGCTGAGTTTGACAGTTTTACAAAATGTTCAGGAAATTAAGTATACAAGGCAATCAACTGTTTAGAAAATACTTAGAAGCAGCGAGGAACAACAAATTGTAGTGACTTCTAATGGTGTCTAATGATGCCAGTGACACAAAACTGACCTTGAAATCAATGGAAATAAAAATTTTTCAAAACAGCTTTTAGAAGTTTCAGAAAAGAAACTGACTTGCTCCAAAGATCTGAGTCAGGATGCCTTTCTGGTGGTTACAGTCTATGTTGTAAGGTGTCTCTCCTTCCTTATTGGGCTTGTACAGGAGGCGGCCATCTTTGGGGTTACGGAGCAGCAACTCCGACACCTTCTTATCACGGAAGCGGATCGCTATGTGTAGGGCAGTGTCACCTCGCTGTGAGAAAATCAAGCAACACACGTAACAACAGAACACCATGCAGGCAGGATTCTGTAACTGTCCAGCGGAATGGACCATATTAGTAATGCAAGGTGTTTGTGTAAACAGCAAACTAGTGACGAATCAGATGACATAAGAGTAAGGGATGCATGAAGCTCCCACCTTGTCCGTTGCAGAGACTTTGGCATTTTTGTCCAGTAATACCCGGACGATCTCTCGATTTCTGTTACGAACTGCTCTCAGCAAAGGGGTTTCGCCATCCTGAGAAGAAAGTCAGAGCAAAGGCATACAACTGAAACTGATGCATTTTCAGTTTTTGTTGTTTACAGGATGAAATGACAATATTAATCTTGAAAAAGTTGACTTTGACTGTCAGTATGATTTGAAATACAATCACGACAATTTCCAATGACAATTTTTATAACCTTTAATGGCAGAAGATCTAGGAGTACTTTACTCCACTTAAATTCACAGGGCTCTGGATGCATTTTTTTTCTCTAGGGAGAAATATTTTGGGGGCTTATGTTGAAAATAAGAAACAGAGAAAAAAATCCTACGCCAATAATTTGACATTTTAAAGCAAACAACGTAGAACTCGACATTTGATGAATTTATTTTTGTCTGGGAAATATTAATTTAGCACTAGCTTTTGCTTTTCACTGTCATAAAGTGTATACTCAGTGCTTTCCACTGTAATCTCACTTGGATGGGACTCAAACCCACTACTTACTACTTACTAGTGCAGAGGCCAAGCTGCTCAACTGTTGTTTGCTTCACAGTGAAAAACAATGAGAATTCTTACCTTGTTTGGTATTTCTGGATTTGCATTGCACTCCAAAAGCGCTTCTGCGATGTCCACAAGGCCCTTGTCGGCTGCCCAGAATAATGCCGTCTTCTTGTCCTGTTCAAAATACCGGTATATACAGAAACAAAATGGCTGACAGATAAGTTGGGTATCTCAGAGAGAATAACACTGTTCTTTGTAATCCACCAAAAAAGACCAGGGCAGAAAGAACACAACATTCTTTGAACTTTGAAATCATTGACCCTTCTGAAATGACACTCAGTGTAAACACAAAATTGTGGAAAACATATCATTGAAAAATGTGTGTAAAACGTCACCTACACTGTATGCATCCACAGCATTATCAAAACTTCAGGAAGACCCTTGAGATCCAGGGCTTTATCAAGTGATGGAATCTGCTCTAATCAACACCATTATTTTTGTTTGTACAATGGCCTGTGTGTAAGTTGCCTCATACAAAGGATATCATCATTCAGCAGGACTTGTCTTCTATCAGGCAAGTACATTGCAATTTAAAAGATAGTATTGTATTCAAAATAGATTAATTGACCTCATCATGACACAAATCATTGGAAAATTCTGTACTATCTCAATTTCTATACATCAGTTCAGCTGAAGCCTTTCTAACTACGGTCAAACATGTCCTGTATTTCTCGCATGTAACATAACTGCAGTTATATGCGCCAGTGTTTAACATCAACCAGAGTTCTCTGAAGAAGTAAACTCTTTTGAACCGTATTTAAACCTATTAAATGGACTCTGCAGTCACAGACCATGCACTAGACTTGAGAGGAAAAATCTATGGTGATCAGATTATTCAAAGCTTCCGATATATTTGTCAGTTTGACTGCCCAGGCAAACCTGACAATTAGATTTGTTTGATTACTGGAGCATGAAAGCTGTGTGTTGGATGCAGCTGTCCTGAGAGACACAGCAGTTGTAGCTGTGATAATTTGTTCATTTGAGAAGGTTGTGGGAAGGGGGGGAAGAACATTTGGCTTGCTTCCTACTGACAGCCTGGTCTGTTGACAGAAAGATTTTCAGGCAATGAGTAGATCATACATTTGACATGTAATTACTGATGACTTAAGTCTTGTGTATGGCTCATCTCCAATTTTGTTCTTTAGTTCCTGCCTTTTGAACTGAACCACAGACAAGAATTCTGCGGCAATTGAGATCGTTGTTAGGCAACCACAAACTGGCTGTCTGCCAAACAGAAAATCCTGTTCCCTAAATTTCACTTACTCATGCACAAGTACATGTACATCACCGTAAGGCAAAAACAACAAATCCACCTCCCAAATAGTGCGATGCCCTTCTGATGGCAATGAAAAGGTGATGCACACTCGTGGATTTGTTTTGAGGGAAAGACCGCTGGTAAAATGGAACCCGAGAATATGCTGGTAGAGTGCCAAAATGATGAGGTTGAACAGAAAAATTGGCACTGAATAAGAGGGATAGGATGCCTGCTGAAGCATTACATTACCATGACTCATGCTTCACACAATCAGGGTGGAAAGTCATGTACACGTACCACTTTGGTTGAATGGCCACATAAAATGTATGCAATTAAAAATTTAATCAAACGTTCGTGGGCGTCGCTATCCCAGTCTGAATTAAGGATGGGCATGACCACAAAACTGATACATGAATTTGCTGGTGAGAACAAAATCCTATCATGGTAATCCATTCTTTGCATTCTGATATATCACACACATTGAATGTAGATACAGATACAAAAAATGCACTTACGCAGCCCTGGATGTCTACATCTGCATATTTATCGAGGAGAAGTTTTACAGTCTCAAGATGACCTCCTTTAACAGTATGGATTAAAACTGTATCATCATTCTGAAATGGAAGAAATGCCAAGAATTCTCAAGAATGACAATAGTTAAAGACTGTAGAAAAAAAACACTTACCTCAAAAGCACACTTCATTGTTAACAAATGGACATTTCTCAACATGTTGTCCGTTTACTTTTTAACGTTAAAATACTATTACATGAATGTAATGTAGGCCTATGCCATCAATTATGCGTGTTATCTAAAAATAGCATTTCACTGCCAGTTCTACATAATAACCCACTCACCCGTAAGGATGCAAGCTTACATGGGATAAACTTAATTCTGTAAGTCATATTTCTGAGTTAAAAAAAATCCAAGGGCATATGTTTCAATGCACAGGCAGACTTCAAAAGGAAAAAACACAAAAGGGGAAAAAAATCTGTGGGCTGTGAATTTTCCACTAAAACGTGACACTGTTAGACCTTGTTACTTTAGTTCAATAATCCCCCCCCCCCACAGTGAGCATTGGTAAGTGACATTTTCATCCTGTTGGCTATGGCTTTGATTTCTCTTTCAACACATGACAGGTGTTCACATTTTGTGGAACCCAACACTGGAATATTACCCACTCCTGGTGAATGTGTTTAATACTTGCTTGGATTTAAAGGGGGAAAGGGCGATTGATTTCCTGGCCGAATTAATCCTTTCTCTCCTGCTCTTTTCTGCTTGTTTTAGTCCTAACTCCCCTCAGGCGTGTGAAAAATATATTAGAAATGGAAGAATTAGAACTCTCAAAGTTGAAATTAATATATTAAAGTTACAATGTAAACACATGACTCCCAAATGAAGACAGGGTTGCAAAAGAAATGTGAAAAATGATTTGATATTTCAAGCACTTTTTCTGAGGAGTGAGTTTAAAGCTTAGGTGACATTTAAGCAGACAGAAGTAACTCTAAAATCAGAGAAGATGTGTGCACCAGTGAATTACGAGAACAATTTCTCATCTCAGCCTAATTTTGTGCTGCAGACGTCCCTGAGCCGTGGGCCACGCCATGTCTGTTACCTCTTCAAAGCGGTATCGTCCACGACTAAAGATGAATTATGGCTTGAGTACACCTAACAATAACACCGGCTGCGACGGCTCCCCGGATGGGCCCAATACACTGGGGAAATTACTGGACTTTCAGATTGACTATGAACCACCAAACCATGAGGTTAACTAAACTGAAAAAGGGTGGAGGGCCCAATGAATAATTGATGGCAGCCTACTTTGCCATTGCCTAAATGCATAGATAGGCCCACAGGGATGATTGGAGTGGGAATAGAAATTAGTATAAGTGGATACATCTTGACTTCAGGCAACACCTTCAAGGAAGCCTTCAACATTTCATCTTTGGTTTCAAAGTACTGAGATAGGCGGGGATAATGGCAAGATCCTATGGGCAGAGATTTAAACAGAGTAAATAAAACGACAAAAACAGTTAGATCCCTACCTTGTCCTGTATATTCAAATATGGTGAGTGTTCCAACAGTAACTTGACTACTTCGGCATGGCCTTCTTTAGCGGCACAGCAAAGACTGGTCATCCCATCCTGAAGCAAATCAGCAAAAAAAACAACAGCATGCATAAGAAGAAAACTCACATGAAAAATGAGGTTGGAAGTAAGTACAACTTAAAAACGGAAAAGACAGTGAATATCTATCTTCACCGTCTCAACTGTAACACTCTGCTCTAGTAGGGGGGCATACACCAAAGTGAGTAAAGCAAATTTCAAAAAGTGGCCATGGAATCTCTAACCTCAACAATACTGCATTAATACCCCTCCTAAAAGTTATTTCAGCAGTTGAACCATTCGCATTTCAAATTTTCCAAGTGAACAAATAAGTCTGGGCAGAGTGGGAGTTGAACAAGTACCAACGAGAGTACCTGACTGGGCTCCATTTACCCAGGCAGTGTGACGTTTACCACATCTGATGAAATTGTAGCAGGAATGTTGGATGCACATCCTCAGATTTCACATTTTTGGGGGGAACTGGAGATAACTTAGGCATATTTCAACATTATCAGAAGACAAATGTTCAGCAATTTTTTAAAACTGACATTTACTTACACCATTATGCTTGAGTCCAAACTTCAGTATTGGAGTATTTCTCAACAGAAAAATACTGAGTTACTATTTAGTGCTAACAGCCTATGAGATCAAAGTAAACGGGAGCTCTTTTAAAAGAGATTGTTATAAAAGGTAAATGAACACACCAACACTTTCAATGAAGATACACTACTTAAGCTCAGAAGAATTTGCTGCTTATTTTCACATGAATCATCGTGCCAAACATTGGCATGTGCTGAGTGATCTCACCTTATCCACTGCATTGACGTTGGGGTCTTCATCTAACAGCAACCTGACCACCTCTGTGAAACCTCCCCTCGATGCAACAATCAATGCTGTCCATGCATTCTGAAGAGTACGGTAAAAAAATGAGATTGTGTCAATTGCTTATGGTATAAAAATTGAACTACATGTAGTTTTAATAACAGTAGCTGTAACATACTGTTGCCAAAACTACTATATGAAAAAAAACACCTAAATGGTGACACAATGCTAATCATTAGGAAGCATACAACAATACCACAATTTGTCAGTATTAAACAGAAAGAAATCTCTTTGAAAGAAGACCCAATAATGGTCATTCTGAGGTATTTAAAGCTTCTGTCCCTAAAAGGACCACAACAGTCTATTCGAGCAATACAATAACAAGCATGCCGGTATCAGAGGTGGTGAAGTACGAGATAATCTTATCCAATAGGAACTCCATCCAGTAACGTGGGAAGTTCTGCGAGGAATGTCTATAAACTGACTAACCTTCCACAGAAAAACCAGTAGTGTACAAATAAATTAAGTTGTTAGTGTGTGAGTTGTAAATGTTTGAAAATCCCTCTCTTTGTTAAAAAGATCAGAAGTGTCAAACTTCCTTGGTGTTTTATCACATTTGTTACAGTGCTATCACAGGTCAAAAAATTAAAATTAATATCAAATGCTTACATCTGTGAACTTTGCCCCATGTTCATGGGTAAAAAAATAATTGTGAGGCAAATTTACGAAAGCTTCGAATTTGAAATATGTTTATTTATTTTAAATCTTCAGACAGGAAGAAAAAATCTAGAATTGACAACTGACTTAATAACAGACTTGTCCATGGCTTTTGTCACATTTCTTACAAATTTTCCAAGACTTTTCAAGTTGTCCTGACTGAGACCACCCTGTGATATGTACAGTGTACTTTTCAGCCATGCACTTTGTGTATCAACATCTTTTTTTCTTTGACAACTACGACATGATAGTGAGAAGATGAAAACAAAAAAATAAGACATCAAAATGTAAATAACCCATGCACAAATCCTCCCTTTCCGCTCCCAGACAACCATGAAATCTTTCCTGTCAACACTGAAAATCTTCACAGTGCGAAACATGGAGGAGGGGATGCAGTGGAGCAGACAAAAATCAGAAATGCAAGCCTCAGATGTCCGCCCAGGGTCACAGCAGATCCCAGGAATTTCGTCACTGGAGCCTTAACCAAACTAATGCCATTGCTTACCTGCTGCGTAGCACTGATGAGACTGCCTTTGTCAAACTGCTCACAAGAACATTGACGGCCATTTTACCGAGACAGAAATTTGCTACTAAGCTCAGAAAGGCCATGCATGTCTCCCACCATAGTAATGGCAACATACAATGTGCATCTGCAACTCACAGTGCATCACAAAATATGTACTGCCAAGTATTTTAGGTGCGTGGACAGCCTGGAGCTAATCCAGACCTCGATCAGATTTCAGCCGATCAAAGAAATGCCGTCCAGAGCATTCTGGAATGAGTACACATTCATCTCTACCTCTCCCCAAATCCCAATGTAAGCAGAGGCAAGCGGTCCTCTTCATTATTTCTAATAATTTAAACAGTGTTTGAGCAAAACAACCTAGTCTTTTCATTTCCAGTCGAATGACGTGATTGGCAGCGATACAAACGTTAAGCACTTACCATGCCAGCTAGGTCTACATTGGCTCCGCTATGCAACAAGGCTTTCACGCACCCTACGTGACCCTTTCGTGCAGCCCATACAAGTCCAGTTGTTCCATACTACAAAGCAACATCGAGCAAAGGAATAAATGAATGCATCTTATGCCTCCCTTAATAATACCAGTGCAGGTTCAAAGGATTTCTTTAAATGCAAACACTCCGGTGCAATGTGCCTGATGCGAATTTATTCAAACAATGTTTGGCCAACCCTTTTTAATGGGGAAAAAAACACATATTTTGTAATACTTCTGGGACTTACAGTCACTTTTTTTTTGGGGGGGGAGAATTAATTTTTTCTTTCAAATCAGTTTCATGACTGAATAAAATGCTATGTAAAAATGTTGGGTTCGGGTGCAGTAAAAAAGTAAAAAAAAAAAAAAATCCTCCACATTTAACATACCACACATTCTGTTATGTTGTAATGTTCAGCTGTTCTGTCAAATACTGAATTATTTTCCACATACATGTACATTCTACTGGGTCTGTGGAACTTGCAGGAAGTCATTTGGGAGCTTGAAATGGGCTGCCGACAGTAAAATTATGCAGTGAATGATGGAAATCCCGGCGGAGGGACTGATGCTCCAACAAAAATATCTGGATTCAAGTAAATGCACGTGGCACAGTCCTTAGGAATGATGGAGTTTCGAATAGAAGAATGGCTGATCACAAAGAATGTTGACAGTGACCTAGAATTCATCAAAGGGAAGTCACAGAAAAATAGCTCCATCCTGCCCTAGACAGCTGTGAAAAGTTCAGGTAAACAATGTCATGCTTTCCATGACCTCTACATCTGTGGTCCCTGGTTCAAATCCAGCCATGGGCACTGCATTATGTAATTGTACATGCAGCCCAAGCGTCATATTCTGAGAATCCTTGGCTCGGTACCAGTAAAAAAAATTAGAAGTCAGAATGGGAACAGCAAGTACCTTATCAGCTGAGTTTGCCTTGGCTCCATGATTCAGTAGGCATTCTACAACACCAGTCTGGCCTCGGCCTGCTGCCCAGATAATTGGGGTGACACCGTGCTGAAAAAACCCCCAAACAACACTGAAACATAATACAAGGTTTGACAGGCACAAGAACAAAGAGAAAGACATCTTGACTGACAAAAGGAATCCAACATGAGGAAAGTAAATGCTAATAGAAGTTTTCAAATGTTACTTGCTACTTTTGTTAAAGGCACTGTCTGACAGAATATGAACATAGATTTCAAAGAATTTGTAAACGACACAAAGGAATGTTAAGATATATTATTGTCTCATTCCACTTCAAAAGCATGGAAGAAATCAAAATACAAATTAATTTTAATAAGACTTCTGTGATTTTTAAAACTCTTTCCACCTTTCTCTTCTTAAATCAGTTTCCAACTGCAGTCATGTTACTTATTGAACACACGCGTATGATGAAACAACAACCTAAGCTATTTCAACCCCATTAGAGCCTTAAACATAACCAGTAAAAATGCGGTTATACTGTGCCAAGCCACATCTCTAGTACATGACCTCAGGTTTATGAGCTGTTCACTTGAATTCTATTCACTGTTTGACAAATTAATCAGTGAACAAGACTCCCAGATTCTAAATCAGATTTAGAACTTGACTAGTTTTCAACAGAAAATTATCCCTTTTAAACAGAAGCCTTTTCAGCTAGCACACAAAGGAAGGTCTTCTTACATTCAAGCTCTTGACCGTGGGATTTAATAGCTTAGTGGAGTTTTGAATTTTATGAGCTGGCATGGTTTGACACAACACAACGGACACCTCTGTATGGTCACTGTGGCAGAGAGTATAGTTCTCGTCCATCTTTGGCTAAATTGGAAATGAAGTATTTAGGAGGGCCACTGCTGTATTATATTAGCAGCAGATCAGCATGGACCCATATGCACAGCAACCTGATCGGCCATGATTAAATCTTTGGGGTTTGGATTATACAGTCCCTCGCACCCTTGAGGTATCCATGCTTGCCTCTGAGGGTGCTCCAAGCTGGTTAAAATCTGTTTCTGATGGGTGTGACCCAGGGCAATTGACACTGCTGAGTATCTACCAACAAAGTTCTTACAGACAGAACTAAGTTTTCAGTAGCAGGTAGTATGACCTCATCCACTGAGACATTTGGCTTGGCTTGAAGAGCTGGATTTTATTAGGAATAGTGGCTGAGGATATTAGTACCTAGTCTTATTTTCTCAAACTGAAAAGTTTAAGAGAATCAATATTTTACATAGTATCCAGTGAAAAACAAAGCAAGTAACTAGCCAAAGAAAAATGAGTCAAATTTTAAACAAATTACAATTATTACACTGTTAATCAACAGATACAAGGCAATCTCAGCAAGCATAAATTGGATCTTGGCAACAACAGTAGAATTTTACTGTTTATTTCAAAAGGCAACAAGGGAAAGTACTGTAGGAGGCAAATACTGGTAGCCCGACAGTCCTGAATTCCTTGTGAAAACGAAACTCTGTTTTTAATATGACAGGCTTGCAGCTTTTCAAACTCATGTTGCAATGACATGATCAAAATGATAAGCAAAATCCTGACGGCCATGTGCAGTGCATTATGAATTTCTGTTGTGGTCGCACAGAAAGGGCACAGTGATCACACAAGTCAAAACAAATCATTACGCTCACTGAGCATGTGTAACAATGTCCAGGGGCAATGGCAATCCATCTGTGGTGGATGATGCGCTAAAGCTGAATAAACTAAAAGCAGTGCCAATGCCACCAGGGAATATCAAAAGTTTCTGTAAACTCAGGTTTCCAGCTTGATAACCTTTTTGAAATAAAATGCTAATAACCGTTTCATACCAAATTTATCTTCTTCAGTCACAAGGGAGAATTACACACTTTCCCCTGCTTATTCTTGCAGTTCTAAATAGCCTAAACATTGATGGAGAAAAGTGATTTAAATATTACGAGACAAGTGCAGGAACTACCTCAATTAACTTAGTACCAACACTACAAATCTATGCATCGTAAGGAGGAGGGTTCAAGTAATGTTCCCTCACTTCTTCAATGGATCAAAAGAAATACTTTCCAAAGGAAACTTTCAATTAAAAAGGACAAATAAACTTCCATCCCTAAAATTATTGACATATAGAATTTTAAAGAAATACTTTAAATAAATAAATTGCATCATGTCAGCAAAGCACCATGGTTTCTGAATGTAATGTTAAAGCATGGAGGAAGGAATAGACAAGGCACCAGGAAATAGAAACATTTTTATAAATTTTACTAAAAACCCTTGAGATTGCATCTTTGGGTTTCAATTAACCTTATTTGAAAATTTTGTTTTGCAATTTTAACCCATATTTTGATGCTTTTTGGTTTTATGCTCATGCAATTTGCATATTCATGAGCAGAACTATGATGTTATCCAAGGCACTGAATCTCAGTGTTGCACTGATTTGTGCACAGAAAATTTCTAGATTTTTTTAACCACTGCTATGGCAGATTTTATTCTCTTCGGTAATTTATTGCTATGTAAGTATATGGCAATAATCCAACAAAAATCCTTTTCACAGAAATGTTCCCAGGTTGCTAATTTGGGATTCACAATTGGAAGATGAAAACATGCAACTTGGACCAAGTCTTCCTGGATTTACATCAAAGTAAAAGCGCCCTCACTTGTCCAGAAATGCCTGGTCAATTTTTGATGTTTGAAAAAGTGCACAATTCAGTTCACTTAACTCAAAAAAGATGTCAAACAGTCTTCATACATGGAAGAAGAGTACAGAGATACACAAAAAGTGATTCTAAGAAAAATTTTTTTCCTGGTTCCTTTAATCAAACTTTCCTTTATAACATTAGATTAAAAAAAATGAACGAAGCAATCAGTCAATCATTTGAAAGAATACATAAACACAGTGACAATCAATTTTAAACAGAAACAGCTGCATGATGTCACTCTAAGCTTGATGCAGTCAGACATGCAAATTACTTCCCATTGAGAATCCCATTGAAGTCCAAAGGAGCATTCCAGTGACGTCATCAGCCTGTGTCGATATTTGTGTTGGAATGAGCACGCAGGCTAATGGACATGCTTTTAAAAACTCCAAGTTATCAGATTTCAGACAACATCCTCTCCCGAATAACTGAAAAACAGGGAGGCCATAGTGCAAAGACAAAAACAACTTCATGAATACTGCGCTACAGGCGGATGGCGAGAGAATTTTTTTCTTTTGAGATGTGTCCTTTATGGGTCACTGGATATCTCTGTAAATGCTGTATCTATCGATTGTCTGGAGCGTCTATGATATTGGGTTCTTGTGGTAATCTTTCTTGCTTGTCAGATTTGGCAGTGAGCGATGACGTAGGAATGTGGTCATTCAGCGGCTAATGTACACATTCGCTTTTCCGCATCGCAACTTGAGGGCAGTACAAGAGGGACGAAGGTGACATTTCAAAAGGCCCCTCATGTGATGAATGTTGCCACATCTCAAATGGTTTATAGCCGAACCCCAAAATAAATAAACACATTCTTTTTGCTTTGCTTCAAAATGGCTGCGATGAATGAGCTCCACATGCACCTTTCCCCACAAAATATGAGATAATTTCTCGTGCCACTTTATTTCAGGAGAAAATCCAAAGAAAGATTAACTTATTTTGAAAATTATACTCAGGATTCAATGAACAGCACTGTGCCCAGCCCTTGCTGATATTGGACTACAGTGATTTCAGAAACCATGAGAGCGAGTTGTATTTTGTGTGCATGCCTCTAGACTGAGTCAAAAACACATCTCTCTCAGAAGTAAAAACAAAACAACGGAGGTATGCAATGCATCACGATAAACCAATGATTTAAAGAAACAATGTTGTTCAACTCTTACGAAGACACTGATAAAACTTGTTCCCTCAACAAATGCGACAAGTCTTTTTTGAATGTGGATGCTTCTCTCTCCTTCCCTCCACCCTCAAAGACTTGACAGCTTACTAAGATCTATCACTTCGTCCCCATGGAAAACAGTCAAATCCTGTATTGGCCTACCACAGGCTTGATAAATATTAGTTCTGAATTCCTTATCCCTCCATTGGGAGAGATAAGCTGACTACTTTAACTATAGGGTATGGCTGATAGGTCTGAGCTGGGATTTAAGGGGGGGGGGAGACGGCGGTTCTTACTGGTAATGAGGTACATGTACATGTTCTAGTTTCCGAAACAGAATCATTTTAAGGTTTGTGTATGATACGAATACTAGATAAGGACAGATGAATACCCCAAGGTGAGAACCAACAAATAAAGGAAAATAAAAAAGGAAATGTGTATTTGGAACAATACTGGTGGTGTTGCTAGGCTCACCAAAAGCTGTCTCTGTAATCAGATCAGTAGCTTGTAGCATAGTGATTTGTGGCACTGCAGTGAACTACATGAATGGAAACTGCAATGTGATGCTGATCAACCAAACAGTAATGTGTAACGGCAAATATCAAAGGTGAACCTCCATGCCAAAGCATACAGTGTAATTACAAATAATCGTTTTTTTTTTTTTTCCAAAATACTTCCAGATGCTGAAATAACTGATCAACCATTCACACTCTACGTGTGCAGTCTGAAAAATGAATAACGAAATTCACATGGATTTCTACACAGGAGGCCTATCACCTACAAGTGCAAGGTTTGCCCGGCATTTACACAGCACCACATAAATTTGATTTGGTCATGGGGAAAGCCGCTTACTGGTTTTAATCAGCAGCCTGTCAGACCCACACGAGGGGACGCTGGACTCCAATTCTCCATGGCAAGCATAATTTACGAGGTTGTTTAACGTTTGGTATAATTCTCAGTGTTTACTGGCTTGAAATTGAGGACACTTGTATAAATATGCACTAACAGGGGCAGAGAGATTTCCACTGATTGGAGAGTGTTCATTTTAAGATTTAGTGCACAAATACTCAAAACAGTGAGAACGAGAGAGGTTCAACATTTTTGCCTGTACACATATACGTACTTCAGCTTAGCAATCTCAAACCTTATTGCTATAAATACACTAGGCAACAATTCATAACTGGCAGATTCTGTAGAATATTGTCATATTTGAGGCTAAGCCTGCCCTATCCATATTTTAAAGACCAACATGTACAATGTACAATGTATATGTAGGGTCTATAATTGTACATGTTTAACAGTTTATTTCTTGTACTACTATACATACATGTACTGCAATAAAAAAAATTAAACCAAAACAAGAAAATGCAGTTAAACCTATTAACGGCTTCGATTACTGTATCGATTACTAATCTTTTTTTATGTATAGAGAATGACATACCGATACCTGAGCCACAAGTACATGCACTGCAGATAAAAAGTTACAGCAAACTTGGAAAGATGTCACGGACTGATGGCCTGTCTGACACATTACTTGTTACCTCTTTACGCAAGTTTGAGAGACCATCCATCAACTACTGGTCAATATTACCTGGTAGACAGGTTACCTGAGGGTATACTGAATGGTGGTCAACAAATGGTGCTCACTCGAACTGCCCTTTACTGGGGGTATGTACTCGCTTGGTACATGTATGCACTCATGCTAAATGTGGCACCAAGGTACATTCAGTTAAATGAGTGACGGTTCCTTTTCAACAACCAAGAACCACCCTTTCACAGATTCTCAAAGTTGAAAGGCAAAACTGTATGTATCCGTCGGCACTGGTGCCAAGTTAAGCTGGCATTGGGAGCTCAAAACAAAGGTCCACTATGTCAATATTGACAAATTTGACAATGTGAGGAAATGGATAAAACCTACGTGTGCTTGCACATTGGGCGATGCTCCCCGCTCGAGTAGTTCCTCTGCAACATCTGCATGACCCTTGTAACTTGCCCACATTAATGCTGACCAGCCATTCTGAGAAGAAAAATGAACAAACCATTTCAAAATTAAAATCAAGTTATCAAATCATTTCATTCATCCATAACCTTTTGGGCGTATGTAAAATCATATTAAAATCAGAGGATTGAGGACTGTCAGGGTTACAGAACAAGAACTTTAACCATCCAAAATTCTTCAAAATTTACCGGTAGGGTTTTAGATGATTTCGTAAGATTTAGGAAGGTACAGTTGTACAGTCCAGCATTGCTATACGTGACTCTCAATGCACTTTGAAAGTACACAGAATGTGGCAATGGTTTGCCACACTGCGGCTAAGTTGGGAAGATTAACAGATTCAGTACACAGTGAAATCAGCAAGACACTGCACAGGTCCTCTAAATAAAATATCTTGTGAACATGATCATGGCAATCGCTGTATAAGGAAAGGCAATATTACTACTGGTAAATAAACTATTCAGGCAAAGTCAGGACAATGTACAGATACATGCATACCATACATGTAGAATCAGCAAAGTCAAGGGAACAACAGATTCTGTGGTATGGGTGTCATAGATACAGCTACAAATGTATGAGTAATTCAAGAAATTAAAAATCAAGCATACATTGTGCTTTAGTCATTTTCACGAGACATAACACTAAAATAAATGTTTGAGACTATCTGGTGCATTTTCTCAAGCCTATTAATTTCAAAGATTAACATAGAGATAAATATTTTTATAACTGTAACTCTCATGAGAAGTGTAATGCAGTTTTGGCTCTGAGCAAACATTCTATGATCAACAGAGACGCCCCAATCACGGCTGAAATCCTCCCAGGAGAAATCCAATGTTGTCATTGGTAGCCAAGTTCATGTGGCGACATTGATTAAATGGAATGCTGAACCCCCTGTGCATCATTTCCACTTAGCAGGAAGTCGTATTTTCTGACCAGCAGAGGAAAGCATAAATTCAAGTTGACAAGCTCCCAGGGCATGTGGGGCTTAATTGTAGTTGTAACTCATGTCTAAATAGTTTCTATGTCATGTTGAGTTTTTTGCTTTATTAACATGACTGAAAACAGTTGGTAACAGCAGGTGAATAAAAATAAAGTTGATACAAGAGCAAAACAAAGCTGTAATTACATTTGAAAACAAAGGAACATATTTTACAGATTTCAACAATGGATTTGGATCTTCTCTGATACAATCCTTCAAAGACACAGACCGTGCTTTGAAAGAATTTGTGCAAATAATTTTAAGGGTTGACTTGGCTGGCACTTGAACCAGGGGCTTTTTTACTTGCTAGGGCTTGCTACTCAACCGGGACAGCCAGCTTGCAGAATTTGAAAAAAAACCAAATATCACAGGTCAAATCTAACGACCTGTTTTAAGCCCCTGTTGTAAGAGACATTATGGCAAATAATCGTGTTAGATTAAAAAAAAATCATCTTGCTGATTTGATTATTGTGAAAGCAACCCCCCTCCCAAATCAACCCTTGGAAAGCAATGTGGGTAATTCAGTTTTGCAAAACAAGGAACCATGCTTGGAAGTACCCAATAACAAAGGTAGTTCTTTATCAGTCAAGGTCAGTGCACATGTATATGACTGAATATAAACTATGTCAACGGTCATAAATGGGGGGGGGCTGAAGCATGGCTTCATGCATTAATCCATGACCAAAAGTCGAATGGTTCTGATAAAATGACATGAAAACAAGTCAAGCGTATGTGAGTTGCATTATTAATAAACCTTGCTTGGGGGCAAATTAAGCATGACATCATGAACAAGCACCGCATGCATGCCAGTTGACATCTACAATGCATCCACATGTATTCACCGGGGAGGGTGGACATGCCACTTATTTATAGGTTGGAATAACAAGGGGACATTGAAAGTAATTTTTTCCTGGCCTTCAATTATCCACTCCAATTTCCAAAATAAATCCTAACCCAAATAAAACTGCATGGTGCTCATTTATTACTGTTTCAGGATCATTGTTGTTCCAACCAAAACTGACGATGTAAATGAAAATGGAGCAGGTAAATGGTCCAATACCAGAAAACAAGCCTTTTAGTTATTATCTTTATCCAGTTATGTTTCCTATTATAGCAAGTGATGTTCTATCACACAAAACTGTTAACTCTGTGTGAAAAGAAAATCCCTCAGTTGTCAAAAGCTACGCACAGTGCAATGCTGGGCATTCCACTCGTTTCAAATCCAAAATGCAAATTAGCCACTGAACGGAAGCTCAGAAACGAAGGCTCACTACGTTGACGATGTCCTTCCTAACGAACCGTCTCTGCACTACGTGTACGTCCAAACTCTGCACTAATTACACATTCTCTGACACATTCGCGGCCTCCCAGCAACAAACCCCCACAAGGTATGCAATTACGTTCCTGCTAGGCCTTAATGAAAGACTGACTTTATGGGCCTTGACGGTCAGTCTTGAAATTTCTTCCATTTTTCAGATGCCACTCGGACGAATCAAAAGTGCATTCAGGTAACATGACACAGGCAGCGTTGCCATCAGCCATTAACACTTTGAAGACATGCATAACAGCCCTTGCAGTGAAAAATGAGAAATGAGTTTTAAAAATAAGGGCAGAATTTTATCACAGGTGGCAATCACAAGTAATCTAAATGGCAGAGGCATGCTTAGCAATAGTGCAATCATTTTGCCTGTCCTCTTCCAAAATGGCTAATTAAGAAAGTTCACACTAAAAGAGCAAAGTAGATGTGCATCAGTAGGACTAGAGCAAAGGACAGCAGAGCTTGGCAATTCCATGCAGAAGAGAAAAGCACAGTAGCACAGAAGCATTTAATTAGACACAGAAAAGAAGAGCCAGGAACAATATAACAATTAGATCAATGAGTTTCAAACAAAGCAAACAGAAGAGGACAGACAGTTCTAGAAACATATCCTCCCCTGAAAAAAACTACTGGTAAAAATAAGATAAAGCTACTCATATGTGCTCCTGAGATAACAACATGTTTATTTCAACAGCGAGACAGGCCCATCAGTGAGCTGTCAGAGTGGGCTGTTCTTTTCCTTAATTTTATCCTGTGGGTCTAAAATCAATACCCAAACCCATTTACCCTGGACAGTATAGCCACTAACAAGAGGAATATAACTGTTCTATGGTGAGATAATCTTTCAAACTCTTGCACTGCTGCTGATGAAACAGTTTACAGTTGGGCTTTGAGGTTGAGGATTTTACAAAGAGGATAATTGGCATTTTCCTGCACACAAGCAGACTGCTATTACCACTGATTGCCTGCAGGCTCCAACCCCTGGGAATAAAAATATGTTTCAGAGGTGTCTTGATCACCACACAGTGCCATCCGGTTTCAAGTCTGCCACAACTTCGACAGAATTTTGCATCAGAGTGATGTGAATTTTAACTTTGACTTTAACTTTTAATTTTTTTTTCCATTTTTTTTTTTAAATCAAATGTTCTTGACTGTGACACCTGCCTCTGTATCAAATCTGAACAGGGTTCCTGCACCTAAAGGACAATTAAATTCCATGACCTTTCCTTGACTTTTCCATGACCAAATTATGAAAATCCATGACCCAATAATGCAATTTCTTGGACTCTTCTGACTTTTACAGTTGCGGACAAAATCATGCATTTTATGTACTCATTTCTGATAATCACACACAATGTTTAAAAAATTCCAATGACTTTTCCAGGTCTGGAAAACAAAACCAAATTTCCATGATTTTTTTCGTGACTTTTCCAGGCTGCGGGAACCCTGTCTGAAGCAGACAACCCACTGAAGAAAGCTCAGAGATCAAGTGGTGAGACATTTGCATTGGTATGCAGAAAATTACACATTATATGCTTGATTCCCATCTGCACAAGCTCGTGGAGTTTTCCCTTAACTGTGACACACTGGGTGTAGACTATTTTATTCACCATACCCCCATGAGCGTAATTACAATGTACAGAATTTACATGTAATTGCAGTATTATGGTTAAATCATGCTGGTGCAGCAGGGAAATGTCCTATGTGAAAATGTTGTGTAGTTGATAATTTATGTTTATACGCACGGTCTCTGTACATGTGGCAGATTATGTAATGGTACCAAACACGATTCTGTGTGTGACTCGCGTTTGACCCCAGGCCACAGTGAATAAGAAGTCATGAATATTGTTGTTGTATGTGCGGGCAATTTCATGAAAGCTGACAATATTTCCAGTCATGTTTTGGAATTTCTTGTATTCAAAGATTAAGTAATGCTAACAAGTCTACTTTAAGATACTCATGTAATCAGAGATATTTCTAGAAGGATTGCAGACTATAAAATGTGGGCTTTAGCAGACAAGGACAGGAAAGACAGAAAGAGAGACAAACACAGCTAAGAGATTTGGAAGGTAATTCTACTGCAAGCGGGCTGTGAGAAGTCTCTGACTAGTGCACCATTTCAACCTGTGGTGGCGAGTCGTCTGTGGAGCGACACTTATAAGACAAGTTTGTCCAGACCAAGTGAAGTGCAGAGCTGAATTTTGTACTGGAAGAGACAGTTTGTGAACTGAATCCAGTTCCAGTTTGTGGGATCAAGTTTCCGTATTTGTGACGGTCATCACGCCCTCGCCATTTGGTCTTAAGCCTGGTCGTTCTTATTTGACATGGTCATTATCCCCATTGCAGCTTATTTTTTGCAGCGTCAAGGACTAAACTGTTTTTTGCCATCTGTGGAGTCCAGCGTTCTTCACTGTGGTGCCTTGCCAAGTTCTCGCCCGTAGGAACACCTTGTTTATATGATATATTCCTTATCATTCTAAACATACTTGTTTATTTTATCCTTAAATCAGTGTGATCTTATTTGATTTCTTTGTTGCGTCAGAGAAAATTCAAGAATCAGAATAATTAAATAGTTTGGATTTTTTCAGATCGTAACAATAATATCTGAGATTCCTTTGATGTTTATACATGTATGTTTGGCTCTTAAAATTGTGACGTCCATGTAAATTAAATATAACTTTTTTACCATCAACAATGCTGATAATTGGCTGTATTAAATTTAATTCAGTGAAATGAAAGCAATACATCTAATGGTGATTGATTGATATCGCCAACATCTTGGGTCCAACCCATTAGATAACACTTGGGCTGTTCATCAGCCATTTTAATGGTCTGGTGCAATAGTCCGTGACCCACTGGCTATTTATTTAGATAAATGAGATTATAACAAGTCCAGCAAAATAGGAATCTATGGCTCATTTAGCAGTTTGAGATGACGACAGGGTAAATCACAAGGGACGTAGGATGATGTCGGTTGGTGAAAATGCGAGGTGATGACTGGCATTGGAATTAAGTCCTTTAGCCAACTTGACTCCTGATTACTGGCTCAGTGCAGCAAGGAAAAGCCTCTTGTTGTCTATGAGAAGATGGAAGGTGATGTCTTTGCTTTTAGATAGGATGGTTAGATACAGGTAGTGGGGCTGGGGAGTCCATGCAAGAACAGCAGTTAGTGTCAGGTGACCACACACAATAGATACACTCATAGACACATATAGGTATGAACATATTTTCATTTGAATGTGCACAACCCTGTCCATTATGCACAGGAAGCCAGTGCATGCAGGCAAATGCAGTTCAAATGTCTGTCACATGTCTTTGCACTGAGTCCCTAGCCTCCACATGTTACTACTGCAGCCTCTATCTTCAACAGTCGATGTGCAGAATAATAAAAGACCAATAAGGGTCATTTGTGTCATTTACCCACACTCAGGTGTGCTCCTCTCATTTATGCACACTGTGTAGAAACTCAGTCATTGGCATTTTGCATATATGTATCACTCCACATGTGCCCTCTATTACCGGTATTACATAGCTTTAGTGAGTTGGCTATGTACCAACCTTTGAAAGTCCAGTATGGTGCCTATGGGTCTTGTGGATTGGCATTACGAGTGCAATATGTGAACATATCTCAAACAAGTAGACACGCGAATACAGAAGAGCCAAAATGCCAATAATATCCACCGGAAAACAAGAAATCTATCAATTTAATTTTCTTTCAAGTCAAGGCTATCTCCACTACAACCTACATGTATGTAATGAATTCATCACTTCTAAGACAAAATCTGTTTACAGAGAATTTATGATGAACATTTTGAAAAAGCTTTCGAGCCAAGGTAACAGTAGAAATGCTCAGACAAATGCATTTTCAAACAAGACAAACAGGAAAGACTTTTGTCCATGTACCAGAAGGAAGTAGATTGGGTGAAGACTAATACAGTAGATGTGGCAATGGAGGAGGGCACAAGGCAGCATATATCTTGTTAGTTAAGAGTGGTTCTGCACACAAACAGCAGTAAAGATGCTCTTGAAGGGATAATAATGGGCAGGCAGAGAGTCTCCTCTTACACGATTGGCATCTCTGCCCAAAATATAGGTCGCCATGTCGGGAGACACGGGAAGTACCATGTTCGACAACCCGACAGCCTCTAATACAGCTATGCACCAGGGCAGGCAAACATCGCTTCCATTGACCTAAACCAGAAAACAGATGGACGAGGACGGCCGTGTACTATTACCAATCGATGTTGGCATGGGATACTTACAACATCTGTGTGGTCAATCTCTGCCCCCTTAGTGAGCAGCGCCTTGACTATGTCCAAGTGGCCTTCCTTGGAGGCGAAAATAAGGGCCGTCCATCTGTCCTGTGGAATTGTAATGAAAGATTGCAACCTAATTTGGAATCGCTTTCAAAATAGGTCTCTGATTGCATCCAATGCAGACGGCCTTAGAACTATGCATGCAGAAATTCCAAATTATTAAATGAAGCAACATGCTCCAATAATTGGAGCACTGTGGTTTCGCTTGTGCAGATTGTGTGATGAAATTTGTGGGCATTTTTTTTTGTTACACGAGGCTGGCAAGTGCCTCATTTGTTTGAAGCAAAACAAAATTATTTTTCTCCTGTTTTGTTTGTGGTTTTTTACTTTTAACGGGAAAACAAAATTGTGCAAAACTGCATAACAATAATAAAATCCATTTTCTTAAAAAATGTGCTTGGATTACAATTCATTTTGTTTTAATTTTCACTAACAATATTACACCTTGTCTAAACACAACTGATCTATACCATCCTTTGCAATATTTTTTTGTTGTCACCAGTGTAGTGATACTAGTTGGTGCAGCATTGGAATTATTTGGTTCTTCGCTGTCTTGGAACTTGCTCGAAAATGACCTCTCCTGTTTTTCCCTGTGCATGTACATCCATCAAAAAGATCCATCACAAGCGCCATTGTATTAGCTATTGAATTAAGAACCCATGCTCCTTTCCAGTCCATTTACTTGCATTTAATTGTAGAAGAGTTATGAAAGGGAAGTAGAGCAAGGCTATATGCTCAAACAAGAGAGAAAAAATCAAACATATCACACGATTTGAAATTCTAAACACCAACCTCATCTATGGCCTTGATGTCCGCTCCTCTGTCTAACAACTCCTGAACTAGTTCCAGTTTACCAGCCTGGGCAGCACACATTAGTGCAGTCTGTCCTCCCTTCAGATTCGGATGGAAACACGCAGACAAAAAAGAAGAAGACAAATTTAGACCTGACTCTTAAATATGCTATCAAAATTTCCAAGATATTCACAAGCAAGATTTCTTGGAAATTATCTCCAGGAAAAAATGACAGTGGCATTGTCAGAGGAAGAATTTATTTAGAAGTCACAGACAATTTGCAATGTTTGCCATACCAGGCTATGGTAAGCTAGCAGCAATCGCCAGGTCCTGGGGCCAAACATTCTGGAATACATAATCCAGCTTGGACGGCTTGGTGTGGCAAACAAGTTGACATACTGCACATCAACCATATATAATACAATTGTTCCCAGCACAAATCCAATGCTGACCAGGACACAGAGCTAGAGCAATTGCATGTACATATGCGGGTAAACTGCTATTAAATGAGTGCTTCCTGAACATGGACAGCCTCTGTATTTGTTCCATGAATCTACATGTACAGTACCATCAGTGGGAATAAAACAATGAGCCTCAACATCTGTGCTCTCTGAATTAAACCAGATGTCAAATGCATTAATTATCAATCACTGCTTTCTTTTGTGGACAAAATTTTGTGGGAATTGAGAGAAATATTTATAGGTCTGATGCAACTGACACTACACTGTCAACCAGGGAATCCTTTAACAGGTTTATGATTCAATTATCAAATCTTGTTAAAGCGTTGAAGTAGCCCAGTCCAATCTTGTTAGAAATCAATCAGGGAATCCAGTTGACTCCTACTTTATGTCAATAATTAGTTGACATGCTACTACATTGTCACTTTCAAAGAAGTGTGATACGTGAACCCAGTATGCACAACAATAAGTGCTCCATATTGTTAAAAAAAAACTTGATTTCTGAGGTGCATAGGTGTTAGTCTCATGATGGACCAAAAATTTTAGTCTTGAATCCATTTTAATCAAAACCATGGGCATAAATCGGGGGGGGGGGGAATATATCCCCCTCCCCTTTTTGAGGGGGGGATGGGATATTGAATCATCCCCCCAATTTTTTGTGATGAGCAAAAACATTAGAGCAGATTGTTAAGAATTTTCAGAATTTCCAAACGACTAAAATGTTTGCGATATCACTAAAAATGGAAAATAATTTCAAAAAGCCATAAATATACCATTGTGATGTAAGATTCTGAATGCGTTCAATACACATTACAGGTGCACATCTTTCTCATGAACACTGCCCCCTTTATAGTGTATATGGTGTCCCCTCACCCTTTCAAATTTCCATGGCCGGACAAGTCATCCCCCCCCCAACTTTCCCCTTCTTCCCAAGTTCTAACACAGATTGATGCCACTGACCAAAGTAATGCATCAAATCACTGAACTAACTGATACCCTTCAAAGTACTCCAAACACGTGGCGCACATGGGTAGACACTTGAAAATTGAAATTACATGCACTACTTAAAAAATTCCCTTAATCAATGCATGCACTTAAGGTTAAACAGGATTCCCTAAAAAGCCAGCATGATAAGCTTGCATTCCTCAAAAACTCTATTCTGTACTGTCCCAAGAAAATTACAAACACGCTCTTAATGTGCACGTATACATGCGTTCCATCAACACTGACAGCTGATTTCACAGTTCATAGGCAGGAGTGGTGCTCTGCCATTCGGCCTCAAACTGCAGTCTCAGGTACTTGGGGTGAATTGCAATTTAAAGGGAAACCACCGACAGGAATTGATTGAACAAAAATAACGTGTCAGAACTTGCTTAACGTGCACACAAGGGTTTACGTTTTTGTCAGAAAAAAAAATATTGGCCTGAGATGGGCAACTTAAACACCTTCATCTCCATGGTATATAACACAAAACTTACATGTCCCCCCAAAAAAAGAAAGTGACATACATGTGTATTAAGATTTTATTCTTAAACTACGTTTAACTGCCACTAATATCCACTGAACTATGACTTCATGTACATTTTACACTCCATTTCCTCCCCTTCAACTGACTTGAACCAATGCACCATAGGAGGACACAACATTAAAAAAATGTTTCACTGACCGATTGTGTGATTTGTGACTGAGTGATATCAATGCATTGGTTCATAAATCACATACATGCACATGTACAGTCTCTGCTCAATGCATATTACCCATGTATTCTTACTACTAGTCTTTCTTTTCTGAACTTGAGAATGATAAGGTTAAATGACAAAGTTCTCACCACAATTGTTGAATTGTGTGCTATTTAAGTGGCTCTATGTTTTAAGCAACATACCATACCTCAAACCAGAAACTCTCATCCCATGCTATATCCATGTGGCTCTTAACACAATCGCGGAGTCTGATGCTGAAGAAATATAAACAACCATCATGCCCTAGAGATGCCTTAAATCAACAACATTTATTTCCCCACACAGCTCAAACACCACCATTCACCAGTTTGCTGAATGAATCGTCTGTGCTGGCAATTGCTCCACAACCAGTTCCAAGTCAGCAGATGCGTGTTTGATCATGACACCTGTTTGCTGACAGTTAACATTCCTTCCCAAGGCGCAGCTCTCATTCCTTATGGCAATGTCAAAAGGTCTATTCAACACCAATGTGAAGTTCTACTGTTGAATTTTCATCCTCTCATCAATGCAGAAAGCCATGTATACAAAGAGATTTTTCACACTAAATGAGCAGGACAGATTTTTTTTTTTACACATTCTCTGTAAACCGATGCTGCCCTTCCAAATCAGTATACAAGCAAAACATCCTGGACAGTTAAAGCTGCAAAAGCTCAACTCTCCTAAAAGAATTCTCCTGTTTGCCCAACCACACTTGGAGTATCAAAGGCACCCATTACAGTGTAATAAATCTATCTTCGTTATCAAACACGTTGAGCAATGGAACACAAGTTTCAACAATGCATCTCAAACAATCCGACAAATATGAAGAAAATAACTTTCAATGAAACATCCACGTCAGTCCCCCCGAGGTTCACGTCCATTCTTGCAGGGAACTGGCTCAAGAGAGAACACATTCCAACAGGCCATTGCTGATGAAAATCATCTCGAATCCAAGAATCCTGCGTCTCAAATCACCTGCTCGCCTGCTGGACGTGATGTGGTATACAGAGTAGTTTTACTAGCTGCGCTTCCATACTTACACCGGGGCAATCAGTGCCCAGAGTGCAAATAAAACTCAAAGGCAGGTTCAACACTCCACCGTCTTAGTACCACACAATCCAAACAACTGGCCGGGACCTTTTTAAGGGCTCAGGAGGGACCAAACGCATGAAGGCACCCCCACACATCTCCAACCAGAAGTACCAGCTCGTAACTCTTTGGCAAATGACCGTGCTCTGATCAAAGATTATCTATTCTCTTCGGGGAAATTATTTACAGCAGCTAGAAGAAGTGACTGGGGCCCCCATGGTTTAATCAAACCGAGTGATATCAGACTGTCATGGAGAACAGCAAGCTGCGCAGCACTGGTAACCTGATCGTTTGCCTCCGCGAGACTTACATGTATTCGCTCTCGAGCCGAGCAGGGAATGATAATTAATACACTCTAATGGAGGCTCAGTCCACACGTTAAGAAAGCATTGTACACCACTTGCAGCAGCCTGCCATGTCAAGTACATCTACTCATTTACCAGTAATGGTTTATTAATGATTGAATTAATGGTGCCCTACATGGTATCGAGTGAACACTACAATAGCTTGATAAAGAGAACACAACACTGGAAATACACCTGATACCCAGAGGTGAAGAAGTCTCATGGGCAAGCCAACATGTTTTGCATGATCAGACTAATATAAGTTTCAGCTTTCTTAAGATGAGCACGTACATGTACATATGCAAGCTTAATATACCTGTACATGAATCCTTTAAATGCTTACATGTATATGACAAATGAATTGACAATAACCTAAATGGTGTCCAACAAACGGTAAGCTGGTTCCGGTACATGTAGTTTGTTGAAGGAGATCATGACACCAAACTTGTAGCTGATGAAGGGAAGCACCAGTAGTCTCCTGGATAAGCTTGTATATGTACATAACCGAATGCAACAAACTTTAATAGTCTTGAGGCTAGTTTATTTTCAGAATTTTTGGTTTAGTATGCATTAGAAAGAGTGAAGTGAACTGTTTGTTTTGATTAGCAGGGTATATCACTCAATTTGGCATCCTATTGAGAATGGGCATTACTTGTGTGAACAACATCAAGGGATATCCAATTGGTTTTCACATGTATACAATGTGTAAGATTCCTTTGAGGCCTTTTATTCAAAGAAGCTCTGGTGACTGCCAAGTCATTTTGTGAAATCAGGTAAGACATGCATGTACATGTATTAGTTCTTGCTTTTCCAGGCGGGAGAGATACAAGTGTATTTACAGGTAATACATGTGTACGTAGATGTGCACTGCCTCCAGTCAGAGGATGAAAAGATGTCTGTACATGTACCAATGTGTATTCTGGATTGGTTCCAGATTGCCCTGTATAATGCCCAGGTGTCACTCAGACATTCTAACTGCAGTTTGTTCTTATATCTAACATATTTATGCTTACTGGTATCCGTAGAATTACTGAGATATTGTTTATATAATGTTCGTTTCTGCCTTATAGATTTTAATAGCGCCATCATCCATGAATTAACATTAGTATTTATAAGTGATGTTCTACGGTAACTCTCTTATAAAGTATACATTTGTCAAATAAATAGTTTAGCTTTTGTATGAAAATTGTATAACATCCATCAACATTAATAGTCAACAGTACAAAGTTCCAGTCAGTGTTAATTCGTTCCCAAGGTTATTCATATTTGAGGGGCAAATGTACATTCATTACAAAGTTACATCCATACTGCAGGTATTTATGGCAAGACCTGTAAATGTTCTACAAGTCAGTGCAAGTTGGGGTTTTGCTTATATCTCAAACACAATCTTCTGCGCTGATGACATGACATGATGTGCTTGTACTAGTATTGCATGAGAATGTGGGTGATGACTACAATATGAGCTTTAAAACCCGAACAAGCAAGGGGGTCATCTGCTTCTCTGAGAATGTGCTGACCTCACATCCTGACAGGATGCATGTGACTGCAGGTGCCTGCTGCTCAGACATATACATGTACATGTACATACAGTCTCAGTTCTAGACATAGCCTCAGTACCTTTCAGCTCAGTGCAGAGTACTTTCATCTTACTCTAGGCCGAATGTAGCTGTACTCATCAAAAGATAATGCTATACTGGAGTTTCTACTTTGATCTCTTTCAGACCTGCTTTAATTTCAACAAACCTTCATAAAACTGAGTAAATTGACAAATGCCATTAAAAACCAGACATAAGTTACACAATGCTTCATTCAAAATCCATGATATAAAAAAACCCCTGAAAATTATACCCGTTTTTATGTGTCGAAAGTACAAAGACAAAAAGGACAAAAAAGACAAGCACTAGCACAACGGAATCTGTTTCAGCTCAATCTTAATTCAAACGAAAACATGTACCAGCATCAGTACAGAAATACCACAACATGCTTTAGCAAGATATGATATACTTGTTTTGATTTACATGTACCTTTGGTGTTTATTCAAGTAGTACAGGTACACCACTTCATAGAACTGTGCCATTGATTTTGTCCGAAAGAGATAAGAAAGACTGAAGGCTGTAGACATTACGCCTTGAACTACTCTTGACGATTTTCGTAGGGAAAGATATCCTTGGCTCATCATAGAGAAAGAATAATGGAAGATCAATGAAGCTAATATTTGCGCTTGCTGGAGGGAGTAACGACAGCTGCACAAGTGAATTAACATCATTGGGTTTAAATGAGCGACTGCTGTGCCTTTGCTTTGATCTCCAGTGGCAGATACACAGGAACTTGTCCCTTGGTTATTTTGCATTGGCAACAGGGCTTTCTATTGTATCCGGATTCTTTAAGACCCCCGTATCGTGTTGGAAGGCAGTTGCTCTATGCTGAACCTCCTGAGGCAGAGTGGGACCCTTCAGGACATTTGCGGGATCATGAATTTTGCACTGCAGACTCTAATCAGTAGCTACCATTTCTGAGGCACGTACACACACTGTGCATGACATAATCGAATCAAACTCAATTTTCCAAGCACATATTCTCCACAGGCTTTCTTTCTACCAAAATCCAAGGATGATATGCGTTACATACACACAAATACAGCACCATCTCAGTACATAAAGATCTCCAGTGCAGTTGAAAGATCATCAAAAACTTGCATTATACAAAAAGTGTGGTGCATGTATTACGAGAGGCACACGGACCTATATGTACGTTTATATTATAAATGATATAAATGCTTTTCAATTTACACTCTGTGAAATCCCACAAGAATAATATACTAATCTTGCCCAAATGTATATAATACATGTACACGTATGGAGACCTTATAGAACAGAACAAGCCAGGATCATCTAGGCTAAAATGAATTTAAAAAAACAAAAATAAAACACCAAAATAAAAAAAACCTACAATCTTTTGTAAACTGATTCCTTTTCTAAAGTAAAAATATAAACTGATTAATTGTATCAACTTTGTGGCCATTTTTGTTTTCTCATTATAACAGACAAAAACAAACAACACCCCTTAGATATATTTTTACTTTTACATGTACCTCCAACAAGGTGTAATCATCATCTGCTGACCACGGAAACAAACTAAATGATGCAGAGTGAGAAGCTTCTAGAAGAGAAGACATTCTGACAATGACTTTTTGACTTCAATGGCGATCAAAGAACTTCAGGGCACACAAAGCAGCCAGGAAGGCACTGATAATGTCCACTTGGTATACAGGGAAGCTTTCTGCCCACAGCACCAGCACAATGATGAACACCCACTCTAATCTCTTTTCATGGTGCATGTGTACATGTACATGTAAATGTAGCTCTGGAGTGGACTTCAATGTGCTCCACAATATTCGCTCAGGCAAGCCTGTTACTTGCTGATGATTCACAACCAGACTAACCATAAGGGCACACTTTGTATGTCTATTCAGTGGGTGTCGGAGCTCTACTGAATGGTAACTACACACACAGGCCAGTCACCAGAACGATGATGAAAACACTACCTGTCTATGATTATAGACCAGCACAGCTTGTGATAAAAATAAAACAGTCGTTATATTTATTATCTACGCAAGTTGGGTCACAAATGACATTTATCTATCTTGAAGTCCAACATTGGCTCTGCGGCTGACATCAGCGGCAGCCAAAACAAAGCTTCTGAGTTGACCTCAACAAACTCCCTTATCTGACTGCAAGGTTTATCCAAAACTTTGTGGCTTTTTAATTGTTTTGTAACACAGGTATCGGCATAGATCAATCACTTGACAGACAACCTATAAGGACAAAAATTTGTTTGAATCATTCTCTTTGGAATGCATAAAAATATTGTAATGGGTTTCCTGAATGCAGAAAGCCCCACGCTGATACTTGGTTTTCTGAGAAAATGTCAATACGGGGTAGAATAGATTAAACATTTTTTTTTAAATTAAGAATGGAAGGTTAACAAGTACTCATACCACAACATTCTCACTATTCATTGCTGAAAACCTTAAAACTGTGTAGTCAAATGAAGGTATTTCATTTGAAGCATTAAACATACATACTTGGTTTTCTGAGCTACACGTAAGTTAAATCTTAGCCTTATTGTTCTCACCAAACAAAAGAAACAACAAGTGGATGCAATACCCTGGTCGGGTACAGCAAACAACAGAATTGCTGTTTATTTCAATGCATCATCATTGACAACTGTTTCCATGATGCAACTGTAAGTCTTAATTATTGCAGCATAACTCATATGTTCAAATGTAGGGAAGTTACAGTGATCAGACTGTGAAAAGGTCACATGGTACCTTGCAAGTACCGGTACATGTAATTGTGTATTAAACATAGTAATTTCCGAAAATACCCATGCATTTTATGGTAGTTGTACATGCAAGAGAATCGGATGACATTTTCAGCAGCACTGTGGACAATTGAGGAAACTCGTTACACTTTTAGAGTTGTAAGATTCAGTGACCTTTGCAATTTGCACAGCGATTACCTCAGAGTTCGTCAATGCAAATTAATTTCCTCCCCCTTGTACCCAGCATCATCCAATTACAGGTCTGAACAGGCTTCAAATAATAGGATGATTGGTGTAATTACTAGGCTTCTACACCATTTCAGATCCTTTTACTAATTTAAGCTCAAGTTAATCACTCAACAAAATCCTATTAGCAAATGAGCATTAACTATTTCACAATAGTGTTCCTATTATGACATATACCCAGACAGTGTGATCGGGATCCAGTGTCCATGTTTAACAAACATGTACTAC